TTGGATTGCGGCGCATGAGTGAAACGGAAAAGAACATGATCTGGGCGTTCGAGATAAAGAGGCAGATAAACACACTCGCGGAGGACCACTCACCGACGTAGAGAAAGCATGGATCCAAAGCACCCAGAAGCGAACAATCTCAGACGGATACACCTAGAGCCGCTTTCCCAGAGCAGAATGGAGTCTCCATGCACTCTGTTAGCCGCCAGAACGACGGGGATGAGGGCTCTTGGTCGGATTGTTTCGGGTGGTTGGAGATGGCATGCCAAAGAGAGCATTGGTCAACGTAGAGTAGCGCTGGATGTGTTGATTTGATGGACGCGCATGTTGCCTCAGGCCTTGTAGATACATTGTCGGCATCTAGTGACTCATGAATGCCCATAGGGGATTCTATCGTGAATGGGGTGCATCAAGATCGAGAGCATCTTCATCGGTCGGGTCGGCTCAACGCCTGCGATGGCTCGCAGTCCACGAAATGCAGCGAGAGTATCGTCAGCGGCCCGTCGCCAGAACGCGAGAGCCATAATGAACGCAAAAACAGAGCCACCAAGGAAGCCGACACACCTGTCAGCCATCTGTGATCAACAGCTCATAGACGACAGCACGCTGTTTCTAGACCTCGGTGCTTTCAAACCCCACCCAGCACTTCATGGTCTGGGAGAGGAAGATCGGATTAGGCAAGTCGGGAAAGGAAACGGATGCAATCCACTGACGCATAATAGTACTCCGAGCCTCGAGTCTGGACGAGCGGCATCTGTGAGCATCATTCTGGGGGACGATGGGAACCGCACATACCTGCGAATTGGTGCACACCGCATCCACGGCGAGGCTCAACGTCCATTTGATATCGTTGCAGAGCGCGCGAGCACGGTGTTCCACGGGAGAGACGCCTCGGCCGGTGTTCCACGGGGGAGCGTTCACCACATGACTATGCATCGGATTGACCTTGGCAGTGCGACTTCGAGAAGAGCTGCGAGAGAAGAGACGATTGCGTGACATCGCATGCGACCAACTGTATCCGACTCTTCTCTCTCACTTGCGAGATTATGCGTCTGGCTTGATTTTCACGACTTCCTATTTGCTCACTGTGGTTCTTCGGCGAATAATGGTCACATGCGCGCCTCCGGGAAATGATGCTGTTTTGCGAGTGCTCGATGCGATTTGCCAATCTCCTGGGAGCTGACTCGCGTGCCCCAACAAGCGCTACCGGCCAATCTTTGTGCCGCCCGAGCTTGCACTGGCTTGAGTAGCCGTGTCTAGTTCCGTCAATCAGGCATTGGGCACTCGATTGCTGTGAATCGTGGCCTTTCTCTAGTAGGGCAGTGTGTATGGAGAAACGCTGCTCAGACACAAGCATAACAGTTTATCTCCCGCCGTTGACCATGCCACAACTTGAGGAACGACAGGCAGACGAAGCAAGTATCGAACGCGAGAGGGCCAGCGGGAACAAATTCTGGAGCGTCTACGTCTCGGAGGCACAAAGCTATGATCGCGGTCTCATTGATGGTTGGCGCAGTGAGATGGATGGTCTCCTGATCTTCGTGCATCCCCGTCCGTTTTTCAATCTCATTCCCTCGCTGAACCTGACCCCATCAGGCCGGTCTCTTCTCCGGCGTCGTTGCAACATTCGTCATCGAAAGCTACAAGACGCTGAATCCCGACCCGGGAATCCAGACCGTCGTGTTGCTCAGCCAGACCGTCGCGCTGCTCAGCCAGATCCTCACCAGCTCGCGAACCTGAACAACGGCACAGCGGTCGCAGACGCACCCCCCCTCCCCTCTACCTTCGTGCCCCCTCCCTCCTCCCTTGTCTGCAACGCACTTTGGTTCACGAGCCTCGCGCTCAGTTTGTCGTGCGCACTCGTCGCGACACTGGTCAAGCAGTGGGCGCAGGAGTACCAGCACCGCACATCCATGTTCTCCTCCCCCTCTGTCCGGTCGCGTGTCTACATGTATCTCTACTATGGTCTGCGACGCTTCAATATGCATACCGTCGTCGGTGCTCCCCCGCTCCTCCTTCATGCCTTGGCCCTGTTCTTCGCAGGTCTGGCGGCCTTTCTTGTGCTTGTCAACACATCATCATGGGAATCTCCTCCGCTTTGCTGCTCGTCTTCGTCTCGGTCTATGGAACGTTCACCTTACTCCCGCTGTTCTTCTTCGACAGTCCATTCCAGACGCCACTGTCGCGAATCCTATGGTCGCTAAATCAAAGCTTGGGACGCGTGCTGAGGGCTTATGTTCTCAAGGCTTGTGTTCGAATGAGAGTCGCTGTGACGGACCCCGAGGCCCCTTCCAGACCTCCTGCACCTGCAGACACTCGTCCGCAGTCCCAGAGCATGGTGGACGCCCTGAAATCAGCAGCACTGCATCCCACTGTCGAGACAGAGACCCGAGCTGTTGCTTGGGCTATCCGCACTCTCTCTGATAACGACTCGCTTGATTCACTTGTTGAGGGCCTCCCCCAGACGGTCTGGGATTTCGACAGAGGCAAGCCTCGCAGCGTGTATCTGGAACAGTTCAAGAGTTTGTTGCAGGATCCGCACGTCCATCTCTGCCAGCGTCTTGCGGATTTCATGGCTGGCTCCAACAGCAATCTGCTCGAGCACTCGGTCCGGGTCCGCCGACAGCTCTCCGTGCTCCGGGCCATCTGGGCCATCTGCGCGTTCTCTGTACACACCGAGTCGCCTTTGGAGTACCCGATTGGAGACACCGATCCTGACAAAGTGCTGCTCGGCTCGAGATTCCTTGATTCTGACGAAGTGCAGAGCATGGTCCTCGCCGTGTTGGCTCTGGTTCGTCTGAATATCATCGAGTCTGAGAGCCGGCAACGAGCGCCCGAGTACCCTCTCACGCAGACGAGCAACTACGACCGGACCAAAGCAGGGGAGCAACGGCAAGCGGAGAAGAAATGGACGTATGTGCAGTATCTGGTGGCACTTTCCAAAAGCCCTACCAGCTTCGAACGGGATGTAACCAACTCGCTCTTTCACCGGTCACAAATCCTCTTCACGGGACCGGACGGCTACATCGCTCTTCACGCCGCTCTCGAAGAGCTGATCCAATCTGGGTCGGATGAAACAGCGGACAACCTCGTCTTTTCCGCTCGCCAGATGATCACCGCAATTGCTGGGGCATCGACGGATCAAGGGGTGGTTTGGATCTCTGGTCTTGCGCCGTTCCTTGTCCGACATCCCTCCCTCGCTGCCCCTTCAGACCCGGACGCCATCTCACAGCCCGGTCCAAAGTATACTTACACCCGATTCCTATGCCACTGCCTATGCTTCAATTTTACGCTGCGATCCCATCTCGAGGAATCTTTTGACTTCCTCCAGCTGATTTACCGTCACTCTCTCGACGTCGCCGAACTCACAAGATACCCGGGAGACCTCGATACCCATCTTTTGGTCCTCCGCACTCTGCACAGTGCTGGCGCTCAAGCAGCAGACATACACCCGCACCGTTTGGCTGTCATCGTCCAGGGCGTCGTGCTCAAACGTTTCCGTTTGGATTGGTCACAATCGGGGGATTTGTCGGAGTCGGCGAGATTGCTCAGTATCTTCGAGGACGAGGACTGGTTTCGCGCAGTGATCTGCCTCGACAACGAGACGCGGATGGAGCGGGTATCGACTGAGGGAACTCGTGACTCGATTCTCCACTGTGCGCGTGTGGGTGTCGTGACCACCTTCTTCGAGCAGTGCGCCCGGAATCCAGATCAAACACAGCGCGAGCTTGACTTCGAGACGCTCGAATCATTCAGACAGTCGACGGCATTTATTCGGTGCTCCCGGCCAAAATGCAACGTCGATTTGCGGACGCCGTCTCCGGATTTCTTCGCAAGTATCCGAGGGATACTCTTGCGGATTGCGCGGTGCTCAATGGGATGCTTTCCTGGGCCATCCATGAGCACATCGGGTTCATCGACGATCTGGATGCCTTGCAGGTATTGGACACGGCGGTGTTTGACGTGCAGACGGACTATGAGCAAGAAACGCATCGGAAAAAGGCTGAATGGATCCGCGGAAGGATGCAGAAGCGGCTCCATCGTCCCGAGCGCATTTTTGCGGCCTTTGTCTCACTCGTTACTGAGGTGGTAGATTCGGATCCAGAAGGCAGTGTGCACAGTGAATGGTCCGACATTACCGACGAGGAGTAAAGTGACCCGCAGAGGGGCTGTCTTCCATTTATTTAACTCGTCATACTTGTATCCTGTATTTGAAAATACCAACTCAAGCGCGATTCAGTCTAGCGCGATAGTCCGGCAGCCCAGATCCCCAGGTTTCCCGTCCTGACGGGAGGGCACTAAAGACACATCCGATCAACAGTCTAGAGACAAGTCCTCGTGCTTCGTGGATGCACGCGCAGTTCTGGAGCAATTGAATGTTGAAAGAGTCGGGGCGTTGGCAGGGTCCAAGGGAAATCGCAATGAGGCTATCGACAATTCACGGTCAGATCAAAATCACGGTCAGGTGATGACAGGGTACTGTAGAAATGAGTTTCAACACAAGCGCGTCGTTCAGCGCAGAGCGCTGGCCATCGTTGATCCAGATGAATTCCATGGATCATGGTCATCTTGGCCGATGAGATTATGGATCTAGGCAGCACTTGTGACGCATCGTGATGGGAATTAGCATGTCGGCTCTCTTACAAAAATCTTGCAAGAATCTAGGTAAGCATCAAGAGTTCCAGACTCGGGCCTCAGGTACGCCGGGCTCAAGTTCTTGGTCAAGATTCGGACCGGTGCCTGGGAAATCTGGAGGACAAGGCTATTCGACATCGATTCCGTAGAAGCAATGTCAGCAGTGGCACAATCAAGGTCAATGCGTGTCAGCGAGGATTCGAACATGAGCTGTGAATGACTGAAGCGTTTGTACGAGAGCACGTAGCCACAGCGATGGCGTCGGCAGGAGGCATTTCTAATAATGGTTTCGGGTCGCGGACAAGGATGATGATGTGGAACTATTCTCCAGAACTGCTACCCAAGAATGAGGTTTTTGCCAAGCCATGACACCGACCTCAGTTTTGCATTCGATTTTGCACTCGATTCTCGGCGTGACCCCCTGCTTAGCTTCAAGTGGCGGGCGACGGTCAGGAACGAAGAAATTCGAATGCCCGTAACATCGCATCGAAGATTCAAATGCAAAACCGCGATGCTTTGCGCTTTTCCGAGGTAAAGACCTTGACAGTGGGGAGATCTCAGTGCGGAGCAGCTGTTTGGGTACTAATATGACAACGATTTTGAAGGCTTGACTCGTTTAGCGTTTGCGATTCTGGGGGATGAATCAGAATGCCTTTGGAGTGAGTGCAAGAAGAAGGTGTTTGCGTCGTCTTCTCTTTGATGCTGAAGTCGCGCGAATATGGATAAGGGATCCCGGTCTCACGCCGGATCATACGCGGTAACGTGGTACTGCATCTATACTTACACGTGTTTGGATTGGTAATCAACAGGTCTCACAACGATCTAATCGCGCTCTTGTCTATAACCACCCTTGGGAGGGTCAAGTTCGCGATTTGTACACGCCTTGCCGACGCTCCTCATCAGCTGACACTAATCCAACTTGGTCTTATCCAATCGAATGCCATGGAGCTGGCATTCACTACCAAGTATAAATACGGGTCAGGAGGTGGCCGGCTAACTTTGGAGTTCCCACTGCGTCCTCCATCGTCCACCCGTGCTCTCTCTGCTCGGCATGTCCTCTAGAACTCCCTCCACCTCGTCTCTCGAGAAGGGGGCCATCGTCGAGTCTTCGCCTGTGAAGGAGGGCTTCGGGCTCGCAAGAGACGCTTGCCCCCTCGAGCTCACGGAGCAGGAGGAGCGCAAGCTTTGGCGCAAGGTGAGTGCCCGTCTCAATCTTCGATCCTTGACCTTGAATCGCCGCCCGTCGCCGATAGGTCGACGCTCGTCTCCTGCCTATCCTGGGTCTATTGTACCTGCTGTCTTTTATGGACCGAGGTGCGTGAGCCGCTTCATCACACTTGAGAAGATGTTTAAAACGTGTCTCCAGGAAACATCGGTATGTCATCCCCAGTCGTCACCTGAGCGGTCTGCTGACTTCTGCTTGAGGAAACGCCAAACTTGACGGCCTGCAAGAACAGTTGAACCTGACAGGGAACAAATACAATATCGCCTTGGTATGCTTCCGGTATTCGGTTCACGATGTGGCGCTTATCTTTTCCCAGACCATGTACTTTATCGTGAGTGTTCTTCCCTCAGAGCGATCGAGAAGACATGCCGAACGACTCTATCAAGCCGTATTGCATCTTCGAGTGTCCGGCGAAGTATGTTGTTCCTGCCGGGCTGGTATCTATCCGGTGTCTGACGGGCATCATTATTATAGTTTGGCGTTGAAGAAGTTTCGCCCATCCTTGTGAGGATTATTCCCAGTCTAGCTTGTGTTCAGGGCAGCTTACTCACGTCATTCACAGATGGCTCCCAGGGATTACGGTGAGCCCCTCCAATAGAGAAGTATGGGTCCCAGGCTAACGATCGGGGTCAGGTGCTCTGGGGAACTGTCATGTGAGTTGTCTCAAGTCCGGCGGCTATCAAAATGATCCCAACCGATACAGGACACTAATGGGCCTTGTCAAGACGTGAGACACTCGTGCAGATGGATGTTGATCTGCTTATGAATCCATATCAGATATCCGCAGCTCGTCGGCGTTCGTGTCTGCCTCGGGGTCGCCGAAGCCGGGCTGTTCCCCGGTGTCGTCTACTAGTGAGTAACATGACAGCACTTTGCGAGCTTTCTTGACACTCACCGTAATCAGTCTGTCCCTATGGTACCCACGGCGATGCTGCAGTGGCGGATTGGTTTGTTCTTCGGTGCGGCCTCGCTTGCGGGAGCGTTCAGTGGTCTGCTCGCCTACGGAATCAACTTCATGAATGGCATTTCTGGCCTGCGGGGCTGGTCGTGGATCTTCATTCTGGTCCGTGCCAGATCAATCAAGTGCCGATGTATCTGTCGTTGATGAGGATCGCAGGAGGGAATCGCCACCGTCCTCGCCGGTGTTCTGGCGTTCTTCGTGATCGTGGACTTCCCAGCTACGGCCAAGTTCCTCGAGCCGGCTGAGCGCGACTTCGTGATCTGGAGAAAGAGTGGGCACATTTCCAGGATATTCGTGTCGGCTCGTCGCTCATCTGGTGTCTAGAATTCGACAACTCGTCTGTCGGGGAGGAGGAGCAGTTCGAGTTCCGGCACTTGTTCCAGGCCTTCACTGATTGGCAGGTGTGTCAAATTTCATCGGAGGCATGCTTTTAGCTGACCTGTTGAAGGTCTGGATGCACACGCTGGTTTACGTCTCCCTTGTCACGCCTCGTAAGTCGTGCATGCAGTACCCACACGCACTTTCTGAATCCTCCTTGTAGTTTACGGAATTACCCTCTTCCTCCCGTAAGTGATTTGCACATTCTCGCTCCGGATGTGTCGACTGAATCAACTCGCAGGACGATTATCAGCACGTGAGCAACACTGAGTACGTACTTTGAGTCTGTCTCACCTTCTCCAGGTTCGGACATTCGACTGCTATCTCTCAATTGCTTACAGTTCCGGCCTATGTGAGTCAAAGAAAACGTATGAACGATCATGCTTCTGATGCATCTCTCTGCAGCTCTTCGCTAGTGAGTCTTCAAACGAATGTCTCCGCGACTCCCGTGCTGAGGATGTACACCAGCCATGCTTTTGTTCGTGTTTGCGTTCTGGTCAGACAAGCTGAAGATGCGGTCTCCGTTCATCTACATCTCTCTGTTGATGTGTCTGATTGGATTCGTCATCAACATTTCCGAGGCGCCTCCTGGTGTGAAATACTTTGGAACTTTCCTGATCGTTGGCGGCAGCTACGCTGGCTTCCCGGGTGCTGTCGCCTGGCTCGGCAGCAATTTGAGCGGGCAGTACAAGCGCGGAGTCGGGCTGGCGTTGCAGATTGGGATCGGGAACTTTGGGTGTGTTATACAGCCGCTCGCGGCAGCTGGCGCTCATAGTTTTTATTTAGCGGTGCGATTGCGAGCAACATCTACCGCACCCAGGACCGCCCTCATTTCCGACTCGGCCGTGAGCTCCTTTCTTTTTGTTCAAACCTTCGGCCAATACTGATATGATGTCCAGATGGCCTCGAGATGATTTTCGTCGGCATCGGCTTGATTTGCGCACCGATCATCGTCGTCACATACCGCCGCATCAACAAGAAACGCGCGGCAATGGCTTACGTCCTGACGGAAAACGGCCTCGAGTCGCCCACCGGGCCGAGCTACACGAAACAGCAGATGCGGGAGCTGGGAGATCGGTCACCCGAATACGTCTACATGATTTGAGTCGACGAGGAAGATTGTATTTAGAATGATGTATTAATTGATGAACTTGATGCAATGACCTTCAACACAGAAGTGATCGTGGTCAATGTCAATAATTGAATTGTCCCTGGGACATCCTCCCCCGATTGTCCCGGTCTGGGTTCGGCTCTTGCACAAGTGCAGCTCAATTCGCGACCCAGTAGAATCAGGACACGGAATAATTGTTTTGGCACGTTAGAGATCAAGAAGACTGAAGAACACGTCAGTAAAAGGAAATTCGTAAGTTTCCCAACGTGCTGGAAATGCACCCCAAGACCCCCTGGAGGAGATGGGTACATTTTCTCAATTATGCCTGACATACCGGAGCAAAAAATGGAGTCCATGGAAAGGAGAAATGAAGAAGTGAGATGCGCCTCAGAGTCGGATCTACAAGGCGGACAGTGGCGGCCCGTATGATAACACAGCCGCAGATGTCATCACTGATTTTGTATACAAGGCTCGACAGTACGTCATCGCTCTGGTGCGTATGCCACGCTTATGGCAGGCTATGGGCGGCCGACGTTCCAGAAATGAGATGCGTCACACGTGAAAACCGCTCTTTGAGCGGTTCCGCGGTCCGCGGGTGAAATGCGGAGATTTCAGCGTCCGGGTCATAAGTAGTGGAGTGTACAGACTCGCACCTCTTCATTTTCCACGATGACGAGGCCGCCCGTTCGCATAGCTGGTGAGTGCTCTGTCGAAACCTCGCCGTTCTGGTGCACTCAGCCTCAATACCAGGCGGCTCTGGATCTACTGTGGATCGCCGCTCCGGGTTCGCTAAGATTGCCGCCGCGTTCCCGAATGACCCGGTGGACGTGATCATTGGCGACTTCATGTCGGAGGGGAATATGACGACGATGGCGGCCAAGAGGGCGGGGGGCACGGAGGAAGTGGCGTACGATGCAGGCTTTCTGGAGAGCTTGGAACTCGCGCTGGAGGATGTAGCCAAGTATCGCATCAAGGTGCGTCTCGCTGCATACATTATGCGTAGTGCGCGATCTTACCATGCCTGTAGATTGTCGTGAATGCTGGGGGATCCGATACGTGTGGACTCCATCGGGACGTGACCGAGCTTCTAAGAAGACGGGGCGTTTCTCTGAATGTCGCGTGGATATCAGGAGACGACGTGCTTGCCACCATGCTTGATCGCGATCCGGAGACATTCTCGAATGTGCACACGGATCAGTCACTCGCTGCTTGGCCGTTCAAGCCGATCGCCGCTCAAGCCTACCTCGGCGGTCTGGGCATAGCTGCTGCCCTGACATATGGGGCGGATATCGTTTTGTGCGGCCGGGTGTCGGACGCTTCGTTGGTCATTGGCGCCGCAGCATGGTACCACGGCTGGCTCCGCAATGGTCTGCCCCAGATATCCAAGGCGCTCGTTGCGGGACATCTCATCGAATGCTCGACCTACGTCACGGGAGGCAACTTCAGCGGGTTCAGAGAACTCGAGCACCGCGACAAGTGGCTCGATCTGGGCTACCCTATTGCCGAAATTGGCGCAGAGGGCGAGGTCGTGATCACCAAACAGAGAGGAACAGGCGGCATGGTCACTGTTGAGACTTGCACGGCCCAGCTTCTGTACGAGATCCAAGGACCTTGGTATTTCAACTCTGATGTGAGTTTTCTGCTTGCTCCGCAGTCTCAGCTGAGCTTATATGCGTAGGTCACCGCGATATTGAGCGATATTTCTTTCACTCAAATCGGGGTAGACCGCGTCTCTGTGAGCGGCATCAAATGGGCACCGCCGCCACGCACGACAAAAGTCGGCATCACTGGGCTCGGGGGCTACCAGGCGGAAATGCTCTTTTATCTCGTTGGGCTCGATATCCCAGCGAAAGCCCGCCTAATGGAGAAACAAGTTCGTTACGAACTTCGGGAACAGATCGAACAACTCAGCTCTATCCAATTCCAACTGCTCGGCTCTTCTGAACCGAATGCACGAACGCAGAATATGGCGACTGTCACCCTGCGCATTGTGGCACAGGCCCAGGATGCCGAAGCTCTAGGCCCGCTGAAATTCGCGCGTCCTTTGATGGATCTGATCATGTCGTCTTACCCCGGTGGAACTTGTAATCTGGACATCCGCCCCGCCCTCCCTCGACCTGTCTACGAATATTTCGTGACTTCGCTTGATCAGCACGAGATCCGACACAGAGCACACCTGAATGACGGCAAGACGGTTGATCTTCCGCCGCCGATTGTGACTTGGCAATTCCCAAGACAGCAGCCCTCCCATCCAGAGTCCAAACTGGCCGGACTCTACTTCGGGCCCACAGTCCGCGTGCCGCTGGGCCTCGTCGCCAATGCCCGTTCGGGAGACAAGGGATCCGATGCCAATGTCGGTATCTTTGTCAGCGATGACGAGCAGTGGGAATGGCTGAGAAGGTTTCTCGACGTTGAGCGCATGAAGGAGCTGCTGGCGAGCGAATACACTGGTGATAAAATTGTAAGATTCTCTGCTCACAACAAGGGATCCTGCGCTCATTTTTTTTCTGGACCGATTCGAGTTGCCGAACATCCGAGCCGTTCATTTCTTGCTTCACAATCACCTCGACCGGGGCGTTAGCTGCACGATGAGCGTCGACTGCCTCGGCAAGAATGTCGCCGAGTTTCTGCGGTCAAGATATGTTGAAATTCCGAAAAAGTTTCTTTTGGACGCTGAAGCGAAGCTCTGACCTGGAGGCGTGTTCGCGGTTTTCTTTGGGATGTAAGTATCAATATGTACAGCAGATGAATGGTTCAATAACACAGATTGGTACTGAATTATATAATTTATTTCACCTCCAACAGGTTCGGATCAACTTCGGATCGGGCTGAACCCCGGTCGTGGTTATTGACCGTCCGCGCTCACCTCAGTCTTCAGCATGGCCAGTCTCCACAAAGATGCAGCGATCGTTGAGCAAGCCAGGACTCTCGAAAACACGCCCTGGTGCGACGACTATGAGAAAATGATATCAGGCGTCTTGTATGTACATACGCGTCCACTCCACTGGTAGCTCGGCCTGACGACAACACAATCGATGACTCAGATATAACTCCATAGCCCCGGAGCTCGTCGCCGGGCGCTTTCGCGCGCGCCAGCTCATGCACAAGTACAATCACCACTTCCCCGATGACGCGACACCCGATTCGCTCGTCGCTGACCGGGAAGCTGTGCTGAAGGAGATGTTTGGGAAGGTCGGGAAGGGCGTGTTCATCGAGCCGCCGCTGAACGTCGACTACGGCTGCAATATCTCCGTAGGAGAGGGCTTCTACTCCAATTTCAAGTGCGCACTAGTCACAACTCGGGCGAGTCACTGTCCCAGCTAACCCGCGTCGAAGCCTAGTGATTCTCGACTGCAGCATGGTCACCATTGGCGATCGCGTCCTCTTCGGCCCGTTCGTCTCCATCTTCTCGGCCACGCACGAAACCGACGTGCAGTCGCGGCGCCGCGGCGAGGAATACGCGCGGCCCGTGTCGATTGGCGACGACTGCTGGATCGGCGGCAACGTGACCATCATGCCTGGCGTCAGCATCGGGAAGGGATGCACTGTCGGTGCGGGGAGTGTGGTGACTCGCAATATCCCCGCCTTTTCTGTGGCTGTCGGGTCGCCTGCGAGGGTGATAAAGCAGATTCAAGCAGTCGAGGACCTGGAATAGGTAGTCATGGACAATCTGCCTATCGCGCCTTTTTCGTCCTTTGATCAAGTCCAGAACCTGGAGTCGACGTATGACTCATGAGCAGAATCCAGCAGACACGGGGGCACTTGATTGTAACTGCATCCAGATGGCCAGATGGGATGGACAAGCGCTTTTTTGTTCGTGGACATCAGCGCTGCGGCCTTTTTTCACCAGCTAGAAACGCACTGAAGCGATTGGAAACACTGGTCCCGACTTGGGCCAGAGCTGCCAGTGACGTACATGGAAGACAGCATGCAGACTTCTCAATGAACGAAAGAAGCCCAATGTGAGGTCTCTTTGAGCTTCGCCAACATCGTCAGTGGCGCCGTTGCACTCGGACGAGACTTGCTGTCGTATTGCTGCTCTTCATCAAACCTGACTTGGGCTATCTACGGCCTTGCCGCTCGACCTGAACGGGTCCTACTTGACCGCGGGCTGCACTGGGTCACAGTCCGACTCTAGCCAGGACCTGAACTCAAGTTGAAAGCGTCGCAGCTGCCAGAAATCCCGACTGCACCGGCCTCGCCTGTCTATCTGAATTCGACGTTAAGGACGAGTGAGCGGGTGTTCGCCTCATTTCCACTTTGACCCATTCCAGATGTATGAAGTTTCTTAACTGCACGCTAAACTGCGCATCACCTCGAAGGCAATGTTCACCTAGAGGGAAGGGCCAGACGCCCCTTACGACTGGGATCCAACTCGTGGCCCCCGATTGCGACGGAAGTGGGTTGTGCGGTTTCTGTATTTAAGATCCTCGGTCGCACGGGACGATACATATGGCCATCCACTCCAAGTTCGACGGCTCAGTCGTGATCGTAGGATTCGGTTCTATCGGCCGCGGATTTCTCCCGTTGCTTAACCGCCATGTTGCGCTGGACAAGAGCAAAGTTACCGTCATCGATCCCGACGACTCTGGCCGCCATCTCGTCACCGAGCGTGGCATGCGCTTCGTTCAGCTGGCCGTGACACAGGAGAACTATCTGGACGTGCTCACTCCACTCGTCTCAAACGGCGGCCTTCTCATCCATCTCTCGGTCGATGTCTCGTCCGTAGCACTCATGGAGATGTGCAAGGACATCAACGCGCTGTATATCGACACTGTCATCGAACCTTGGCCCGGCTTCTACTACGATCCAGACCTTTCGATGTCCGAGCGGTCGAACTACGCTCTTCGAGAGACACTGATCGACCTTCGTTCTCGCCGGCCAGGTGGTCCGACAGCTGTCTCCGCCTGTGGAGCTAACCCGGGGATGGTTTCTTGGCTTGTGAAGCAAGCACTGGTTGATATCGCTCGTGACACTGGACACCCCGCCGCGCAGCCGACGACGCGGGAGGGATGGGCGGAACTGGCCATGAGTCTAGGTGTCAAGGGGATCCACATCGCAGAGCGGGACACCCAGCAGCCGAAGACGCCGAAGGAAATGGGGGTGTTCACTAACACCTGGTCGGTGGAAGGCTTCCTTTCCGAGGCGTTGCAGCCAGCCGAACTTGCCTGGGGAACCCACGAGAAGCGCCTGCCGCACAACGGACACATGCACGACATCGGTGGCAGCGCACCGGATCTAGCTATCTACCTTGCCCAGCCTGGGGCATCCACCCGGATCCGCAGCTGGACACCCACCTCCGGGCCGCAGGTTGCGTTCCTGCAGACGCATACGGAGGCGTTGAGCATTTCCGACTACCTCACTGTTCGGGAGCCAGGAGTCTTGTATCGCCCGACGTGTCATTACGCGTACCACCCGGCGGAGTGTGCGGTCTTGAGCTTGAATGAGCTTGCCGGCCGAGCCTGGAAGCCGCAATCAAAGTCTCATATCCTCGGTCCCGACGACATCCTCCCTGGGGGTGTCGACTCCCTCGGAGTTCTGCTCTACGGCCACGCTCTCAACGCGTACTGGTTCGGGAGCACGCTGTCCATTGACGAGGCGAAACAGCTTGTGCCGAATCAAAACGCGACCGGACTGCAAGTGAGCAGTGCTGTGCTCGCGGGGATCGTCTGGATGCTCGAGAATCCGGAGATGGGGATTGTTGAAGCGGACGACATGGACTTCCAGCGGTGCCTGGAGGTACAGCGAGAGTATTTGGGTATTTTGCATGGCGCGTACACTGATTGGACGCCGCTGGCAGGCAGAGGAGACGATGCGCTGTGGACCGGAGAGCCGGACAGAGATGATCCCTGGCAATTTGAGAATGTTCTTATGTAGATGTGGATTTCGCACACACCCATTGAATGTGTTATCGGGCCACTTTGCATCATGCTCAGCACACTGGCGGCGCGTATCATCCGATCGAGGATTCGAGCGCCGAACTACGAAGTACATGGTATGCTTCAAGTCAAGCCATTGGGTTCTGCAACCTACAATTGAAGGAGTCGATTGTGGGACTATATGCTGTCTGCAGGAATGTACTCACAAGGATACCGGAGAAACACATCCTCGCGATATTTCTCGGGCTGGACGGCACATGACTCTGGAAGTACCAGATTAGATCATGATCAGCGGGAACCCAAACACCATCTTCTGCTCGGTCTACGCCACCAATTCGTGCGTTCGCTACTTCCACAGCCTTCTAAGTGACTCGTCCGCCCCCCGCATCCGGTTCCTCTGCTGTGCATTGGAGATTTGCTGTAAATCAGCCCGTATCCCTCCGCGCAACCTTGCCTCAAAACATACATCGGAACAGATGCGGTAGCGCATACTGCTACTGCACTGCCCTCAGATAAAAAGAGAGGGAGGCATCTCATCCCCCCTCTCTTTTCATCGATACAGTCCCTCTACAGCATGCCACCGACTCCCTCTCGACGCCCCTCCTACCCCATGCAAAGCCTCGCTGGCGCGAGTGCCGTGGCCATGGCACAGCCTGTCCACGCACTTGGACAGCTCGAAGGTGACCCCCCGACCGTCCCGTCGCCTCCCTCTCCGCCCTCCACCGGGAAGAAATGGGGCATGATCATCGCCATTCGTGATTCTGCATCGCTCGAAATCCCCTCCGACGTCATGGCCTTGCGGCCCGGTGAAGCACCGGTCGTGGCTGAGAAGTATCCTCCGCTACCTGGCATCCATGAGGACGCGGAGAAGCTTTATGACGTCCTCACAACTGTGTAAGTCCTTCCGTGGGGTTCTACATGTCCTGACCTGCAGAACAGACACGGATACCCACCCGAAAACATCATCCGCTTGATGGACGACGGAAAAGCAGGGTCTATCGTCCCCACGCACAACAATGTTGTGCGTTACTCGCGTAACACTTTTCTTCCAGCTTGTTGCTGATCTCCCTCCCAGTTGCGCGAAATCCGGGCTCTGGGCACGCGAGTACGATCTGGGGACCGTGTCTGTTTCTTCTGTGCGTGTCGATCAACCCAGGAGAGTTCTTTCGCCGCTAATTCACATATTTTCAGACGCAGGCCACACTGCTCAGACTTACAATGCGCGTGGGACTGAAGAAGACGACATGGATGAAGTCTTGATCACCCGTGATGGAAGGATGATAATCGATAATGTACGACTCGCTCTTTATCAACTTATTCATGTCTGGATACTGACCTCGCTTAGATTTTGAATCGTTATCTGGTGGTCCCGCTGCCGAAAGACTCTTTTCTGGTGGCGATCTTGGACTCATGTCACTCCGGCACTTTGTTAGGTATGTTTGCTTGCTGGGTGCCTTCGAGTGCGCGCGCTGAATCATCGCCCCAGATATCGAACACACACATTGTAATGCAAATCCTGGGTCAAACCAGGAGCCGAAATCAACTTCCGCCACTATTAACCGGAGTGCTCTTCGACGTAGAACATCCGAGGTCACTGTCGTTTCCCCGAGCCGGCAGATGTCTTTGGACAAGGAGAACATTCCCGTCACACATTCGATCGACCCCGCGCACTGGGAACCTCTGCCGAGATGCGGCAGTCCCTTGTCGGCTTTGTCCTACCCGGGATGCGACGGAGCTTGTCGCAGCAGAGTTCAGCGTGGCATCTCTGTCATGGGCCACAAACGACCTATCGCCGCGAATGTCCTTTGTATCTCGTCTTGCGAAGATTCGCAGCTGACTTCGTACTCGGAGGGCACTCAGGTGTCGATGGCCCGCTGCATCATCGATCTTGTAGCATCGAGCCAGGATATCAGCGTCGGCGAGGTCGCGGATGCAGTTGCTCGAGCTCTGGACAAGGAGCGGGCCGCTGTTTGGGAAAGACATCAACAACGATGGGATGAATTCAATTCTAACGGAGGTGCCCGAATCAGAGCGCAACTCGAGGCGAATGCTCCCAAACGCTCCCAAACGCTCCCGGGAAACATGCCCACCGACCAATACTTCGAGCATCTCACAGCCAAGGAGTCTGATCCCCGCACGCCCGCCCGTCGACAGTATCGCAAACTGAGGACTCTCGCTGATGCGCTGCGAGAATGGGTCCAGTGCCACGCGCCATTCAAGCACGAACTCGGGTGTCGCACCAGTCCCGAATCGACAGGAAAGCCCAGTCCGCGGCCGAGACCGGGAGCCGAGTTTCGTGGGATTGCCTCCAGCAGGACACATCCTGTGCCCAAGGAACGCCGCTTGTTCTCGAAGTTTGTCGAGCGGGCAGCGCGGCTCGCTGAACTCCAGCCTCGGCCTAAGCGTCCTTCGCCGCCTTCCAACATGGTTCTCTCCAGCAAATGGCCACTGAATCTGCAAGAGTCCTTGCGCACTTGGTTCAGTGGCCCGAAGCATTCAATGGCTGTAGCTTGTCCTCACTTCTGCCATCCTTCCGAGCCGCATTCGTGATCACGTTTTCGAATCTTCTATGCTATGTGCTCTACGTCCGTTTCATGTATCTGCTGTTTTGCGTTGTCGTTATTGTTATAGTACCGTTTTGTGCTGTTCTGTCCATACGCTCTCGTTGTTTTGCTTGCTGTTCTACGCGATGTTATCCTAGTTTATCCATGTGCTGTCTTGCTTGTTGATACTGTATATTATGGCCCTTGTATCCGCATATGCTCGGGAATTCACGAATTGGAGTCATCACGATATATACTTTCTGCTCGTAGCAGATACGTAGTGAGCATCTGAGCATATGGGTCGAACACTAAAAGGCAAAGACATGCAGTGATGTATACCAGAGACCTGAACAGAAGTCAAAGTATGCAACTTGACATAACGTATCACATTTCAATTTTATTAGTTCGCCAGCGGTCGTGCGTAAGGCTGTGCTCTGGGATTCCCGAACTGGTCGCTCGACGCGAATCTCCACCAGTCATGGTGCAAGAGATAGAGGCCTCTACGGAGCACGACAGCGACTGGTGATGGGATGGGAGGGAACGCCCTGGTCGCCCCATTCTCCCAGGTGTTATCATCGAGGCAAAAGATTTGAATGACGCCCTGGGTTAGACCGCACTTCCTCTGTGACCACCAGTCAGTTCAGTCAAAGCACAAAGACAGCAAGCTCACCATGCTGTCTATCCCATCTCGCCTCATTTCCGCCTCTAAGCCAGCAGCTAATCTCGCACCGTACGGTGCGAGCGCGAGCAGTGTTGGAATCTCGTCCGCTAGATGATCCCTCAGCAATCCACCGAACGCGCCGACGACCTCCACGATTCTCCTGCCATCGTACTTGCTCGCGTCCTGCTGGAGCTCGGCCACCAGAGCGACGAAGCGATCCAGACCTTCGTGAAACGCCGCGTGCCCGGCGATATTCCCCGCCATCAAGTCCCCCTGCCCCGTCTCTTTCGCGATGAACGGGAAGAGGTGGTCCTCCTCGCCGTCGTGGTGCACTTGCAGAGCGACCGTCCAAGTTTTGATGTAGTTGAGGAAGGAGGGCACGTCTGGGGCGGTGACGTATGGCGCTTGTGCGTATATGCTGTTGAGTCCCCGCAGGAGGAAGTTGTGCACGAAGACCATATTGCGCGCGACATTTTCGACGATTGATTCCTGCAGAAAAGTGGGAGCGAAGTGAGCAGAGATGCGGCTAGATTGAACGTGGCAGCCACGCACAGGTGCGCGAGGGTCGTCGATAGTCGTTGGTCGCGACGGGAGGTCGATGAGCGCATATGGCGTTTCGAACCATTTCGTGGGCGGCGACATGGAAGTGCAGAAGATGCGGGATTATTCTGTAACATTGCAACATTCGAGGAGCTATTTGAACGGATTGCGTGCAGAAAGATTCAGGGCTTGACTGCGCATGCATTGATATCCCATCGCGACTACGGAGCGGGACGTCCTGTGCGCTGTTCATCCGTGCATCCGCTCATCCGGGTGCGGAGTGAATGCTTGAGAGCAAATGCTTGGCAGCTGATCCAAAGTCAGCTTCAGTGGATAACAAGAAACCCGGTTTCTGTACGCTGATGGCATCGCTGTGACGTTCTCGCTATCCGTATTGCGGAGTGGAGGCCAGGATGTCGATAGCGGAAGTACGCTCGAAAAAGGATGGAGGACCGTAGCCCGCACCGTTTGTGGGGAATGCGATGCGTGACGAACTGTCCCGTACCGGTACGCGATAGAAACATGCAAGATTGGCAACGCGTCAAGTCACACAGCGGTCACGTCTGGCACAGCACCGCCATTCAGCATACGCCCGTGTCGATTAATGCAAACCCGCCTTTGCTTCATATGTACAGTGGCTGATTTCCTCAGCCTTCAAGTTTGCGGCCAATTGAAGCATCATGTGGGTTGTGCGAATGCACATGGGAGTTTGAGAGACTGTCTAGCCCTCCCCGGGCCAAATATCAGGGTTCCACAGACTAAAGATGCGGTGAGCATGCACTCACCTTTTGGCGCCTCCGTTGATATATCAGTTCCGCAGTCCTCGAAGGAATGTTTGGCTTCAATTTAACCAAGCCGACTGAGACGCAAACACGTGTTAGATGGCCGAGCTTGCTCATCCGAGTCTCCGCCTCTTTGCTCGGTGTATTCGTCGATTGAGCGGCCAAATCTTGATTCTCTGGGAACACGAAAACAACCTATACTGGCCAGCTACTCGCTTCAGACTACCGTTTGTGGTATACAAGCGGCACGCCGTCCAATTCAAAGCCCAGGACAGCGCCAAAACCGTGCGCAGGGCCCAAAGCTGGATGGAGACTACGAACTCCGATTCTAACCCGACCTGTGGAAATGAGCGAGATTTGCGGAGATTGAGTGCGAAATGTGTGGGATCTTGGCGGGGAATATCTACTTACCATCGGCCCCAACACAGACCCTGCTTCTTCCTTCTCTCCACTGGCTAGTTTGCCGCACGGTCTACAACCATGCTTGCCTCGCTTTTTGCCCTGGCTACGTTCTTCAACGTCGCTCTGGGTCAAACTGAATTGATCATCAACACGCCTTTGTAAGTAGCTCGACTCTCACCTGGTCGTAAATCAAGAGGCTCACAAACGATTGAAAGTCCTACGCCCAGTCTGTCGCTTTGTTCTTGCTCGTTGTATTCTTGTGCTTGAGCTTCGGTAGCCGTTTGTCAGCCGTCTTTGCTGACATGGGGTGGAGGAATAGGTAAGTCTCGTTGTTATCGCACACAATACGTTCGCTGATGCGATGTCTCCGAAGCTCCGTATTTCATCGTGCGTGCTTTTAAATGACAGTGAGAACGGATGGAGGTTTATTTTACCCATCTCAGTTGTACGTCTACTCCAAGTCAAGCATCGTGCTTCACAACTCATCCTCATGAGAGACTCGTGAAAACCGATGATCAGACCGTCCTCGTTAATTTCGGGCAGCTCGTCAACACATCTTTAACCTGGAAAGTACTAGAACCTGCCGGTGCGTGCTTTCTTCCTGTAAAGCGGAGGATCCCACGACAACATGTGCTCAGGGACGGCGTGTCAGCTTCTCATCAAGGACAGTACCGGCTCGAATCAAGCTTCTGGCCCATTCGACATCGCAGCCGGTGCGTGTTCTCAAGGCAGCGTATGAATGGGCATTGACACCAAAGCAGGCGACGCGTCGTGCTTAGCGAGCTCTAGTAGCGCGTCGTCCAAATCTACCGTCTCCGGTTCTCATCCCACTTCCTCGCAGTCACATTCAAAGAAGAGTGCCAGCACTTCAACGACTAAAACCAGCACTCTGACCAAGACAAGCATGGCCGTGACCTCCAGCACCTTCATCCAGCCGTTGACGACGACGACCAGCACAAGCATCAGCCTGTCTCAGACGTAAGTAATGGATGCAGGTGACCGTGATCGGTCGCTCATGTTCTATCTACAGAGGTTCTTCCACCTCGGGTGTCTCCACTTCTCCTCCGGCATCTCGGTCGTTCTCCCTGCCCGCCCCGTCGTCCACTGGTGCTGCCAGTCGGAATGTCATACCTGCTGCGGGCATCTTTATCGTCATCAGCGCCGCTGTCGCGGCCTCGGTTTAGTCGTTGCTACTGAGTACTCGAGAACGCATATATACCAGTTTCCACGTAGCCAGTCCTGTGTCCCTAGGCTCCAATGCAGGGAGTAAACGCGAGCCAGAAGCCAGTTACAGTTCACGTGAGATACGCGTGATTAGCACGTGTACAAGCATGAGCAAATAAGGGAGTCCCTTGTGTCTTCCCTGCCTAACTACCAGAAAGATCGGATGCGTTCGTGAGATTACGACCTTCATTCCCTCGCCTTCTTCATTTCCATCTTTACCATGAGGACGCGGGACAATTTACGGAGGCTTTCAACGTCATCAGCGGACATCTTTCTCCCAGGGCTGTTGAGTAGCGACATGGAAAAGACACGTACGGCGGCGGCGCGCTCGAGCATCGCCTCTTCCTGGGTGGATAGGAAAAGGGCATAACCTGCGATCCTCCGAAAGGGAAGCCGATGGAACACGCGTGGATAATGCTAATCAGCCCCTATATTTTGGTGTCTTTTAAGCGCCTTTTTGAACGTAAGATTCAACTTGATGATTCGGGACACTTCTTTCCCCAGTACGGCACGCAGCCCCACCCGGTATTTCATACTTAATTCGGAACGTCATTGCGACACGAACGGCCTCTCCTCTTCGCTCCCATGTCCAGACTTCCCGGCCGAGGACCAAGGCTGGCTCGTCGCCCCTCCCACCAGGCGCTGGGTTCCTTCCGATATTACTTGCCCAGCTTCTCTTCCAGTACTAGCAGCTCGTTGTCTTCAGCCCCGGACGCTCAGCACACCAGCAATTTGATCGACGAGGAAATCAAGGTCAGCGGCGACTCTTGATCTCTCCCGTTCCCGGGCCAAATATGACTACAGAGAGACGCTGTGAGAAGGCAAGGGGAGAGACTCCGCGAGGTCAAAGGTGCGGACGCTATTCTGGTGGGTCTTTTGACACGATTGACCTGAATGTTCCTAGTTGTTCTCCTGGGACAGGCAGAATCTGGTTGGTGCACATCTCGGACTTGATGGTAGATGACGTGAATTGACGGGATCATAGGCAAGTCGACACTCCAGAAACAACTGCAGCTCTACCACGCATCTCATATCCTGGACGCCGAGCGCCCCGCCTGGCGCATCGTCGTGTACGCGAATCTAATCAAAGCGGTCCGGATGATTTTCGAGGAGCTCGACTTCGAATTCTCAGCGGCCGCGGAAGAATACCCCCTCCCGTCTGACGGCTCGGGACCGACAGACGTCGCAGCCCAAAATGAACTGAACGTACTTCGAAGGAAGCTCCTCCCCCTGATCTCGCTCGAGAGCTCGCTGTCGTCAGAGCTCAGCGAGGATGTCGCGTTCACACCGAACCGCCACGGGACACTCTTGTTGTCTCCCAAGGGCAGGAGGTCGAGCAGTCGTCCCATCTCGGCTTTGCGAGACTCGAGCCGAGCTGTGTTGGCGACCAATAGGGTGGCGCAAGTCCTGTCAGAGCTGGGCACTCTGTTAGAGCTTTTATGGCATCACCGTACGGTGCAGTATATGATTCGTGTTCGCAAGCTGCGCTTGGAGGAATCCGGACATTTGTACGTCAAAACTTTTTTCTCTCTGTCGGTGCGCACAAATCAATGTTTTCTCAGCTTTTTACAAGAAATCAGTCGAGTATCTCAGTCAGATTACTGCCCCACGATCGGTCAGTCCCGTGTCTATTCAAGTGCTTATTGCTCACGCATCGCATTAGATGATGTTCTGCATGTCCGACTTCAGACAGTTGGCGTTATTGAACACGTTCTCCGAGTGGGTAGATCGAATATCTGGAAGATCTATGATGTCGGCGGTACAGTCAGCTCTCCCATTTCGGCATATTAGTTCGCCCATTGATAATTTGTCAGCGGGCACAGGTATCTTGGTTGTAATTGGACTCTTTCACCTTAACTGAAATGTAAACTATCAACAGCGACCCGCATGGTCAGCCTATTTCGACGACGGTGACGCGGCTGGATCTTTCCCATATCTGAAAGCTAATGTGCATTTTGATAGTAAATGCATTGGCAATACTGGTTCCAATCTCTGCATTTGACCAGGTGCGGCAATTTGACTCGGATTAAAAGGCATTCATTAGACCAACATCCGCATATCTAGTACCTTGAGGAAGATCCCCTCACTAACCGTATCCACGACTCCTTGGAACTAGTGACGGCGATTTGTGCGAACAAACTTCTGAAGAATGCGCAATTAGTTCTACTTCTGAACAAGGTGCGTATATTTCCCCATTCCTGGTAATGATGGTCTTATTTGTGGATAGATCGACTTATTGCGCCGCAAACTGGAATCTGGGCTGCAAATTCGGGACTAGTGCGCTGTTCCTCTTTTCCTTCCTTGCCCACACTAATCCGAATTAGCATAATAAGTTACGGGAATCGACCGAATAATTTCTCGGCCGCGGCCGATTACTTCCGGTCTCACTTCCTGACCGCTCATAAGCGGAAAGATCCTTTCAATCGCAGCTTATATGTCGTGGGTCCCTTCATCTTAGCCTCGGTTCCGGATCATCTGAGATCTTTTCGCTGTTGCAGCATCTTACTTCCTTGGTGGTAAGCTAATCGAGTCCCGCCGGGAAGAGTCAAATATTCACTATCTGCCAACTCAGGACGTACAAGCCTCGCAGATCATTATTGCCAGCGGTAAGTTCTTGCTCCGTCCATGCTTCTAGATCGACAGTTCATGTGGGTCATACTCAGTGCAAGACGTGATCATGCGCAAGCACATTGCGCAATCGGGTTTGACGTAGTCGCCCGCACTGAGCTCGGAATATCTGTGTGACTTGTAATTAATGCGCTTATGTTGTAGTTTGTGATATACAGGAGGCACCGGCACGTGCACCGAATACAGGTTCGGATACTTCCGGAGCCCCTAAGTATGTTGTGCGTTTGTGACACATCTCCTCACTTCAGACCACCTGGTCGCAAGCGCACTCTTCTCATCATCCTGGTAGGAGACCGTTTTCCTAATCTTGTAACCAGAAGTCCCAGGTGACGAGAAGATTCCAGTATGGAGTCGTCTTGGGGAGACTTCCCAGTTGCAGGGCTTTGCGGAGCGATAGTCCCATTGCGCGCAGGTTAGAAAACATGCTGCTTCTCAGAAAACATGAGCCCTCGGACTCTCGTACCGGACAAGCTCAACCTCTGTCCTCAGCCTGCTTGAGGAGTCTGCATGTATGAAGTCTTGGGTGACCTGCAGGCAAGCCTCCTTTTTTTGTGGCTGCGGACCTCGAACTCGGCCATTGAGTGAAATTGGCACCGGCCGCAGGTCTGTGTTCTAGAAAGGGTCGGACATGACTCATCAACTGGAATGGTATTCTGGAATCTACGGCAGCTGCTGAGCATGGTCTGGGCGAGGCTTTGTCGAGCTGAGCTGGCGTCCACGCGCTCGATGCATTGCGTATTCACTTGCGTATGCAACCTTATTATCGCCTGTCGGATCATGGCGACATGGTCTGGTGACAACCTGCCACAAATTCTGCTATCTCTAGAATCTTCGGAACTATTCGCGAAGTCTTCCCTAGGCCCCCTCCGGGTTGCGACTAATGCTCCACAGCAACCGAGGGGACTCTCCACAGGGGTGACTCCAACCTCATCGATTGTCCCACTGTTTCGCCTGCAAGGTTTGGGTTATGCGGCGACGCAAGACTCAGTAAAACGAGTCACATCAATCAATGGTCACACGCTTTAACCCCATCAGGTAATCTTCGTGGAAAACGTGCTGGCTGGTCAGGTCTCGCCGCCGTGGTTGCTCACCCACCATCATGTCGCCACCACCTCCACCCCCACCTCCGCCACCTCCCTTGTGTTTTCCCTTTGGCTCAAATAAGCCTAAACGCCGTCTCACTAGCGACGACGTTACGAGTGTCGCTGGATCGTACAGCACGGGCCTGCCTCCCTCAAGCTACGACGAAAAGTACCGGCCGAACACCTACTCCAGCACATCCTCTTTGACGAGAACGGACTCTCTGAGCTTCAAGACGGACTCGGAGGACTATGGGACAGTGCGGGGAAGCGAGCATCCGGATTGGCAGCTTGGCAAAAAGGGTCCGCGGATGGTGCGAGCCAACACCATGGCAGGAACCAAACCTCCCAAGGAGCCATCCTCGGGCAGCAAGTGGGGCTTTTTAGGAGGGAAGAAGAAGGAGAAGGACAACCAGAAGGACCTGGTCGTCGCTTTCCCAGGCCAACCACCCATGTCGGAAAAACTGCCCTCAAATGGTGGCGCCCCGCGCGGTGTACCGCTATACGACCCCCCAGTCCCTCCGGCCCGCATGGACTCGCGGAATAGCCGTGAAACAAGGTCTTCCCGCGATACCAAAGACTCACGGCGATCGAAAGAATCCCGGGGCACACGAGAATCACGGAGTTCCCACAAGACCCGTGAGTCAGATGAGACGAGGGTGTCTGGGGAAACGAGACCCTCTTCTGGACGCAGTCGCAGCTACACCCAGCCCACCGGCAAAAGCTCTACTCCCAGCCCACAGACGAGCCAGCGGAGTACTGGGGCCCGTGGATCGGGCGGATCGGGAACTCAAGGCGGTGGCCCGTCATCCCTCGTGCGGAATGACTCGCAAAACACGCTCGTTGGGTCTGCGCTGGAACGCAAGATCAATGACGTTGAGCCGAGCATAGAGAGGGCGGACACGCGTGTACGTCTCGACGATCTGCGCAAAATCATGACGAAGGACAGCTTGGATTACTAGTGCGCCCGACCCTCAGCTCCACGGCTCGTTGCTGATTGCCCCACAGTATCATTCCAAGCGAAGACTCCCATCAGTCCGAATACGTTGCTGCAACCGATAAGCGTCGCGAGTACATATCTGGGTGAGTGCGCCTTGCTTCTACGGAGGTCGGATCTAATATCCGACGTGTGGCAGATTCTCCGGCTCATCCGGCCAGGCCATCGTCACACCGAATCACGCCTTCTTGTTCACGGACTCGCGCTACTGGTTGCAAGCCCAAGAACAATTGGATGAGAACTGGGAACTTGTACGTGTAGGCTCGCCAGGTCTGCCCAAAGACTGGATCGAGTGGCTAGTGGTACGTGATAGTGCTCATATCAGGTGTGGTACTGAAAGAGCTGCAGGATCGAGCGCGAAACTCTCGTATCGGTATCGATGCTCGTATGATTTCGCACGAGAAAGCCGCCGTTCTCAACAGCAAGCTGGTCCAGCGGGACTCCAAGATGATATATCCTCCCCAGAACTTGGTCGATCTTGTTTGGCGTGACAAGATCGGAAAGTCGCGGGAACCCCTGTATCGGCAGCCCGACAAGTTCACCGGTGAGCTGAATATCACATTACGGTCCCCGCCATGCTGACCCTGGTTTTCCCAAGGCCAACAGGCTGACAAGAAGTTGGCACGTTTACGGGATTGGATCGCCAATCAACCTCCCTCGATCCCTTCTTACTCCAAAGGCCCGCCTACAGAATCTCAGATTCATGTCGCTACGCTGGTGTCGTCATTGCCCGCCATCGCATATCTGCTGAATCTGCGTGGTTCTGATATCCCTTTCAACCCGTTGTTCCATGCGTACTTCTTCATCAGCCAGGACACAGCCATCCTCTTTGCCGATGCGGTGAAAGTGAACGAGGACATCCACGAGTATCTGCACTCGTTGGGTGTCGAGCGGAGGGATTATGTCGAGATCTGGCAGTTCCTGCGCCGCAGAGAATGGGGAGCGGGCAAAGTGCTCATTACCCCGCAGACCTCATTCGCAATCTCGCTCATGCTGACCCACTTGCGATACACGGTGGCGCCCAACTATGTCGAGGAGATGCTGTCCATCAAGAACGACACGGAATTGCATGGACTGAGGGAAGCGTATATCAGAGACGGAGTGTGCTATGTGGGTGTCACACGAACACCTAATCCGGTGGTACTTATGTTTGTTCAGGTCCGATTCCTTGCCTGGCTCGAGGACAAGTTCAATGCAGGCTACGACATCACGGAATACGAAGCCGCTCAGCGATTGACTGAATTCCGGCGCAAGGCTCCTTACTTCATGGGCTTGGCATATGAGAACATTTCCGCCAGCGGGCCGAACGCAGCATTGCCGCATTACTCCCCGAGGAGAAGCACTGCTCGGATGATCGACAAGTTCACGCCGTACCTGAAGTGTGTTCCCATGAATGTCTGTTGGTCTGTGTGAACTGATTGTCTCGCAGTGACTCTGGTGGCCAGTACCGGGATGGAACATGCGACACGACTAGGACATGGCATTTCGGCCGTCCCACTCCAGAACAAAGTGATGCGTACACCCGCGTGCTTCAGGGTCATGTACGTGCCTATCTGTCTCGTGCCTTCATTTCCATCCTGACTGGCTTTACCAGATCGCGATTGACTCTGCAGTGTACCCCGAGGGTACCTCGGGATTGCAGCTCGACGTGCTTGCTCGTCGAGCGTTGTGGCGAGATGGGCTTAACTATGGGGTAGGTGGCCAAAGTTGTTCTTGTGTTGCACGTTGCTGATCTTATGCAGCACGGGACAGGCCATGGCTTCGGATCGTTCTTGACTGTACACGAAGGCTCCCACGGCTTTTCGAGCTCTGTGCCGCTCCAGGCTGGCCACGTTGTCACTAACGAACCTGGTTTCTGTGAGTCACGTTGAATGATATTTGTGGAGTCATTTGCTCAAAGCTGTTGGTAGATGCCGAAGGCCAGTGGGGCATCCGTCTCGAATCGGCCCTCATCGTGCGCCCGGTCTCGGTAAGGGGCTTCCTTCATCGACTATTATGGCGCTCAACAGTCTTCAGATGAGCCGTCGCTACGGCGGCAACTCGCGCTGGCTCGGATTCGAGCGGCTCACGTGTGTTCCTATCCAGACGAAGATGGTCAAGGAGAGCATGATCACGAGAGAAGAGAAGAACTGGCTCAAAGACCACAACGAGCGCTGCTGGACCATTCTGAGCCCCCTTCTCAAGGATGACAAGCGGGCCCTTGCCTGGCTGAAGCGCGAGACGACTCGTGGAATGGGTGTCGCGACTGGTCCTGGTGGTCTTGCCATCGACTGGGATTGAGAGCGTGACCTTGATCCGCCAGTAGACGAACACGAACATTTACTGCTGCTATCTATTAGACTAGTTTCCCTTCTTCCTCTTCCCTACGTCCGTCGTTAGGATGGATATGATATGACTTGATGGACGGATCTTTATTACCTCTGCGCTTTTTGTATATACTTACTTGTTGTAGTGCCCTATGCCACTCCTGCTATGGACCAAGTACAGTAGTCCGCGCGATGTAAGTAGCAGAGATGTTGTACGTGTTTCACCTGTTCAGTCTCTATCTAAGTCTTATGCACCGAATTCACTGGAAGAATTGCAGTAAGTGTCAGGCGACGCATATCAGATCCCATCGGCCGGCCAGGCTGTCCTTACAAATCGAGCACACCCCTGATTGCCCAGTCGCGCCCAAGTTCGACAATGTCTCATCTCACGTTTACCAGCCCTTCCCTAAGCGCCTCCTTCACAAGCCGAGTAGAAATGCCTCACGCGGGATGGGATCGAAAGAGGCGGGATCCGAATTGTAGGGGTATAATATCTGGTAATACAAAACGAGATAGCAGATGCAGAGTAGAATGATGTCCAAGAATGCAAGGCGAGAGAGCGGCAGCAGATGCACAACTTGTACGTTATCACAATCAGTAACGGCCAACGAGATAGCAAGATAGCAAATGCACAGAACACACACAGCAGATAAATAAACAAAGCGACCAAAGAGGTGATCACTAACGCAGCGCCTCAATGATCAAAATGAGGAGAGGCCGCGACCTTGGGGTGCTCTGGCGCACTGAACCAATTGCGTAAGGACTGTTGCAGGTTCAGCGGCCATTTGCTGGAGAGAACCACATCGGCAGGCGGTGGGGGCAGGTGACGTGCACGTAGCGCTTTAAAAACCGATTCAAGCATCTTCGCAATCTCTGAGAGCCAGCGATCGCCTTCGGCCGAAAGATGCGTCGCTTTGCAACCAATGTTATCGCACCGCGTTTCTGTCCTCGGCTGCCGATGGGGCAACGGCATGGATGTACGACGACTTGTAGTCCGAGCTTCGATTCGGCCCTTTGAGAATGTGGGGGGCTCGGCCAGCACTTGTATCGAATCGGCCCTAGTCTTCGGTTTCTGCGGCAACTCTACGGTGGCTGACATGGGTGGATCCGTCCGTGTAGTTCCGGGGCAAACGAAGTAGTCCTTGGTTGGCATGTTTTCTGGGAGCGTGTGGCGTCGTTTGGGAGCTTTGCCCCGGATCCGCGTTGTGATCCGAGCAACCCGGTTCGCCATTGGTGTCCGGAATCTTCGCCGGTACTTGTCCCAAACTTCGGCCCGCGCCTGCTTGCGAGTTCGAGAAACCATATCCGGAAGCTCGCCGACGGTCACATCTTGGTTCGAAGCAACAACGTCGATGATGCAACGGGCCATGGTCACCTTAGTGCCCTCCGAGTACGAAGTCAGCTGCGAATCTTCGCAGGACGAGATGCAGAGAACATTCGCAGCGATGGCTTGTTTGTGGCCCACGACGGAAATACCCTCACGAACTCTGCTTCGGCAAGCTCCGTCGCATCCCGGGTAGGACAAAACTGATAAGGGACTGCCGCATCTCGGCACAGGTTCCCAGTGCGCAGGGTCGATTGAATGTGTGGGGGGAATGTTCTCCTTGTCTAGTGACATCTGCCGGCTCGGGGAAACGACAGTGATTTCGGATGTTCTACGTCGGAGAGGAATGCGGTTGGTTGTGGCGGAGAATGATATCAGCTCCAGGTTTGATCCGGGACTTGCATTACAATGCGTGTGTTCGATATCTGGGGCGACGATTCAGCACGCGCACTCAAATGCACCCAGCAGGCAAACAAACCTAGCAAGGTGCCGGAGTGACACGAGTCTAAGATCGCCACAAGAAAAGAATCCTTTGGCAGCGGGACAACCAAATAGCGATATAGAATCTAGGCGAGGTGGGTATCCAGACAGGCAGAAGTTCATTAGGAGCGAGACATACATTGTCGATGATAGACCTTCCATCATGGGTGATCAAGAATTCATCCATGTCGTCTTCTTCGGTCCCACGAGCATTGGGGTGCTGGAAAGTGTGGCCTGCATCTGAGGAGCTATGAATCAGCTACAGAATAACACTCTCGGGTCAATTCATACGCACAGAAGAAACAGACATGGTCCCCAGACCGTACTCGCATGCCCAGAGCCCGGATTTCTCGCAGCTGCGAGGCAGATGAGCGTACAAGTCGGTAAAAACGTGTTAAGAGAGCAACGCACAATATTGTTGTGCGTCGGGACGATAGACCCTTCTTTTCCGTCGTCCATCAGGCGGATGATGTTCTCGGATGGGTATCCGTGACTATTTGACGGATCAGGACATGTAGACAGCCCACAGATGCACACACATAGTTGTGAGGACGTCATAGAGCTTCTCCGCGTCCTCATGAACGCCAGGTAGCGAAGAATACTCCTCGGTCTTGACCTGGGGTTCATCTGGAGGCACCATCATAGGGTTTGGAGAGTCGCGCGACGAGAAACCTTGAATGGCGATGAGCATGCCCCATTTCTTTCCGATGGGGGGAGCAGAGAGAGGTGAGAGGGCGCCCTCAGCGCCCGACAAAACATCATCCAGCTGGGCAGCAGAGAGAGAGGAAAGGCCGCCTGGCAGGACATTATCCAGCTGCCCCAGCACATGATAGGGCTGTGTCGTAGTCACTGGGCTCGGGGCGGCGCGGCCCGAGACGGTGTACGAGAGGGGTCGTGAGCGAGTCGGTAGCATGCGGGAAAGGGAGTGTATCGGTAGAAAGAGACGGGGGGTGAGGTATAAGATGCCTAGGATGATCTCTGCTTATATTCCGTACAGGTCCTCAACCGCAAAAGGCACTGTGAACAGCAGAGGAAGCCGGGAAAACTGCAAGTAATGATTGCGCATGAGTCATTTCGGGATGTGCTGAGATTAGGGGAAGTGCGCATTTCAGCGTGTACCGAAGGCAGGGTGGTTCGCCGTCCGGCGAGTAGGTGACACAAAGAAGCGTCCAAGGCCAAAGGGACAAGCCGCACAAAGGGTAGTGACGCTGCCCGGGGAGATGCTAGCCATGTAGGGTTGCATAACGACACAAAAATTCGACGACACCACCCAGCGTATGAGGGAGTCGAGCTGCGGTCTGCGGGATGATCTGGATCGATTGGTTTGCTGAATCTGGAATGGCCGTGACTCTAGACCGCGTATCCACAGCGCCGCCGACGTGATGGGGTACAGCGCTCGACGTAGGTATAACGTGCAGTGAAGGTCATTCCTCTGCCCTGTGCCGGATCCGGAGCAAGTTCCCCTGCTTCTCCCGCTGCTGGTTCACACAGGATTGCGCAGCTTGGTTTGCGCCGCCCAGTTCAGTCTGCTCAACGTGACAGCATTCCTCCAAATCACATCCTCCAATGTTGTCCGCTCCCGCGAGCCGACTCGTTTGCGAGTGACTCCTGTCGGCAGTGCTGACAGCACTGACACGTCACCGCATGAGACATGCGATTTTCCGCGCGAGGATGACCGACCAGCGCCGGACCCGAATGGTTCACAGTGCCTGCACCACCACGGAGTTTGAATTTCGAAGCAGCACGTGAGCAAACGGCATCGCCGACCTCCGTCCTAGCATGGGGGATCGGGGTGTAGAGAGACAAGTTGAGCTGGTTCTTGCTCAGCAAGACAGCGATGCTGATGAGATGGAAGCGGAGGGTGATCCGGACCTGGATCTGTCGAGGGTGGCGTTCAGCGCTTGTCACGTGTGCTTCAGCGCACTCCCCAACGGCGGTGATAATTTGGAGGTCAATTTGGCAAGAAGAGGAGGCGGCTCATCCTCCTTGATTCCAGCTGCACGGCTTCTCCTTGACCGACCAAGTGCTCATCGGACTTGAAGAAGCCTTGACGCTGGTAGAATTTGGCACTCAATCCTAGTGATGCAGTTCCCTGCCAGCCTATCTACATAGATGGAGCCAAAGACATAGAAAAGAACGTCGCCCAGTAAGAATTAATAGTAGCAGGAAGCCCAGACATAGCAGATATAGCAGCTCAGAGTGATCGTTTAATGGGAGTGTGTGTACGATTTCCATATTGGGAATTTTATACACAAGTACAAGCCAACCGCACCTGCTGTAAATAAACCCTCATCATTAACGCCCTTGACTAGCTCACTGAGCCGTGGTATTTTTAGTGAGTTCTCAATAAGCCTAGTCCAAATGTCTGGGATTACATGGAGAGTACGTATCTTATGTTTCATCGATATATGAAGTTTGAGACGCAGGTCTCAGAGGACAGATTATCCAGAGCCACCACGTGACTGGGAGATTCACAAATTTCAGACTTGAATAAATATTCAAACAGGCAGCGTAACACAGATATTCATCACACTGGAAAGACCAAGTCAGCGACACACCGCTTGCCCTGAGACGGCATCCATCCATGTTCGGCCCATGTCGATTGGTTTCCCGCTCGACAGCTCTGGATCCTGACGCGCCAGGAAAAACTGCCTGCGATGATGGGGTCCCCATTTCAGGAAGCCCAGATTGAGCGCCCTCTCCACCACTTGAGAGAGGGGACGCCGGGGGCGGCGTTGCCAGTGCGGGTCACTCCGAGCCGTGCTCGTGCGGGGAGCGGGGTCGCGCATGCCAAGGTCCTCCAAGATGAAAGTCCCGTGACCGTGAGGAGGCCGCTCTGGCTGGAGGGGCAGCACAACCGATGGGACGGTGTGCGGATCGGAGAGGCTGCGCAAGAGAACAGGACTGGTCTTCTCGATCTTCCTCGCGTGCTTCAGAGCCCACTGAACAAACCGGCGGTTCTCTATCCCCCGTGCTTCCCGCTTGAACGTCATCGCTTCCACTTGCGCTGTCATTTGCTTCACCACATCATGCAGTGTGCTGTCCGGGGCGGTGCGGAGAAAGTGAGCCAGGCAGGCGGTGAATGTCGCATGGCCACTGACATCCCATGCGCTTTGGGAGTCTTGGCAGGAAGAGAGACAGATCACATCCGCGCGCACAGGCTGTTTCCCAGGACGAGCGACTTCCGGACCAGGTCTTCTGCGACAATCCCCGAGACAGGACCACGGATGAAACCTGAAAGAGGAAGACAAGGTCACAGGGACGAGCGCAGCTGTCGACGCAACACATAGAACTTCACGTATGGTGGGATAGAAGAGCGAATGCCGAGGCTTGTCGTAACCTGGTCTGTTGCATAGATAATGGCGGAGGTCTGTCGGATGGTCATGTTTATCATCATGCTGGTCAAGCAGGTGCGCACCGAGCAGTGTCCCCGAATGGCACGTGTCTAGGACAGCGACCAGATGAGAGCCAGAGGGAAGCGGGGCGACGAGACGATCGTAAAGTGTCTAGAGCACAGTGAGATCGTGGAGCGCGTTGGCTACTATCACAGGGGAAGCTTACGTTGTCAACGATTTGCGCCCCATCGCCAGCGATCAGGACCTCGTCCATCCCGTCATCCTCCGTCAGGGAGCGGTTGAGTTGCTGAGTCGTATGTCCGGAATCTGGGGGCTCAGTCAAGCGTCGCCTCAAGCAGACTTGGTTTCGTGGACTCACAATGGAAGAAGATATGGTCTCCGCTCTTCACCCCTTGAACAAGTTTGTCGATCGCACGAAGCTGACAGAGATCGAGATGAGAGGCGGTATATTTACGCCGGAGGACACTCACAAGGTTCTCCTTGGTGGGATCAGGGCTCACTCCATCGTCAACAAGACAGACAATGTCCTTTGGCTCATAATGGCATCTGAGGGAAATGAGCAGAAATTCGATGGATATAGTGTGACAACATACACATCCACGAGCAGACTGTACATCTGTCTCACGTCGTCATGCGCAGACGGAATCGGACCATAGTCGCTGTCTCGGGTGTCGCGTATCCCGACCAGAAGAGCTCGGCGCTGACGTCCAGAACCCGATGCACGGTCACGGAGAATGGACGCCAGATCCGCGAGCAGCAACGAAGGGGCGAACAAGGCGGAGATGCGTCGGGAGGGTTTCCTCAAGTGGGGAGTCATGGGAGAGATATGGGGATGGAGCAGAAGGCTATAGATTATATGTATGAGACCGTAGGATGTGTGCCGACGTTCCACAGCTGCGTCGCGGCATGGCGCCGGGACCGATGCCCACAGCTATGGTGGCGGAGGATCAGGATGCACAAGGAGTCAGGAAGCGTCATGATTGACGGATGATGGAGGCTGAAATGTAGAGCTCGTACTCGGGACTCGAGTAAGTAATCCACCGAACGGATGTAGGATCTCTCACGGACACGTGATTTGCTCTCACACATTCCAATTATGGTGGCGGTCACAACTTCATGACAAGTCTGAGTCCCGATTTGGCAATTGCTACTGCCGACTAAGTTTTGGAGAAAAAGTGATGAAATAAGTGTAGATAGCAGCAGAATGACCCAATCTAAAGATCTGCCGGGACAGAAGTTTCAGAAAGTTGAATTTTGTTTTTCCGACTCAGAATCTGCCGTTTTGATTGCGGATCAACCGGTCCGGTGGCTGTGTCGCACCATCAGCGCGCTATTTTTTGGACCCATGCCTCGACGCCCGCATACAGGAGCTCATGCTCAGCGTGGCGCTAACGGAGCGTTCAAATTCAAAAGCCTTGTGCTAGTGTGTATATATATATGGTGCTCAGAGGCCTGGGTTGGGTACACACAAATTTTTTTTTGCATCCCAAAATCTGCCGTTTGTAACCCTAATTTAGGAGTAGCCCCGATTTTTCTGAAATAAAAATTTTATCGACAAACCTACCCTATGTTCCTTCCAAATCTGAAATATTGGGAGAATCTACCCAAAAGTGTGGTTTGACATGAAGTTGTGACCGCCACCATACTTACCTGGAGGCCGTTGGCCGCTCTGAACCAAGTTTGAGCAAATTCGAGAACGTCGATCTCTACGTTCGATCCTCAATTGGGTCTCAAGATGAGCTTCAACGCGTAAAAATCTGTATTTTGGGGCAAATAGTCATGTTTATCGGTTTGATCAAGTCTAGATTTAAAGAGACCCTGTCGCTTCATCCTTTTCAACTGAATCTGAGTTATAAGGCTTCCTATGAGATATCCATAGGTACATGCGTGGGAAGTTCGGCTGTAGTAACATCGGTTGTACAGGCTGTGTGTGATGGAATGATTACAAAATCTAACCCCCGAAACACCCCCACGAGACAACGACTACCTCCCGACCTCATGAGCGACTAAATCATGATAGAGTGTGAAATACGAGCTTTTTGTCGTGAGGGATCATTTTCTGCCTGGCTATATAGCATCTATCGTACTTTTGTCTGTCCTTGACGATCAGATTGTGACACTGTACTTGGTCCGTGTCTCAGGTCTACAGTAACTGATAAGATTTGGTATAGATTGACAGTAAGGATCTAAATGAAACGCTTCTCGCGCCAGTATCCAATCCATCTCGCTGCGTCGTCGAGGTCTAGAGGCTTCAAATCTCTGAAGGCCGGACTATACTCTTGCGACACCGACGTCGCAAACCGGACGGCACCAGCCCTCATCTCAGCTGACCGGAAAAACTCAAGCAGCTTGATAGCGGGCTGTGATGGATGGCATGAAACGGAGTCTCATTCTCATCAACGAAAACACCCACCACGCGCTGTAAGTCCTCCGCAGTCGCACCCACCGCAGCTCTCTCGAGCCGCTCAATCCACTCCGAAAACACAATCAACGGCAGATGGAGGGTGCCGGCGATCGCAGTCATGATGGTGTCCCACGCGACGGGTCGTGGATGGACGAGATTCATCGCACCGGGCGCCCGGTCCTCGAACACTGCGACATCTACGATGGCTTGCGCCACGGCTTCAGGCGGAAGCCACGCGTTGAGTCCGGCAAGCTCAGATGGCAAGGCACCCAGCGCGATACTGGATTTGACAAGGCTCGGGACCCAATCAGACGTGGACCACGCCCCAGTTCGAGCTGAGCCGCAGATTTGCCCAATGCGGAAAGACGTGGCATCCAGTCCGGAGGCAGCGATGATCTGTGCTTGGGTCCAGCCCAGAATTCAGGATAAAAATCTTGAACACGCACCCGCTCAGCCACGTATTTGCTCTCCCCATACCCCAGCCCCAGCGCAGCGCTCGAGCAAGGCTGTAGCTCTTCCGGAAACGGACCTTGTCTCGGATCCCAGCCGGCAGCAGTCCCAACGGAAGAAGTGAACAGGAAGCGGACTCCAGTGTTCGAGGCCAGGGCGAGATCGACCAGGTTGCGCGTACCTTTGATGTGGGGCTCGAACGAGGCCAGCGACTTGTTGAAGTCGAGAGTCCACCCGTTGTGAATGATCACGCTGACTGTGTTGTGTAGCTGGAATGTTGTGTGGGTCGATACTGCAGATAGAAAGAAGGATCCACTCACAGTCTCGAAAATAGAAGTTTCCAAATCAGCAGCAGTACCCTCGAGGAAGACGAGCCTGTCAGGGTCAAGCAGAAGCTTCTGATCCAGTCCACGCTCCAGAAATGCAGCGCTTTGTCGAGAGGCTGAAGTCGCACGCGAGCTGTACCGGTTTAACGCGTAGACACGGCGAATGGACGGGTGCTTGAGCAGAATCTCGAGCAGATGCGAGCCGAGACCGCCCGTCGACCCGGTTAGCAGCACAACCTCGCCGCCTTCCGGTCGAGTCTTAGCGGGCGAGCTCCCGCCCAATGCAGTCGAATACGTCGTGATCATCTGCTCAACAGCAGCTTCAGGATCCATAGCTTCCGGAAGTGTTCCCAGAGCGAGAGCCGAGACAGCGGTGGCGAGCAACTCGATCGTGGAATGCGAATACACGAAATCTTGTGGAATCTTCGGTGCAGTGGCTTTAGATTTCGAGGTCGATGAATTGTTCAGGGCACCGACGATCCGATGACGGAGGAACGTCGCGTGGAGACTGTCAAAGCCCTGGTCGAAGATATCGCTGTCCGCGTGGAATTCCCGTTCCGAAAGCGATGAAGCGTGTGCGGAAAGCCACGGGACGAGGTCAGGCACGGTCCAGCTGGCGGGCGCAGCTATGTCGTCCGCAGAACTGATACTGGCATCAACCGTCTCGTACCTGGAAGACGCGTTAACACTTTCCGGGTGTATTCAAAGCTACCCTGGACCCACAACTCGTCAATTTCAGCTCGGTATAAGGCAACGCTGGCTTTCTTCATCACTGTCCCTTTCGGGGTGCGGAGAAGAGGCTTGGCACGGGGAGTCACGAGAATCATTTCCTTGTATATCCGGGCAAACGCCGGCGCAGTCTCATTCGCTTCTTGCATCTGCTCCCTGTTTCAAGATGATTGAAGCCCTCAAAGCCCTCACCCGTCGCCACAGATAGTGCGCACCAGATCAAATTTCGAAACTTGGCAACTTCCGCAGCGTCCATGGTATTCACCTCACATGCCACGCTCGGCTCGACTAGAGCTCCGAGCTGATTTCTCTCCCGACCGAATATGACGGCCCCAGAAACATAAGGGCTAGAGAGCAAGATGTCTTCCATTGGGGCTGGCGCCATTTTCTCTCCGTTGGCCATGATGAGTAGGTCATCCAGCCGCCCAACAGTCCGATAAAGGTCAGGTTTTGTGGGATGCTTCTCGAACAGATCCTTGGTCGAGTAGCCTTGGACGTCAGGGAGGTTCTCAACTGCCGGGTGGAGGGTGTCGCAACTCTGATAGCGGCGTGTCACGCAGAGAGTTGGACTTGGAGTCCATTGACTCACCAGGAATTGAAGCTCGAATGTGTTGACGTCACCCTCTGGGACCCATCGAAGTTTTACTGTTTCTGAGAACTTAAGCCAAGCCCAGTCTCGGGGACCACTGTCGGCCCGGATGACATTTGGCAAGCCGACTGCAATTCGTGAGTAGGCTGTGGAGATGAAGATCCCGTGCGACGACTCACATTCCGTCGCCCCAAAGAACTGCACGATCTTCACACCTTCTTTGACGAGCTCGTCGCCTACCTTGAGCGTTAACGATCCTCCACCGAATGCCTTGCCTGATTCAGTCAACGAAATTACCGAGATCGAAAGACTTACGACCATATTCAAGCTCTTGAGATAGCCGACCGCCTCCGGAGAACGAGCCCACTCCAAAATGAACGCAGGGACAGCGAGTAGTCCATCGGCTCTCGCGAGCTTTGCGTTGTGTAGGGCAAGATCGGACGTCGCGTTGGGCGGGACGCGGTACTCGGTTGCTGTCGAGGCGGGAGGCAAGATACAGGCCGTGCCGTGGTTGAGCAGTGGGACCATGAGCTGCATGAAGCACCCCATCGCGTGAAACGGCGGTAGCGTACCGATCGCGAAGCGCGGTGCGTACAATTTGATTTGGCGGAGCGCACCTACCGGTATGTGTCAGGACTCCGCCACATTGGGCTGTTCAAAGGAAGGGATGACGCGCACCGAGAGCCGATATTTCGAGGAACAAGCGATGGGAGAGACTGATCGGCTTGGGGAATCCTGTGCTTCCACTGGAGTGCAAGCACAATGCGATGTCGGTCATGCGTGGAGTGAGGTCAGAGACTAGGTACGACGTAAACTCGTCGGCTGCCGACTCGCGCCCAAGATGAGGGTACAGTTCTCCCAGCAAGGGAATCTCCTCCACGGACAGCTCATACGACAGTTCCTGTGCAGCGAGCTCAGAGATGACATCGACGAGATTTCCCAGGGACGCTCGCGTAGTGAGCACGCGATGACAGCCGGTCGACTTGAGCAAATGTACGATTGCCGCGGGGGAGTTGCGGTGGGAGATCGGAAAAGGCTGGAATTTGATCCGAGTTTGGTGAGCGAATTGATCTGGAGTGCTATGTAGGCACCCACAACTAGACCGGCTCTGATGCATCCTACGACGATGGTCTGATAGATGAGAACGTCCGCGAGAGCCACCATCGCTACGAATCGACCTCCTCCTCCTCCTCCTCTGGTGTTCTCGGTCGAAATCAGGTGGGCCGTGCGATGAACCGCGCGCGTGAACTCAAACCGAGTGATGTCGGTCTGGACCACTCCTAATTCACGATCCTCTTTCGCGAACGAAAAGGCAATGTCATTATTCGGGTCATCAAGATTCAGGTCGAGGATCTGCGGGAAAATGAGAGAGCGATCGAGAGGTGAGGGAGCACTGCTGGAGGCACAGCCAGAAATGTTCGAAGAACCCATTGCAGGTTGATTGGAGGGGACTAGTATGTTCCGGTCCTGCTTTATACCATCTCTCCCAGATAAGCATGATTTTTGGTCCATCTGAGCCTTGTCTCCGAGCGTGATAAGTACCCAAACCGAGGTTGACATTGACACTTGTACTGGGAGGTGCGGAAATAGCCCCATTGCGGCAGTCAAGCTTCAAGGTTGAACATTATTAAACTTTGGTACCGTATGCTACGAGACAAGATGACGTGCGTAAGACAGTGTTGAGAGGTTAAACCCCGCCCTGTTCTGCCCGTGAAAGCGCCCGCAGGCAACGGACTCCTATGAGGACCGCACCAACACCTCGTATTCCCAATCTCTCCGCGTCAGCCGAACTGCAAGGTTCGATCTTTCCAACTTTGAACGAAGATCTTAGAGTGCTATTTTCAGAGCCTCCGCTGTGGTATTCGGGTGCGTCCCGCTCATAGGGCTTCATGAGTGCTTAAGGATGATACTTAGTGTAAATCCGGCGCTCATGATTACGTACCAAGGTTATTATGAATAACGGTCGGAAATGTTAGCTGTGCGCGGACAGAGCTGAACATGGGATAGCTGCTGAAATCAAACAATTCCATCTTTCATAGCGGTAGATACATTTAGCCCTCGCGCCTTTGCCCAAGGTTGAAACCCCGAGTTTGGCCTGGTTCTCCACGGAGGTTGGGTGCAGTTTGGATAAGTTGGAAAATTCTCTCTCACTCTGTGTTCTCATTTTGGCTTGATCGCACAAGCAACACGAGCCTCTAGCCTTCGGTATTCGCGCGCAATAATGCCGTGCGACCACACATATTTTTGTCCCAGAATCATCTGTATCCCCCGCAGCTGTTTCGAGCGCATCATGACGATTGCACGTATGCCTTCCGCTGACATCCGCTACAAAGGAAAGGCGGGAGCCGATTTGTTTACAGTCTCAGAGATCTCATTCCAGATGAAACGTTCGATCCTAGCGCACAAAAATCGCAAGCGTATTCTTTTCAGAACTCCACTTGAACTACGGGTGAGGCGGGAGTTCCACAATTGTGGGTATGCAGTATCACACCACCTTCCTTTTCGAGTTCATGGCGTAGCAGCACGGGCTGTGCAGATCACGTGTAATGACGTCATTGGTCAATTTTGAAATCTGACCACCTTCCGCTCCAAGACACCGTCGTGAGACAGCGACTTCTACCTTTCAGCCTCTCCTGAACGACTATATAACGACCCTGCAACGTGCCCATCCAACGACACCCCTTGTCTTCATATCCCACCGTCACCATGTCTTTCGGTACCCACCTTCGTCGAGGCCATCCCAGTGCGTACCTCACCCCATCTTGTTGTCACTCGCATTGATTTCCACGCAGTCACTCTTGGTCTCGTCATCCTATTTGCCATCTTTGAGGTATGTGTCTCTCTACTCCCGCCCAGCCTGTCTGACACCACTGGCGCAGCTCGCACTCTCCGCCTGGCTCACATCCAAGTTCAATGCCTTACACAACTACCGAAATCTCTCAGAGCGCGATCGCGTCCGGTTCACCCTCTTCACGTCCACATGGACTATTCTCACGTCGGGGATGCTCATCCTTCTGTTCATGCACTCGCCCGACGGCTCGGTGCTGACAAGTGTCCTCGCTCACATTGTCATGTGCGTCATCAATGACCCTGTCTTCCGTTCGTCCGATCTAACAACCGGCTCTCTGCAGTCTCGGCTTCACCTGGCTGATGTGGACTGCCGCTGCCGCCGCCGTGACTGAGATGCTCGGCGGTGGCCTCAACTGCAAAACGCAAGACGTCTTCGTTTACTGCAGTCAGCTCAACACCCTCGAGGCATTCGCATGGATAGAGTGGCTGCTCATAACCTTTGCGATCATCGTCGTTCTGGTTCGGGGTGTGTCAGCGTCACGGCGCGGAGACGGAGTCCGCGGGAGCCTGGCTTAGTAGTCAATGGCGGCATGAACCGCACTTTCTTGTTCGTCGCTGTACTGCACGTACTGTAGACTCTATCTTTTCATGTTTGTGTATTTGTCCTGCATTCCAAGGCTTGGTTTGGTTTGATTCAAAACTCGAATCCAAGAACTACTCGGCTGCGGCATGCAGGGAATCATCGGTGGCGGTGCCGCTCACATCCCCCTTGACCTTGTTCTTCTTTAGTTCTGTTCCTTGTTTACCAGAAGCCTCGTGGTCATCATTATGCTCGCATCTAAAGGGTTTGAGATGTTGATACCGCAAACTTCTTTCCGTTCTTTTCACCAACTCCTTCGAGTCGAGCTCACTTCAATTCATGGTCCGTATAGTAGCCATGCTTCAGTCCATCGGTTCAACTTCAGTCTATAGGTTCATTCTCTGCAGAGCAAGCTGGTTTCTCTTCCACAAGATGTGTCTAACTTCCTTGCTATCAACAACCTGCGCGCCATACTTTCCCTGGACCCGAATGCCGGCAGATGCATGAGTCGCCTTCCACCAGAGCTAATTCGAGAGATTTTCTTACTTTGCCAGCCTGGCGAGCCATACTACAGTTCAAAAACTTGGACTGGCCAAGTTCTAAGCCCACTTGTACTGTCTCACGTCTGCCGCAGATGGAGAGCTATCGCCCTATCGTATGCCACCCTCTGGTCGACCGTCTGGGTCTACCAACCTAGCCAAGAGCACATCCCCATGGTCAAGACGTGGCTCGAGCGCTCAGGACAGCAGCCGCTCACAATTCATATCACCCAAACGGAAATCACGGATTGGCGCCAGCCCCGTTACACCGACGAGATTATGTGGCTGCTCATTCCCCAGCTGCATCGATGGGGTCGCCTCAACCTGTACTTGCTGAGTCCCCTCCAGCATTCGCTCCATACGCTTTTCTGGGCTCCCAGAAAAGCACCATTGCTGACGCATGTCTACGTGTCTGCTCAAAACTGGGTCCAAGGGCTCAAGCCGACGCTTGAAAGAGGGTTTCTGTCCTTCCCCTCGATCCGCTCTGTCGTGCTCCCTCCTTCCGTCAACTTGAGCTTCGTTCCGTTTGCCCAGTTGACCGTCATCGACGCATCGCTCGGCGGCTGCTTCACACCGGACGTTCTCTTGGACACCCTACGGCGGTGCGGGCAGCTGCGCAGCCTAGCTCTTCAACTCGGGGCGGACCGATCCGGCGGCACGTTTGTCCCGCATCACACTTCGCTGCCCTACCTCTCGGACCTGAAGATGACCGTAACAGCAGTCAATCTGACCGAGTTGTTCGACTGTCTGACCCTGCCCTGTCTGGACAAGCTCATGGTGCATTACAACGATGCACCTCACGTGGCGGATGACGCTCGAGCCTTGGACCGTCTGCTTATCCGCTCAAAAGCGTTCCTGAAACGACTCGATCTCGCGGATCCACAGCACCCCGGGATCGAATGGCATCTTTCCTGGCTTCAGATGCGAAGCATGCAGCGCCTGGAGGAGCTGTACATGCATATCGCGCTCGACGATGCATTCGTCGCCGCCCTCACTCTCCGTCCCGACCTCCCATCCTCGCTGTTTCCTGGTCTGCGCACGCTCTATCTCCACGACGCGGAAGCCGGCCAGCACCTCAACGATCTCGAGCTGTATCGCATGGTCGTCTCACGGATCGTTCCGTTGACGATAGTCGCTCTGCTGGTTCGCATTGCTGGCCATCATGCGGCCCCAGCTCTTCCGTTCTTGATCGAGCGTTGCAAAAATCACATAAGTCTTGCCCTGACATTGCTGCCCTGCGGAGATCCGACGGCAAAGACCGGGCGATATCTGCCGCCGCCGATGGCAGGAGGATATTGCGTGGAGTGATGTCACGCGCCTGGAATGGTCGGGCTTGGCTTTGATTGGACACCATATTGTTGCCGACGATCGCTTCCAGCACCGACGTGTCGTCGGTGTATACTTGTGGACGCGGTGATACGCTGCTGGTTGAGTGCATTTTAGGCGTCCATGCCCGCTCACGCGATGTCTGTTCTTCGGCTGTCTGTTTTGGACTCTGCGGATTTGGATTCGGCGCATACAAGCTCGATTGGATATCGGCGTTCGATTACTCAGCGGTATAGCAGTACTCATTGTTTGTCTCCAATAAACGGGGCCTTCAAACACGCGAGAGGGTTTCCAGTTTTCGCTACGGTTGTTCGGAATTTGTGTGACTGGATTATCTTCAACGTCATAGCCCTAGTCCTCAGTTGTAGAGTTCACTAGTGGTCGCGTCCTTTCCACCCTTGCTCTGCAGTGCAAATTCTTATATTTCTGACAACATCATGAACCGAATGGAAACTCTACTATGGCAGGACCCGCGACGATTGTGTCGTCGTCGACCCTGCCTCCATCTCTCGTGATCACACAATATACAGACCCAGTCCGAGCAAGACTGATTGGCACTTGGACTTGACCATTTTGAACCGGAGAAAAGACCGGAGCACCGACACCGGAGATAAACGCAACAAACAGTTGTGAAGTGGAGTCCTTAGGCACAGGAAAGTCGACAGTAGCAGTCTTGCCCGGTTGCGCGTTCGAGACAGTCAGTGACGCGAAGGATGCGAGAGAGGGGAGAATGGCAGAGTTTGAGGAGGGGCATGACTTGATGAACTTTGATGCGATGTGGTAAACTTGACTGGGCGAGAGCGCAGTTTGAAATGATGTATCCCAAGCGCTTCCGTGCAAAGCAGAGGAGGCAAGCCAGGCTGCGGATATGAGTGCCGACTCTGAAGACGGACTCTGAAACATACCGGCATGTCGATTCTCAATCCCGAGAATACTCGCAGCCACAGTAAGATAGTTCTGGAGGAGGATGGTCAAGATGTATGCGTTCATTAGAGATCGCTTACTTTGTCGTTGATGTACTGCGCCGCGCCAGTATAGGCAGCGGAGCCAACCGATTCAAGAGACGCGCTGAGGGAAACTGCGGACGCGACGTCGGTTATGCCGCTGCGAGTCGTTAGACGAAACACATCGCTGAGTGAACAGTCGACACACAAATCGTACTCGCAACGCTCGACAGCCTTCGCACCAGCCGTCGTCAGAGCGGTGGAGAGAAATGCGACATGCGTTGTTTCATGTTCTTGGATTTGCTGAAATCGCCCACGCGTCCAGGCCGGAAATTTAGCAGCGGTGAAGTCGACAGGCGAGAAACGAGCGAGAACTTGATCATAGAAGGCCGACTCGAGGTGCTCTGGAAGACGCTGTCATTGTCCGTGCAAGTATGTAGTACAGAGAGAACTCGCCCAGTGTGAGGGCAAAGTTGAGCACTCGAGGGTCTGATGGACGAGATGAGTGCCGTCGACTCGATAGACTCTTAGGGCTGACCAGATAAGCCTCGCCGAATGGGAAGTGAGCTCACAAGGCCGAGGAGGGAAAGGATTGTAAGAGCAGTGGTATGCATCGTTGGCGTGAAGGAGAGTGCGTGGAAAGAGCGTTGGGCTGGTAGTGGTTTGGGGAAGAGAGTGATCGTGAGCGTCACCGTGACATTTTCGCATTCTCTTCGTCATCTGAATCGAGTGCGAGCGAGATTTCGTTCGCTGATTGAAGCGCCGTCGGTTGCTCAACTTGCTCTCAACGCAAGAAATGAGAACTAACGCCATACGAGCGATCTGCGAAAGCGAGATCTCTCCTTGTGAACGATCGACGCCTATCTCGTATTATCGTCTCCCGCGGCAAGTTTGTATTTGTGGTTAGATACAGGCCCCGCACTGTTTTTTAGTCGCAGCGCTTCTAGTCTCCTCTGGCCGGGCTTGATAATTTGCTCGACCGGAAGCTTTGCACGTGAGCTGTTGCACCGTGAAGTGCGGAATCGTTGCACGTGAGGATTTGAGCTTTCGTCTCTCACTCTGCCTATGCTTGTGTTTTCGCTGGCCCCAACGTTCCTTATCGTCTCTCTTTTCCAGATCACTCGGTCTACAAGCATTGTTAGAGCTCCCCTGCAGCACCATGAAATCGCGGCACGGCTTGCCCAATCGGCGGACATGAGTGCCAATCTCCTCTCGCCAAGCAAGCGAAACCCACGGCGCAGCTGCAAGACTCCCTCGTCCCTCCCCTCTCACGTTCAACCGAGTTTTTCAGCCGCCTCCTCTACTATTCACACCTACACGCTTGTGACAAAGACGACTAGTAGTGCTCCATCCGTGACGCAATCGAGTGCTACTACTACCATCGCGGGGACACCTCCCTCCGAGCAGACCGCCCCCGAACAGAAACCAATCCTCGTTTCCACCAGCTCCGCGACATCGACTGCTACTGTCAGCTCTGGTACAATCTCGAGCAGTGTAACAGTCGATGGACACGCTTTCACCCTGACCAACAAATGCTCCAATGCCGTCCATCCTGTTATCGCGAGTACGGCGTGCGGGTATAGTCCTCGATGTGCAGATGCCTTCTCTGGTTCTCTTCCGTCCATCGGGTCGCTCGGGGCCGGGCAGACGAAAACTGTCCACGTTCCCAAGAACGTCAGCCCTACTCTCTCTGCTCAAGTTTTGTTTACTCACACCAGATTCTCTCCAGTTTGTTGGTCGTATCTTCTCGCAGAACGGATCCTGCGGGTCTTCGGGCGAGAAATGTACCATGCTCGAATTCAATCTGGGTGAGCATCTCTCCGCGCAACTAGTGTGTGCGGGTTTGCCGAGGTCTCGCACAGACGCCAACAGTCTCTATACCCCCAACTCGTATGATATCAGCAATATCCAGGGTTTTACCCAGAGCATTTCTCTTGGTGCGGCTGGTTGTGATACTGTTACTTGCACCGGTCCTCAATGCGATGTGAGTGCTATTTGGTTACCTGCCAGTGCATGAAGTGATATTGTTCAGTGCCACGACGCATACCCTATTGGGGTATCTAACTTTTCTCTGTATCATTCTGGAATAAACTCATCCGTGTGTAGGACATGACCGGCTGCGGTGCCGATCTCCCTGTTCGGGCCTGCGGTGCAGGCGACATTGCTTTCGAAGTGGTATTCTGCCCGTAACCGCGCCCTCATCTTGTTACCCTCTTGCTTTGTCGATTGCCATTCTGCTGTGTTGAAGTTTCTGTACACAATCATTTGTGAATGTATGCTGTACATTTCTGGTCAAAGCGAGCAGCTAGCCGGCGCACGGGGCTGTACCAGGCATAGGCATGGGCCGTATTTGTCATTCCAACAGCGAGAAATCGGTACGTATCCTGCCGACGCAGTGCCGATCTGTCGCACGGCAATAAGTCCACTGGAATCGTTGAAGGCCCTTCAACGATTCCAGCGGACAAAGGGTCGAACCCATTGGATTATGGGTCACGTGCACAGACACGTGACCAAGGTGGATCACGCACGGGCGGATAGTCACACGGACAGCCAGTGCAGACATCATCATTTCATTGTATTAGACCACTCAGGCTCCTACCCACTGCCCTCAAGAGGTTCACAATCCAATGATAAGCTGGCTATCAGACCTGCTCTGCACCACCTCTAGAAGGCCAATAATTTTGTGCTTTCAGAGATTACCCTGGTTCCTACTTGGTGCATCTGGTTGCAACAGCCAGTGTTGTGTTCAGCCGGACTTGAGGGCTGAGTGCCTAGCTGGTGTCTTTGGATGGCACTAGTCCATGGGAGGCACTCAAGTCACTGCTGTGGAATGGTTCTATTAGCCTATACCAGACTGTTGTAATTGTGACTGCTGTCATAGTTCGGCCACTTTTTCATCTTATCATCGACGATCTTATCTTATCTTGGCACGACTTATCTTATCACGGATCACGGCATCAGACAGTCCGGGCTAGGGGTTCCAGGGGTTATCCTTATCGATTCAAGGCTGCGCGACATATGCTCCGGAAGGTTCTACTACAACCCATGACCAGCGTTCCATGCGGTACATAGCCTTATGACTCATTAGTTGTAGATATGACTCAGACTGGATTTGGGTATAAATACTGTAGCTACTTGGTTGTATTCTCCAGTCTTCGAATTCACTTCTCTTTTCGACTTTATCTTTGGGTTGATTGTCACATAATTCGAAGACTCCCCTCATACCCTCCTACCTCATACCTCTTACCCTGCATCCTACACCGCTACGCCCGCCATATCCTCTTAACCCTTATCACCCCACTCACCCTTTTACCGAATCATCTAGTCGTCCTCCACTATCGCAGTGAAGGGTTCATATCAAGCAAACAGCACCAGGCCACGGGTAACGTTGAGCCCGACCCAAGCCTTACGGTAGCTACAAGGAGTGCTGCGGAGACCTTCGGGAAAACGCACCTCGGGATCATCAGGCACGTGAAGAGCTAGGCCCGGGATCTTTTTGCTAGCAAAAGAACCCTCCCTCGAGTGCTTGTACAGCACACGATTCCACCATTTCGTACCGATTCCCATCGTCGTCTGGGAGTCCATCCCCTCCCCCCATTGTACCATCGTCGCCCAATCTGGCGCATCAAAACCAACCCGGGCCCTCCAACCCCTACCTCGCCCTCCCACCGCCTGAAGACGAGATCCCCGACCTCGACGAACTGCCCTCCGAACAACCACCCTCGCCTCCACCTCACACGCCTGCCCCTACCATGTCAGGGCATCACCGCATCACCCTCGCCGCCAACCCCCCCTACTTCGATGGCGACAAGTCCAAATACCTGGGCTTTGTGGACGCGTGCACCACTTACATCGGTGCCTATCGATCGGAGTTCTCACAAGATGAGACCAAAATCCTCTTTGTCCTCTCCTACCTCCGTAATGAGAACGGCACGAGCTGCACTGCCTCGAGATGGGCGATGAACTGGAAGCAGCACAACTTCGATGGCTTCCAGGGACTGAAGGCAGGAGTCACATCAAAGAACTTCCTGGAGGAGTTTCAGAGGGCGTTCGGGGACTCCAATGCGGAACAAGTCGCCGCTGCTCGGCTTATGGCCCTGCGCCAAAACAAACGGTCCTTCGCGGACTACATCTCCGACTTTGAGATGTTGGCCGCGGATGCAGGCTACAATGTGGTCGACACCACTGATGACAAAGGCGAATACAAGAAGGGGGACCAGGATAATATCCTCATCGAGTTCCTGGAGCGCGGACTCAGCAGCGAGATCGCCAGCCGTCTCTACAACACCGGTGTCCCTCTGCCCAAGGCCTATGTAGCGTTCAAAGCCTGGTGCATCAACATCGAAGCCAATGCTCTGCGTGACCAGCTGCGCAAAGCGTCGTATGGGCACCCCACACAACGACCACCTTCCCAGTTCCGTCCCCAAGCGGCACCAGTGGCGCCCACACCCGCTCCGGCCCGACCCGCTGCCAACAAACCGGTTCCGATGGAAATCGATCGTACCCACGCCCGCGGCCGCAATATCATCTGCTACAACTGTCAGCAGCCTGGGCACATCGCGCGGAACTGTCCGGAGCCAAGAAAGAAGCGCACATTCTTCAATTGGGCCACGATGCTTGAAGAGATCGAGAACAGGGACAAGGACAACGAGTTCCTCAAGGAGATCGCCGAGAAGCTGCGCGAGAAGGGTTTTTGAAACGCTCCACTCCTCTAGCCAAGGAGGTGGAGCATCCGGACTATGGACGTTTTTCTGTACTTGTTTCAATTAAAGATATGAACGATTCTCCTCATACATACACGATCTCAGACTCCCTACGTACTAATATTCATGATTTTCTCATCGCTGATATGGAAAAAGAACGACAAAGGAAAATAGCTTTAAATAGAGAGTATTTACAGAGTAAAAAGGATCAAAAAATTGCGGATAAATTAATTTCGGACTCCTACGTATTTATGGCTTGTGGAGAAGGAACCACGTCAACAAAGACCAAAAAGGGGAGCATTGCTCCAGAGGCTCAATCCTTGAAAAAGGAGGAAGCGCCCAAGGAATCCGCTGAAATAAGGGTTCCAGAAATACCCAAGCGAACGAGGGTGCCAGATGCCATTCAAAGGAAATTGGCGGCTGAGAGACAGAAGGGCCCGCAGCCCGGCAGACTGGCGCAGGAATTGCGCGACTACCAGGCCGAAAGGAAGAGACATTCGATGGACGTATATGTCCAGATCACGGGTCTGGACTCAGGGAAAACACGTGGAGTCAAGGCGCTGCTCGATAGCGGCTGCAGTACCTGTTGCATCGATACCGACTACGCACGGGCGGAGAAGTTGGATATTCAAGAGCTTCCACAACCCATTGTGGCCCGTAACGCCGACAACACCGAGAACATCAGCGGTTGGATCACGCATTACGTTGACCTAAGGATGAGAATCGGCCCTCACGTGGAGACACGCACGTTCCTTCTGACGTGTTTAGGGAAAGCTCGGATCTTCATTGGTCTTGATTGGCTGACGGAACACAACCCCGAGGTGGATTGGCAGGAGCAGACCATGAGATTCAGCCGATGCCCAGAGCGGTGTCACATGAGGGGTCACGAGGAACATCAAGCAATGATCGACATGGATGCAATCGACCTGGAAACGGGCACGCCGGATCTGGAAGAGGGAGAATCGATCCTGTTGGTCGATTTTGGGAAGGAAGTGGATCTGCGGCTGAAGGAAACGCCGGCGCAGAAATTCGCAGAAGAAGCGGAGAAAGAGAAGGAGAGGATGACCGAGGAGAAGATTCCGGATCAATATCAGGAATTTGTCAAAGTATTCGCCAAGGAATCGTTTGACTCGCTACCGGATCGACGGGCATGGGATCACGCAATCGAGCTCAAACCTGGTTCCAAGGCAGTGGACTGCAAGGTGTACCCGTTATCACGCAATGAACAAGTCAAACTCGACAAATTCTTACAAGAGAACTTGGCCAGTGGACGGATCAGGCCATCAAAATCACCCATGGCATCAGCATTCTTCTTTGTCAAAAAGAAGGATGGCTCCCTACGCCCCGTCCAAGACTATCGGAAGCTGAATGAGATGACAATTCGGAATCGATACCCGCTGCCACTGATATCCGAACTAGTCCACAATCTATGTGGCGCCAAGTTCTTCACAAAACTTGACATCTGGTGGGGATATAACAATGTACGGATCAAAGAGGGTGACGAGTGGAAGGCTGCATTCCGGATGAACCGAGGGCTGTACGAGCCCTTGGTCATGTTCTTTGGTCTCACGAATTCCCCGGCAACGTTCCAAAACATGATGAACAACATACTCCGAGAAGTGATCAACGAGGGACACGTGGTAGTCTATCTTCATGATATACTGATCTTCACAGAGAGCTTGGACGAACATCGGCGGATCACAAAACGAGTGCTCGAATTGCTCCAGAAACACAAGCTATACCTGAAGCCCGAAAAGTGCGAGTTCGAACGCACGGAAATCGAATATCTGGGTGTAATTATTGGACACAATTCGATGCGGATGGACCCAGTCAAGATCAAGGGCGTGATGGAATGGCCGGAACCGAAGAGCGTCAAACAAGTTCAAGCGTTTCTCGGATTCACAAACTTCTATCGACGCTTTGTTCGGGGATACGCGGAGGTTGCCAAGCCATTGACTCGGCTGACAGGGAAGGCAGGATGGTCATGGGGTACGGATGAGCGTGCAGCATTTGATGGATTGAAGAAGAGAATCGCGGAGGATGCAGTCCTAGCTCTACCAAACGACACAGGCCAATATCGTCTGGAAGCCGATGCTTCGGAAGGGGCAACAGGATCCGTTTTGAGCCAAAACCAAGACGGCATTTGGCGCCCGATCGCATTTATTTCGCACGCATTGACAGAAACCGAGCGAAATTATGAGATCTACGACAAGGAAATGCTCGCAATCATGCTATCGCTTGACGAATGGAGGCAGTTGCTCCTGGGAGCCACGGAAACGTTCGAGATCTTCACCGATCATCAGAATCTTGAGTACTTTCGGAAGCCGCAGAAGCTCAATCGACGACAAGCACGATGGATCACGGAGTTGGCGGAGTTTGACTTCACCTTACGACACCGGCCCGGCGCACTCAACCGCAAGGCGGATCTCCTGTCTCGACGAGCGGATCACGATCAGGGCAAGAACGACAACAAGGACGTCACGCTACTGAAGCCCGAGTTCTTCCGATCACAAGAAGTCACATTCGAGGGACAGGATCAGCAGCTAATCGATGAAATCAAGGCCACTCGATCCATTGATGGAAGCGTCAAGGCGGCCTTGGAGAAGTCACTCCCCGGATGGAAAAAGGAAGATGGACTTATCATGTATCACGGGAAGCTCTACGTACCAAGGGACGAGGAGTTGCGGGACAAAATCATCGGACTACACCACGACACCCCTTTGGTCGGACACGCTGGGATCAACCGAACACAGGAGATGGTGGAAAGGAACTACTGGTGGCCAAGGATGGGAAATCAAATTCGGAAATACATCCAGACGTGCGAGGCGTGCCAGCGGACCAAGACCAGGAGAGCAAGGACAGGGAGTTTGCACCCGCATGCAGTTCCAAACGCGCCGTGGGAAATCATCTCCATGGATCAAATCGGACCCTTACCGGTCAGTAACGGGTATGACGCAATTCATGTGTGGTGTGACACCTTCACCAAAATGATCCATGTCGAACCAATTAGTACTGACATCAGCAGCGAAGGAGTGGCACGATTAACCAGGGATCGAGTCTTCCGCTACCACGGGATCCCCCGCAAGATCATCACCGACAGGGATTTGTGTTACATCAAAGGCTTCATAAAGGAGACAAATCAGATGTTGGGCGTGGAAATGAATCCAGGGACCGCATATCACCCGATCACAGATGGACAAACAGAATGCATGAATCAGGAGATCGAGCATTATCTCCGCATCTACGTCAATTACCATCAGACGGACTGGTCGGAGTGGCTGGGAATGGCGGAGTTCGCATACAACGACAAGATGAACACGTCTACCAAAATATCACCGTTCTACGCCAATCACGGATATCACCCATGGAAGGGAGTGGAACAACGGATGGAATCAAGGAACAAGTCGGCGGAGGAGTTTGTAAAAAGAATCAAAGAAATACAAGACGAAGCAAAAGCAGCATTGGAAAAAGCAAAAGAAAAAATGAAAAAATACTACGATAAACAAAGAAAAGAAGTTCTGGAGTTGAAGGTTGGGATGAAGGTGTACATAGAAGGGGAAAATATCGAGACGGATAGACCATCAAAGAAGATGAGCGACAAGAGACTAGGACCATACGAGATACTGGAGAAGGTTGGAGCGGCCGCATGGAAGCTGGATTTGCCGGACACGGACCGAAGACACCCGGTGTTCAACGAGTCACTGTTGACACCCTATCACAAACCACCCCCCCATCGCCGAGAGAAGAGGCCCGTAGCCAAGATGATCGGAGGAGCAGAGGAATGGGAAGTCGAAGAGATCGTGAAAGAGCGAAACATCGGCCGAGGAAAACAGTACTTGGTCAAATGGAAGGGCTGGCCGCATAGCGAAAATACTTGGGAACCATCACGTCACCTTACCCACGCAAAGAAGGTCCTGAGAGATTGGCAGAAGAAACAATCCAACCCAGACACACGCATTCGCCTCCTGCCAACGCTTGAAGCTGGACACTGGGATTATCTCATTCATCGCTACAAACCCAAGGACGAGCACCTTCCATACCCCCAGCGACAACTCTTCGATCCCTACGAGAACGTCTTCACGCCCATTGGCCTAGTTGATGAGGACATCGACCTTAGAGAGGGGGTAATGTCATAATTCGGCCACTTTTTATCTTATCTTCGATGATCTCATCTTATCTTGGCACGACTTATCTTATCACGGATCACGGCATCAGACAGTCCGGGCTAGGGGTTCCAGGGGTTATCCTTATCGATTCAAGGCTGCGCGACATATGCTCCGGAAGGTTCTACTACAACCCATGACCAGTGCTCCATGCAGTACATAGCCCTATGACTCATTAGTTGTAGATATGACTCAGACTGGATTCGGGTATAAATACTGTAGCTACTTGGTTGTATTCTCCAGTCTTTGAATTCACTTATCTTTTCGACTATTGTTTTTGGTTGATTATCACAAATGACCCTTTTGAGAAGTTGCCGCAACAAAAGATCCCTTTTGGGGAATTGTCGCGGTCCAAGTGTTCGTCACTAATAGCCCTAAGCCTGGTGTAGACTCATAAGACCAATTCCACAGTAGTGGTCTGACTGCCTTGCTATTGTCAACACTATCCACAGTTGTTGACTAGGCAGTAGACCCTTAAGTCCTACTTGTAAGGGCAACTCCTGCCAGCCCGAAGGAAGAGAGCACACAGCACACAACAACCTCACATGAGTCTGAGCACAGAGGGGGATCCTTAGAGACTATCAAATACAAGGGAGGTATACTACTCACCTGAGCACAGAGGGGGATCCTTAGAGAACGGTTCAAGGATCCATGTGCCCAGGTGTCACACTATATAGTCAGCTGTGACAAGTGACCGATGATGATGGGATATCACTGCCATGGAACAATGGCAGATGACAAGTAGATAATGACAAACCCAGATAAGATAGTGAGTGGCTCAGAGGGGCCAGTGATGGCCAGCTCCTGAGACACCAACAGTGGAAGGCCACACTGGAGGAGCCCAGTGGCCAGGCCAGTGCCGGGCCGGCCAGTGGAGACATTGGAGGCGAGGACCAATGCCCGACTGGGAAGAGGGGTGGTGCGGATGAGCGCAAGGGCATCTGGTACGAGCCTGTACGGCAGTAGACCACATCCGCGGGGAGAAGGCCGAAGTGAAGGGGGGGGAGTGCGTACGGCAGTAGCACTCCCTGGTGCAAGGAATCGGGCTTGGCTAGACCGCTTGCGGGGATTTGAGGGAGATGGCCGGGAGAAGGAGGGAGAGGGCGGATGTCGGCATGGATGGAGATGAGGATCGGAGGAGGAGGAGGAGGCTGGGTGATCGACAGGTGAGCAGGCACGGGTCGGCAGAGAGGGCGCAGTGGGTCACGTGCATGGTCACGTGCCCAAGGAGCGCGGCGTCCCCTGACACTACTGAGCACAACACTGTCAACCGTGACACAATACACCAAGTGGTTTGAGAGTAAACTCTGTAAAAGCGCAAAAATACGCCCTTATAGAGCTGGTGCAGAGCGCATCTGGTAGCCAGCCTATTACTGGTTAGTCATGGCACTTGCAGCGCTTAATGATTGGCCTTGGTCTGGACTTCACATCAGTAAGGCTTTTCTTTATGGAGAGCTTGACAAAGAGGTCTACATGGAACAACCCAAAGGCTTTGTGGCAAGAGGCTAAGAGTGCAAAGTCATGCACTTGCACAAGGCAATCTATGGACTGAAACAAGCTGCTTTAGCATGGTGGAAAGCGCTGGCCAAGTCCACAAAAGCCATGGGCTGGATCCAACTAACATCAGATGCCAGCGTGTTCTTCTACAAGAACTCTGATGGCAGCATAGCCATCATAATAGTCTATGTGGATGACGCACTGTTCTTCTCCAAGAACAAGAAGCTCCTCACCTTTCTCAAGGCTGAGTTCAACAAGTGATGGGAATGCCGCAATTCTGAAGATACTCAAGAGTTCTTGCGCATACGCCTCAGTACAGTAGGATCTTTGATCAAAATTCATCAGATTCCTTATCTCAACAAGGTGATAGAGCGCTTTGAGATGCAGAATGCTAAGTTTGCAGCAACCCCTCTACCGGCTGGATATGTTCCAATGCCAAACAAGGATGAAGTTGATCCAGAGCTCAGGAAGAAATTCCAATCAGTTATTGGATCTCTTCTCTTCATCATGCTAGGCACACATCCTGACATTGCATTTGCTGTGACTAAATTGTCACAATTTGCCGCCAATCCATCCCAAGACCACCTCCATAAAGCACTGTATATCTGCCGCTATTTGGCTGGTACTGTCATAGTTCGGCCACTTTTTCATCTTATCATCGACGATCTTATCTTATCTTGGCACAACTTATCTTATCACGGATCACGGCATCAGACGGTCCGGACTAGGGGTTTCAGGGATTATCTTCATCGATTCGAGGCTGCGCGACATATGCTCCAGAAGGTTCTACTACGACCCATGACCAGCGTTCCATGCGGTACATAGCCCTATGACTCATTAGTTGTAGATATGACTCAGACTGGATTTGGGTATAAATACTGTAGCTACTTGGTTGTATTCTCCAGTCTTCGAATTCACTTCTCTTCTCGACTTTGTTTTTGGGTTGATTGTCACATAATTCGAAGACTCCCCTCATACCCTCCTACCTCATACCTCTTACCCTGCATCTTGCACCGCTACGCCCGCTATATCCTCTTAACCCTTATCACCCCACTCACCCTTTTACCGAATCATCTAGTCGTCCTCCACTATCGCAGTGAAGGGTTCATATCAAGCAAACAGCACCAGGCCACGGGTAACGTTGAGCCCGACCCAAGCCTTACGGTAGCTACAAGGAGTGCTGCGGAGACCTTCGGGAAAACGCACCTCGGGATCATCGGGCACGTGAAGAGCTAGGCCCGGGATCTTTTTGCTAGCAAAAGAACCTTTCCTCGAGTGCTTGTACAGCACACGAATCCACCATTTCGTACCGATTCCCATCGTCGTCTGGGAGTCCATCCCCTCCCCCCATCGTACCATCGTCGCCCGATCTGGCGCATCAAAACCAACCCGGGCCCTCCGACCCCTACCTCGCCCTCCCACCGCCTGAAGACGAGATCCCCGACCTCGACGAACTGCCCTCCGAACAACCACCCTCGCCTCCACCTCACACGCCTGCCCCTACCATGTCAGGGCATCACCGCATCACCCTCGCCGCCAACCCCCCCTACTTCGATGGCGACAAGTCCAAATACCTGGGCTTTGTGGACGCGTGCACCACTTACATCGGTGCCTATCGATCGGAGTTCTCACAAGATGAGACCAAAATCCTCTTTGTCCTCTCCTACCTCCGTAATGAGAACGGCACGAGCTGCGCTGCCTCGAGATGGGCGATGAACTGGAAGCAGCACAACTTCGATGGCTTCCAGGGACTGAAGGCAGGAGTCACATCAAAGAACTTCCTGGAGGAGTTTCAGAGGGCGTTCGGGGACTCCAATGCGGAACAAGTCGCCGCTGCTCGGCTTATGGCCCTGCGTCAAAACAAACGGTCCTTCGCGGACTACATCTCCGACTTTGAGATGTTGGCCGCGGATGCAGGCTACAATGTGGTTGACACCACCGACGACAAAGGCGAATACAAGAAGGGGGACCAGGATAATATCCTCATCGAGTTCCTGGAGCGCGGACTCAGCAGCGAGATCGCCAGCCGTCTCTACAACACCGGTGTCCCTCTGCCCAAGGCCTATGGAGCGTTCAAAGCCTGGTGCATCAACATCGAAGCCAATGCTCTGCGTGACCAGCTGCGCAAAGCGTCGTATGGGCACCCCACACAACGACCACCTCCCCAGTTCCGTCCCCAAACGGCACCAGTGGCGCCCACACCCGCTCCGGCCCGACCCGCTGCCAACGAACCGGTTCCGATGGAAATCGATCGTACCCACGCCCGCGGCCGCAATATCATCTGCTACAACTGTCAGCAGCCCGGGCACATTGCGCGGAACTGCCCGGAGCCCAAGAAGAAGCGCACGTTCTTCAATCGGGCCACAATGCTGGAAGAAATCGAGAACGGGGACAAGGACAACGAGTTCCTGAAGGAGATTGCCGAGAAGCTGCGCGAGAAGGGTTTTTGAAGCGCTCCACTCCTCTAGCCAAGGAGGTGGAGCGTCCGGACTATGGACGATTTTCTGTACTTGTTTCGATTAAAGATACGGACAATATTTCATCTACATACACGATCTCAGACTCACTACGTACAAATATTCACGATTTTCTTATTGCCGAGATGGAAAAAGAACGCCAGGAAAAGATAGCTCTAAATAGAAAATACTTACAAGATAAAAAGGATCAGAAAGCTGCAGATAAATTATTTTTGGACTCCTACGTATTTATGGCTCGTGGAGAAGGAACCACGTCAACAAAGACCGAAAAGGGGAGCATCGCTCCGAAGGCTCGATCCTTGGAAAAGGAGGAAGCGCCCAAGGAATCTGCCAAAATCGAGGTTCCAGAAGCACCCAAACGCACCAGGGTGCCAGATGCCATCCAGAGGAAATTGGCGACCGAGAAACAGAAGGGCCCCCAGCCCAGCAGATTGGCGCAGGAATTGCGCAGTTACCAAGCCGAAAGAAAGAGGCATTCGATGGACGTATATGTCCAGATCACGGGCCTGGACTCAGGGAAAACGCGTGGAGTCAAGGCGCTGCTCGATAGCGGCTGCAGTACCTGTTGCATCGATACCGACTACGCACGGGCGGAGAAGTTGGATATTCAAGAGCTTCCACAACCCATTGTGGCCCGTAACGCCGACAACACCGAGAACATCAGCGGTCGGATCACACACTACGTCGACTTGAGAATGAGAATCGGTCCTCATGTGGAGACACGCACGTTCCTTCTGACGTGTCTGGGAAAAGCCCGGATCTTCATCGGCCTGGATTGGCTGACGGAACACAACCCCGAGGTGGATTGGCAGGAGCAGACAATGAGATTCAGCCGATGCCCAGAGCAATGTCAAATGAGGGGTCACGAGGAGCACCAAGCGATGATCGACATGGATGCAATTGACCTGGACGCGGGTGCACCGGATCTGGAAGAGGGAGAATCGATCTTGTTGATCGACTTTGGAAAGGAGGTAGACCTACGGCTGAAGGAAACGCCGGCGCAGAAATTCGCAGAAGAAGCGGAAAAGGAGAAGGAGAGAATGACCGAGGGAAAGATTCCAGATCAATACCGAGAATTCGTCAAAGTATTCGCCAAGGAATCATTCGACTCGCTACCGGACCGACGGGCATGGGATCATGCGATCGAGCTCAAACCAGGCTCCAAAGCAGTGGACTGCAAGGTGTACCCCTTATCGAGAAACGAGCAGGTCAAACTCGACGAGTTCTTACAAGAGAACCTAGCCAGCGGACGAATCAGGCCATCAAAATCACCCATGGCATCGGCATTCTTCTTTGTCAAGAAGAAGGATGGCTCGCTACGGCCTGTTCAAGATTACCGGAAGCTGAATGAGATGACGATCCGAAATCGGTACCCGCTACCGCTGATTTCCGAACTGGTCCACAACCTGTGCGGCGCCAAGTTCTTCACCAAGCTAGACATCCGGTGGGGATACAACAACGTACGGATCAAAGAGGGCGATGAGTGGAAGGCTGCGTTTCGCACAAACCGCGGACTTTACGAGCCCTTGGTTATGTTCTTTGGTCTCACAAATTCCCCGGCAACTTTCCAAAACATGATGAACGACATACTCCGGGAACTGATCAACGAGGGACATGTGGTAGTTTATCTGGACGACATACTAATCTTCACAGAAGATCTGGATGAACATCGACGAATCACCAAACGGGTACTCGAGTTGCTCCAAAAGCACAAATTATACCTGAAGCCGGAAAAGTGCGAGTTCGAACGCACGGAAATCGAATACCTGGGTGTAATCATTGGACACAACTCGATGCGGATGGACCCTGTCAAGATCAAGGGCGTGATGGAATGGCCGGAACCAAAGAGCGTCAAACAAGTCCAAGCCTTCCTCGGATTCACAAACTTCTATCGACGTTTCGTTCGGGGATATGCGGAGGTCGCCAAGCCGTTGACGCGGCTGACAGGGAAGGCAGGATGGTCATGGGGTCCGGATGAACATGCGGCGTTTGATGGGTTAAAGAAGAGAATCACGGAGGATGCCGTCTTAGCACTGCCAAATGACACTGGCCAATATCGTCTGGAAGCCGATGCTTCGGAAGGGGCAACAGGATCAGTTTTGAGCCAAAACCAAGACGGCATTTGGCGCCCAATCGCATTTATTTCGCACGCATTGACCGAAACCGAGCGAAATTATGAGATCTACGACAAGGAGATGCTCGCAATCATGTTATCACTTGACGAATGGAGGCAGTTGCTCCTGGGAGCCACGGAAACGTTCGAGATCTTCACCGATCATCAGAATCTCGAGTACTTTCGGAAGCCGCAGAAGCTCAATCGACGGCAAGCACGATGGATCACGGAGTTGGCGGAGTTCGATTTCACCTTACGACACCGACCCGGCGCACTCAACCGCAAGGCGGACCTCCTGTCCCGACGAGCAGATCACGATCAGGGCAAGAACGACAACAAGGATGTCACGCTACTGAAGCCCGAGTTCTTCCGATCACAAGAAGTCACATTCGAGGGACAGGATCAGCAGCTAATCGACGAAATCAAGGCCATTCGATCAATTGATGGAAGCGTCAAGGCGGCCTTAGAGAAGTCACTCGCCAGATGGAAGAAGGAAGAGGGGCTTATCACGTACCATGGGAAGCTCTACGTACCAAGGGACGAGGAGTTGCGGGACAAAATCATCGGACTACACCACGACACCCCTTTGGTCGGACACGCCGGGATCAACCGAACGCAGGAGATGGTGGAAAGGAACTACTGGTGGCCAAGGATGGGAAACCAAATTCGGAAATACATCCAGACGTGCGAAGCGTGCCAGCGGACCAAGACCAGAAGAGCCAGGACAGGGAGTTTGCACCCGCATGCAGTTCCAAACGCGCCGTGGGAAATCATCTCTATGGATCAGATCGGACCCCTGCCGGTCAGTAACGGGTATGACGCAATTCATGTGTGGTGTGACACCTTCACCAAAATGATCCATGTCGAACCAATTAGTACTGACATCAGCAGCGAAGGAGTAGCACGATTAACCAGGGACCGAATCTTCCGCTATCACGGGGTCCCCCGCAAAATCATCACTGACAGGGACTCTCGATACATCAAGGGCTTTATGAAGGAAACGAATCGGATGTTGGGCGTGGAAATGAATCCGGGGACCGCATATCACCCCATCACGGATGGGCAGACGGAGCGTATGAATCAGGAGATCGAACACTATCTCCGCATTTACGTCAACTACCATCAGACGGACTGGTCGGAGTGGCTGGGAATGGCGGAGTTCGCATACAACGACAAAATGAACACGTCTACCAAAATGTCGCCGTTCTATGCTAATCACGGATATCACCCATGGAAGGGAGTGGAGCAGCGGATGGAATCAAGGAACGAGTCGGCGGAGGAATTTGTAAAAAGAATCAAAGAAATACAAGACGAAGCAAAAGCAAAAGAAAAAATGAAAAAATACTACGATAAACAAAGAAAAGAAGTTCCGGAGTTGAAGGTTGGGATGAAGGTGTACATAGAAGGGGAAAATATCGAGACGGATAGACCATCAAAGAAGATGAGCGACAAGAGATTGGGACCATACAAGATACTGGAGAAGGTTGGAGCGGCCGCATGGAAGCTGGATTTGCCGGACACGGACCGAAGACACCCGGTGTTCAACGAGTCACTGTTGACACCCTATCACGAACCACCCCCCCATCGCCGAGAGAAGAGACCCGTGGCCAAGATGATCGGAGGAGCAGAGGAGTGGGAAGTCGAAGAAATCGTGAAAGAGCGAAAAGTCGGCCGAGGAAAACAGTACTTGGTCAAATGGAAGGGATGGCCGCACAGCGAGAACACCTGGGAACCATCACGTCACCTTACCCACGCAAAGGACGTCCTGAGAGACTGGCAGAGGAAACAATCAAATCCAGACACACGCATTCGCCTCCTGCCAACGCTCGAAGCTGGACACTGGGACTATCTCATTCATCGCTACCAGCCCAGGGACGAGCGCCTTCCATACCCCCAACGACAGCTCTTCGACCCTTACGAGAACGTCTTCTTACCCATTGGCCTGGTCGATGAGGACATCGACCCTAGAGAGGGGGTAATGTCATAGTTCGGCCACTTTTTCATCTTATCATCAACGATCTTATCTTATCTTGGCACAACTTATCTTATCACGGATCACGGCATCAGACGGTCCGGACTAGGGGTTTCAGGGATTATCTTCATCGATTCGAGGCTGCGCGACATATGCTCCAGAAGGTTCTACTACGACCCATGACCAGCGTTCCATGCGGTACATAGCCCTATGACTCATTAGTTGTAGATATGACTCAGACTGGATTTGGGTATAAATACTGTAGCTACTTGGTTGTATTCTCCAGTCTTCGAATTCACTTCTCTTCTCGACTTTGTTTTTGGGTTGATTGTCACAGGTACTAGGAATTATTTGCTCATTGTTAATGGTGCAACGGATAGAGGGCTAATTGCATTTAGCAATTCAGACTGGGCCGCTGATCCAATCAAGAGGAGATCTACCACTGGTTTCTTCACAAAATTGACAGATGGGATCATTTGCTGGCAGTCTAGACTTCCGTGCACTGTTGCGCAGTCTTCAAGCAAAGCAGAGTACATGGCGATTTCAGATTGAAGTTGCCAGGTGATGTGGCTGCAGAGCATCCTTACAGAACTCCAGTTCAAACTCACTATCCCAGTACCCATTTGCAGTGACAATCAGGGTGCACTCTTTAGTGGCAGCAATGCCTGCTGAGACCGCAGGATGAAACATATAGACATCCGCTATCACTACATCCGTGAGCAAGTCGAGGAAGAAGAGGTTGAACTGTTCTTTGTTCTGGGCAGTGATAATCTTGCAGATTTGTTTACCAAGACCCTAGGACACGTCAAGTTTGAGAAGTTCAGGTCCCAACTAGGACTGGAGTTCAAAAACTTGTCCTGAAGAATTGGCCAATGAAGATTTCACTTGCAAACACTATCACGTGGTTTTTAGCATGGGGCAGTGTTGGCACAGCATTGTGGCTGTGGCTGTCAAGGAGTCAAGCTTGAAGATACTGAGGACTTACCACAGCCACATCAAATCTGATAGATAGCATCATAGGACATATCATATGACTACATCCTGTATCATATAAAAGGAGGGCTCTATTACCCTGTAATGACAAGTCTCTTGACTACTCCCGCATAGTGCCCACACTAAGCTCTCACTCACACAGGTGAGCTGTTAGACGCTCTTCCCAATGCTCAACAAATCCATACAGTCATGTGAAATCTGAGGTAAGCAAGAGGATTGAAGAACTCACTCTAGTTTTGTCTTGAAATTGAACAACTCAATGCATAGCAATCATCATTCGGTAAATGTGCAGGACTGTCTTTCATAATAGTGATGGGCTCACAATCAGATGCAGTACAGTAGTAGTGCTAACTTCACCATCAATCTCCTTGTGGTATAGTCCCTAGCAAAAGCAGTTTATCCATGTAAGTCTCTGAAGCAGCAAATCTCACCTAGTTCAATAACATCTGAAGTGGTCATTGAGGCTCAGTTTTGATTCACATTAGGGTATTTGAGGAGTCACCTTGCTGGGTAACCCGACGGAACTTGGCGCGAGAATTCAACCTGTGGTTGCGCCGTAAGAAAGTGACATCGAGTTGTGTCCAAGGGACTTACATGACAAGCAGAGAATTTGTGTACACTGCAAAACCCAGACTTATCAACTGGTACAATCTTCACAAAAAATAAACATGGGCTCACATTTGCTCAGAACAAGATGGATGATCAAGAAATAAAAGTTGGAAGGCATCGTCAACCAGAGAGCAAGATTTACAGCGGTCGCAATGCTGTAAGTCGTGAATTTTTCATAAAACGGATGATTTTTTGTTTGCTCTGTTCACACCTTGTCAAACTTCCTGTTCCGATAACATACACAAGAATCCTATTCACAATCTGAGCCGTTCTATCGGGTCAACGCGATCAGTAATGGGCCAGATACAATCCGAAGCACTGACGCTGTAAAAGTGCGGCCGGTCCCTCCGCTCAATGAGTCCTTCAGAAAATACACCATTCCGGCCATGATAGCCATATCGCATGCGAAACTGGTGGAAAGTTCGATTTTTTCTGCGACCTGCAAATTTGGCAGCTTGGTGAGCAGCGAACAAGTATGATGAAGAAGGCTTACAATGAAGAGCTTAGACTGGTGCACCACCAACGGCCGGCCATTCAGGTAGACTTCGAGACCAGCAACTGGTTGCAGACTTTAGTGCCCTCGACATCAATTGTTCTGTATTGATTACTGACCGCAGCCGCTCGCTCGAATCTCTCATAAGCAATTATCTCACAGCAGAAACAATGATCCACTCACCGAATTGACCTAGAGCCAAGGAAAGCTAAATACATCGCGGCGAGTCATAAACTGCATTCCGCAACAGATTTAGAAACTCTACCACTGTGCCAGTAATCCACAAGTTCTTTTTGCTGACTGATGCTTCAAATGAGTGACGTGTCAGAAACAGGCACAAAGCGGACGAAACCAATCCAGATCCGAGCCGCGTAAGTTCTGCTTTGGGAGTGAGCGGTGCCCAAGGCGGGAAAAAATCGCGCACATTTGGCAAATGGCCACAATGATGTAGGTAATCAGCGGCGTAAACTGAGTATGGGATTTCTGAGTCCACAAACATATCAAAAGGGGGAGCGCACGCTGAACGATCTATGCTCTCCGCGTCAGTCAGCCTGGCTTGGATCATTCGGCTAGCTTACTTGGGGAGCACCAGCTGGAACGACTCCTGAATGTACCACTGATTGTATGACGAGAGAAGAATGACGACGTGAACGGTATCGATAATCCTGTGAGGTTGAATCCGAATCGCGCGTCAGCATGCCCAAAAATGCAATCAATCCACACACGCACACGAGTGACCCGACCTACGCATGCCTTTAGCAGCATATACTCACACGGAGAGTCCGTTGTACGTACCACGAGTTTGACGCGCGTGCTGTCATCCGGGAAAGTCCTGAAATAATGCCCGGCCTGCGCGAGGAGGATCCCGTACAAGCTGAATGGGCCGCCGCGGTTCCCGCGTTTCCAGGTCAGTCAAGGAAATCGCATAAAATAGTCGACAGACGGCGCGGATATCATGAATCCGAGGATTGGCGGGGCGACGGTGGACGAGATAAAGTTGGGCGGCAGGAATGGGGAGTCGAAAGGCATGACGAGGCGATAGGATGGGATTGGGATGAGAAGGAGGGACGTGCCGGTTGCGCATTTATCGCCCTTGATGAGGGAGTAGAACCTGATGTCGCCGAACCAGTGGGGTCACCGCGAAGAGCCTCCGGCGGTTTTCTATCACCGGAATGACCTCGAGCGTTCCTATCAACGGTGTCCTTGTGTTTGCAATCGTCATACTTTTTGTGGAACAGCGTAGAACTTACTTAAAGTTAATCGGAGAACCTGGTTTTAGAGGTGAGACAAAATCTCTCGAGGTCGATTCCGGTCCAGAGAGGGAGTCTGGTACGAGCGAAGCTGTTCCCATCATCAATCATCTGTCAGCATGTTGCCTGAAACGCTGAGCGATCATCCTTAGTGCCAAACGGTGATGGCTCCAGCATATGGAAGATGGCTCTCCATTCAAAGAAGGAGAAGCATGGATGTGGATGATCTCTTAAAGAGTGTTCCGCGTCATGCCACGAGTTCATCCTTCCCCTTCTGCACTTCGAGTCTATGTCGAGTTTGCCGGGCTTTCCTACCATCACCCCAGTTGAAGCTGAGCAGTCTTTCGGCGTACTGTTCGTCTCGTGCGTTTCTGGTTCGCATATTGCTGACAGGTACCCGCTTACGAGCCTATTTTGGTCCCAGATACGGGCTGGCGGGTATCGCGTATGGGTTCACAATATACCGTGCGTGAGACCGCATACATCCAGGAGACAACTGGAACAAACCAATGTGGACGCAGTGAGCTACAGATATTACACGACGTACCTCGCCGACTCGGCCTCCACTAAAGGTTTTGTACTGTTTCTGTTGTGTGTTCTGTCTCCAGCCGGTTCCACTTCGATAAATGACTCCTACTTCGCAGCGCCCTCGATACAGCCTGCATAGCACTATGTGAGTGCTGCGTTTCAAAGGAAATCTTTCATGGAATGACCCACGTCAGTGTCCCACGCGTTTGTGACCGTCTTTCATCAACTACTGGTTGACGGACGTATTTGGCCCAGGACATACTTTTATATTGTTACCTCGCTGCCGTTCATCGCTGGTATCGCCGCCACCACTCAAATATTCACGATATCTATACTTCTTTCGGTGAGCTGAGCTCTTGAACCAATGGACCCGCTGTGAGCTCATGCGACCAGTCAATCAGCGGATCTGTTGCCCAATGGTGCGTTATTCTTTCCTCCTCAACTATATATCTGCTCACACACACGCACACTCCTTGCACTAAACGCAGCTATTACGCTATCAGACTATGGCGCTTACGTCTTGGACATGGTGCACTCATTGGACTCCTCTGTCTGGTTTCCTTGGGATGCAACATCGGTCGGTCTCGATTCTTCTCTGCCCCTCTCAAGATGACTGATGAGCCCAGTGCTTTTCGTAATGCGGTAGGTGATCTCTCCGTTTGTTGCACTGCCGTTCACCAAACTTGCACGCAGCATTCATGATCCGTTGATAGCTCATTTAAGCCACCGTTTGCCGAAGGTGCGAACAGCTTGAGATCGTTCCTCACGCTATTCCGTATCTGAAAACCCCCAGACAATTATGATTTTCTCATTGGCATCCCCAGTCGCCTCGTCACTCTTCATTCTTTTCGTGCCTCAAAACTGCTTGCAAATGCCAACTTCCGATCCCTCGCACCATTTCGCAGTGTCCGAGTCGTCCCTTGTGACGTTCTATAAGGGCTCCGACAATTTACTGACGTTGCTGATAACGCATGGACTGGCCGGGCTCTTACTTCAATCAGGGGCACTGATATCGGTGAGCACCTTCAACTGCCTGCTGCTCTCGTGTGGAATTAGTATAATTGCTCCAGTTTTGCGTTCGACCCGAAAAGATCTTTTATCTTCCTTTCTTTCTCCTATCAATGAGGTGTACGTTAAACCCGAAAGTTTCAACACATTTATTCGATCTCAACCAACCGGCTTTACAGCATTTGTAAACGGACCACTTTATCTGCAAGTCAACTTCATTTCCAAACCTCCGAGACAAGGATCTCATGCAGCAGATACTAGGCTGAACACATACCCGATACCGGGAACACCGAGTACGAACGCTTCTGCTCAAGAAACCAAGCTTTCCACTCTCCGAATGGTGCGCTTCGCCCAGAGCACAGCAACGACGACGAGTGGCTCTCATGCCAGGGAATCGGCCGACATCGAATTTGACCAACCTTCGCAGCGGAAATTGCCTTCAAAGATGCGGCCTGCGCAAGTGGAGGAATTCGATTCTGATTCTCCGGCAGTTCGAACCTCTAGGAAAGCCCCGATCTACGAAGGCGAAAACGAGGATTATGATGTCGGGACCGCATTGTGATCAGCTAGGGCTGACTCGGGGTATTCTTCGTCCGAGTGTAAGATTGGACAGCCACCTGCGTATCAATACAGAGAAAGTGTGAAATTGGAGCTTATGATTGAACCCGTGGGCACACTACTGAATCACGTGGTGTTCCTGGAGCATGTTAGAAGCCAGGTTCATGCGTCCTGTATCAGTCGGTGTTCTGTCATTCGTCGGCTTCCGATGTCCGAAGCTTTCCGGGAGTCTTGCACTAAAGTGCAACTCGACTGGGCACAAATTATACGACCCACAGAGACCTTGTTCTGTTCAGGAAGTTTAGCGGCCCACGGACCAACCAGAAGATCTTTGTGATTAATATCCCGTTCGGTAACCAGATATGACATACGTTTGGTTTCTTGCTCCATTTCACAATCAAGCGCCTTTGTCTCCCCGGAATCACTATCACAACGACTCTTGTTCACCTTTCGGCAAGTGCACGGGGTCCTGACGACGGACACCTTCTCGAACAGATCATATCTCCCCCAAAGGTCTATTTGAGGCTAAAGAGCTAGGTCTGGGTGGCACTCGACAGTCACGAGCCCCGAAGCACTCGAAGGCTCGAAGAAGGTTATGACAGGCGTTACGGCCCACTCGCTCCAGATTGTTCCGATCAGGAAGCGGCACACGACCCTCGGCTACCACTGTATCCTTTTGTGTCACCGGTCACTGTATGGACATGCTTTGACGCACTCCCCAATATAAATGGGAGACTCCACCGAGCTTAGTTTCTTGTCCAGCAACCACCAACACTTGCGTCTGTGCACTTCTCTTCCCACACTCGTCTCTCTGCCACCCGCCACCAGCCACAACCCCCCCTCCCACGATGACTCGCACCGCGCGTTCCCTGTCGCTCCGTTCCGTGCTCAAGGATCGCTCCGAGAGCAAGAACGGCATGGGCAACACCATGCGCAAGAACGGAGGCGGCGCGCACAACTGGGGCAGTCTCGAAAACGAGGTCAGTCAGAAGCATCATCTCGGCTATCCACACGCGCTGACCATGCCACCCTGCAGCGCGACCTCGAGTATGCCGGAATGGACGACGGCCACGCCGAGCTCGAGGGTGTGCAAGTCGAGGATGACAGCGATAGCCTGAGCACCGGGTCCTCGTCCGATGACTGTGCGTTGCCGCTGTACTTTGTTCCGATGCATCCACTCACACGACTTTCGGGCAGTGGTCTCGTCCAAGAAGGCGCCTGGGTCGCCCGTGCTCGAACGCTCTGACGCGGAGGTCGCTATGGCGCGCAAGTTCCGTATGAACGCGCTCAAGGGCGAGAACGTCGACCTGGCCGCCATCGCCCGCACCTCGGCCGCCATCCCCAAGACCACCAACGTCTCTGACATCGGGGTGCGTGCACCTACTCCTCTTCTGCATGCAAGCGTTCTCAACTCAGTCTGACCTTGCAGTCCTCATCTGCCGTCCCCGTGTGAATCTGTAATCCGTCCCATAATCGTACCCAAATACAAATCACTATCTGTAAAGTATCATCCCCTGTCGTAGTCGTCGTCCTCGCAAAGTAAACGCATTGTTTCATCATCATCCCCAAATCGCTCGTCATCGTCTCCCTCGGCGGTGATACCGCTCGTGTGAGACCTGTCCATTCCCTGGGGAACACCACCCCAGCGGACCTTCCAGCCTTTCACGCGATTGGTGGGCGGAAGTACTGAGGCGGAGTCTGTCAAACGTCTCGCTTCTGGGCCGATCAAATGCGGGGAAGAGACCACATGATCTGGGGTAGCTACCCGATCTAATCTTCGTCGCATGATCAATCAAGGCTTGCGAGGGCTCCAACAAGGCGTAAGTATGTACTTGAGAAGGGACCAAGAGCGCAATAGACCGGGTCTATTATCTCATGAATGCTGCTGGTGCTCAAGGTTCTGCAGCACGGCTCCGGGAACTCGCGCCCTGCTTACCCCCCTCTCAGGCTCCATTTGGTGTGCCCAGACATGGAATCTACTGTGCCTTGGCATGTTTAGAAACATCTGAAGCTCCTGGTCAAACAGAGCTTGTTGCCAGGAAAATCCCGGTCCATCAATCACTATCACATTTACAACCTCGCGATATCTGTTCTGGAGTCATGGTCAGGGATCGTTGACTCTATTCAGTGTCCGGATTGGTCTGCAGACTTGTCGAAGTTGAGGAGCACCGAATACCGGACTTTGAATTGGCCAGTTTCCAGTCTGGCAAATTCTTTCCCAGTGTCCGGTTGAGCGGTTCTTGCGTAATGAGCGGTTGAAGTGTGGCGACAGTGCATATTATAACATAGGCGATCTTGCTGCAGTTTCCGAATCTTCACAGATGCTCCAGAAGTACAATCCTTGTAGGTGCCAAGGGGCAGCTGATGGTGTGTCCAGGGTAAGAATATTCTGAAGCCTCTCAATCGAGTCGAAAGATCAAGCGAGGTGTACAACCCAGCCGGCCGCCGTGAACTTATCCTGGACCCTGAATTCAGGCTTGAATAGAATAATACGGAGGACGAGGTATGTGTTTCTCAATGGAACCCCGTGAAATTTCGACTGGTACATTTAACTCGCTAAAACATACAATAATCACACAGGTACAATTTTCCTTGTGATACCACAGGCAAAAATGAAAGAAGGGAGGCAAAGCGAACAGATACCTGATAGTGTGGTGGCGCAAGTTCAGAAGCGACAACATCATTCTCAGGAAAACTTCCATGAAAATTCACTCAAGATGAAACTCGACCCAGTGGCTGATCGCTTTCGCTTTTACGTAGTATCTAACGGTACGCGTGGAGCAAATGACGATCTGGCTTTGAGCACAAGCCAGCTCCGTATGCAAGCGGGCTAGTCAAAAGCACCTGAACTTCTCCTTCAGATTTCATCCCGGAAGGCAATCCATGGCCTGAGTAAGACTCATGTTGACGCAATCAGAGCTGAGTTCCCCGACGTTATAGCACTACTCAACATCATGCCAGTCATCTGATCAGAGATCATAGGCTTAGCAGGGTCAGCAGCACAAACTGATGACGCGCTCTTACTCAACTCGTTGTATGGAAGTACCTGAACGGCGCACAGAATCCATGCGCGTTCGACACGTACTACGAATAGATGATCGCATCAATAACGCGCGTCTTGCATTGTCCAAGGCATGCGATGTCACACACACTATGAAGGGGCCCATCACTTGACTTCTTGTAATTACTGAGCGCTCGAAGGACTCATATCGGCAAAAGCTGATCCCTGCATCCGTCGCGCTGGTGCTCGCCTAGCTCTCCAGAACTGTGATCCAGTGACGGTGACCGATCTGGCATTGTGACTGAGCGCGTTACTTATATACGAGGATGCATCGCCACCGTCCATTGATCGCTTAAAGCCCCCCATTTCTCTCGACCGTCGAGCCTGATGTCCGACGGAGTGGGACTATGAAACAACTCTTAGCACACAATGGTGAGCTATCTCGGAGTCTTAAAACGCATGTATACCATTTCCAAGGTGCTGTTTCCGTCACGGTACACGCCAGGCCAACGCCAGATCACAACTCATGGCCTTCGTCTCACACGCGACGCGACGCGACGCCGTGCAAGAAGCAGACTCCTCTGTAGAATATGACGCCAGCTTGGGGGCCGGTGTGGACGAGCTGCTTTCTTGAAGCGCATATATCCGGGTACACCCTCATATCGCACCCTGGTGTGGTGAAGAGACTGGCATGTCTCCAGATAGACGGATCTGCCCTCTGCTTCAACAAGTAATATACAACAACAGCCCAGATACAAAAAGGAGGAAACAACAACAGTCGGTAACTACTACATGGTCCGCAAAGCCGCCAAAACACGTTCCAACGTCCTCGGATCCAACTCATCCGCCAGCACGCCGGCCAGCCGATCAGGCAAAAACCTCGCCCTCAGTGCGCACTCGGCATTCTCGATCCGGACCATGAGGGAATACAACACCAGCATCAGATCCGCATCCGACATCGCGTCGCTCATCGGTGGCACCAGCGCCCTGAGCGACGCCTCCTGTTCATCGCCCACACCCACCCCGCCTGGCATCTCCAGCCTCAGACACAGCATCGCAAGCTCACGCATTTGCTCGATGCTGAACTGCACCCGCGACCCAGACGTATCTGGCGCCGGTGCTTCGTCCTGGAAATCCTTCCGGCCGATGAGGTCGCCCGGGAACACCAACGACAGCATCTCCGGCGCTTCGAGACCCTTCAGCCTGACCTCGCCGACGGGGATGACGATAGGATCCAGCCTGCGAATGCCATCGATAGCTTCCTGCGGCTGGGCCTCCGAATACTCGGACAGATCGGCCTCGCTGTCGAAGATCCTCGCGTTGATCTCCCGGATGATATCTGTACTGCACATAATGTGCCCACCCGCTGCGCTGCCCTCAATACGCGACGAACGATTGACGATCGGCCCAAAGTAGTCCATGCGGTGCGTGATGGGATCCGGCTCGCAAAGCGGAATCCCGCAGTGGATCCCCATGCGCACCGACAAGCCGCGTGCAATCAGCCGCCCCTGGTCGTCGTACACAGTCTTGCCGTCCGCGCACTCCAGAATCTCCAGCGGCCACGGCACATTGAGGAGCTCGACCTGCACCGACATGCACCAACAGACAGCCGCAAGCGCAGTGGGGAAAGAGCACATGAACGAGTCTCCTTCGGTCTTCACCTCGTAACCGCCGTGCTGTCTGAGCAGTCGCCGCAGAAGGTCGTTGTGCAGCTTAATGGCAGTGAGCATGCCCGGATTCGCATCCCAGAGATGCGTCGAGCCCTTGATGTCCGTAAAGACGATCGATACATGCCCGATGGGCGGAGGGACCTCATCCTTGAGCCGCACGAGCGTCCGGTCCGTGATCTCCGGTCGCTTGTTCTTGCGTTTCTCGAGCTGCGTGAAGTAGTCCGGCGTGAAGAGGTCCGCGACGCCGACGACCATGATCATCGTGCTTCCATCGGCTCCGTAGCTGATCGCGAAATCCCGCAGTTTCTGCGCAGCGGTCATCGGGTCCGTTCGCTGCGCAATATCGACCGCCGTCTGGTAGCTGACATAGTCCCACAGGCCGCGGTTGGCGATGATGACATGCTCGTCCTGCTCCGTCAGCGTGTACTCGAAGACATCCGGGCGCGCATTGATCACGGGCAGCAAATGGTAGAATCCGAACGAGCGGGAGATGTCGATCTCATCGTTGACCAATCCGGGAGGCGAGACCCAGCCTTCGGCAGCCCGGATCCTAGCAGTCTCTGCGCGATCATATGGATGGTGTTTGCGGGACAGCGGGACCGCAGTTCCGCTTCTTGACACGACGACGAGCGCGTTCCCGACATTCGCCACGTACATCTTCTTGTCGACGATGTAGACCACGACACCGGATGCCCCGGTGCGCAAGTCCGCTGACATACTCGAGCCACCCATATTACTAGTCTGGCTCATCTTGCGACTCATCGCGAACAGCGAATCGTGCAGACTCTGGTTCAGCTTTAGGAACGTCCGCCGCAGTGCATCAACGACACCCTCGCCCTCCTCCAGTGTATTCAGTTGGGAGATGAAGACCCGCACGAAGTTCTCTTGCAGGTATTTCGCAAGCGGATTCGCGGAGGTCGCCGTAGGCAACTGCTTCGGGGGCTGTGCCCGTCCGAACATGGCAAAGATGGCATCCTTCTTGCTGCCCCGGAACTCGTGGACCAGATCGAGCATGTTCAGATGGTGATTCTTCCCCAGCGTGTCCGCAATCCCATAAGACATTCCATTGACGACCGACGACGACGTTCGCACTCGTCGATCGTCATTTTCGTCTGGAATGTCTACGCTGACACCGGTAGTCGTGATCGTCACATCCATCAAGCCCAGCACCCGCAGCTGGCTGAGCTCGGAAAAACCCGCAAGCGCTTCTCGCTGGACAGCGCCGTTGCGGGGAGCATCCGACTTGATCTGCAACCGCTTGTTCCCGGATAAGTTCAAGTACCGGAGGTTCTTATTGAAATTCCTGGGCGCAAGGAGCTGTCAGCGGATGAATGGAAAGATTTAACAAAGCCTAACACACCAGTTCCAATCAAACTCCCAGTTGTTGATGTTGTACTTGAGCAGATTACTCCCCACATCGAGGAATGTTAAGCTTTTGATCTTGCCCAACTCCTGCGGGAGAGTGTGCAGCCGATTGCCGTTCAAGAAAAGCGTCGTCAGCTTGGTCAACTTGGGCAGATCCTCGCTCGGGAACGTCGTCAGGCTGTTGCCGCTGAGATACACCTCCTCCAGCTTGGTCAAGTTCCGGAAAAACGTCGACGGCATGTCCTGGATCGCGTTGAAGGACAGATTGAGGACCCGCAGCTCTTTCAGGAACATCAACGGATGCAGCACTTCATCCGTGAACGAGTTCTCTCCCATGTACAGCAGTTCCAGCGAATGCGCCAGCGGCGGGAGATCCGAAAGACTCGACGCTGACTGCTTCCGTGCCGGTGGAAAAACGGGGCCGCTCACAACCGATGCGTTGTCCGAAAAAGGGGCCATCGACGCGGACGTCATCGCGTCTTCGTCGTGGGGCTGGAATGGCGGTGGGTCGTGCCACAAGACCAGCAGGTTCGACGTCACGTTCAGTCTGGACAGGGACGCGCAATTCCAGAGAGAAACCGGCAGCTCCGTCAGACTGTTGTTATGCACATCGAGAGTCTCCAGCTTCTGCAGTCGCCCGATGCTCTGCGGTAGCTCGCTGAGGGAGTTGTTCGCACAGGAGAGCGACTCCAGCCACCGTAACTCGCCCAAAGAATCAGGAACACTCCTGAATGAGTTGCCATCCAAATTCAGCCGGCGAAGTGACGTGAATTGACCGAGCGTGGCATCGTCCAACAGCGACAGCTTGGCATTGGAGATGTCGAGTGTGGTTAATGCAAGTGGACTCCTCCCAATCGGACCCCGCACGATGGACAGCTGCGTGATCTCATTATGAGACGCGTCGAGCATCGCCAGACACGGACCCAAGGACAACGCCAGATCATGCAGAGAGTTGTGGTCCGCACTCAGCTTCTCGATCTTCGGTAGCATGCACGCCACCGTGAGATCGGTGATTTGGTTCCGCCGACAATCCAGCTCGCCCAGCCGCCCCAACTGGCTGAATTCGTCAGGCAGCTTCGACACCTGGTTTCCAACGATGACCAATCTCTCCAGACATTTCAGCCTCCCTATCTCTTCCGGCAGCTCTGAAATCGAGTTGAAGGAGATATCCAGGTCTCGTAGACTGGTCAATTCGCTGACCCCCAGTGGGAACGTCCGGAACTTGTTGTTCGAGATATTGAGCGTGATCAGTCGCCGCATGCGGGGGAAGCTCCATGGTAAGTTCTCCAGCCTGTTGTTCTGCACATACAGGGTAGTCAGCCCGGGAATATCATCCAGGTACGCCTCATCCAGCGTGGAAATCCGATTGCAGGAGAGATCCAGTCGAGTCAGTGTCGTACTATGTCGCAAGCTGTTCGGCACTTTCTTCATAGACATATTCGAGAGCTTCAGTTCACGTAGTGTCGTACAGGATTGAATGAAGTCCAACGGGATTTCGATCATCGGGTTTCGCGAGAGCCGGAGGGAGACGATGGAGTCGGCATGCTGGTGTAAAACGACAGGAATGGTCCGCAGACTGCGACTGGACAGGTCAATGAACTCGAAGTTGTCAAATCTGAGATCTTCGTTCTGAATGATTGATCAGGAGGGCGAAACATAGAAGCGATGGATCGCACGCACCGCTGGGCCGAGAAATTGGCTCTTGTAGAAAAACTTAAGGATAAATGCCAAGCCGGCACCGTTCACCAGATCTTGCCCATCCGACTCGTCATACCCAGCCTGCTCAAGTCGTCGGAGCACTATTTCAGCAGGTCGTTCTGTCGGCGCCATGGTTCGCTCTGCAAATGACCCAGCTTAAGTATGTAATCCAGGAAAAGAGGACATGAGAAGTACCTCTTCCCCGTTCCTTGAGATATAACTGATGAATCTCATTCTCCTCCCCAGCAGGGAGCTTCATATCCAGCTTCGGCGTCAACTGTGCCACGGTCGTGTTCGTCGGCACCTGCACGACGTGGTACGTCCCGTCAGCTTTGTACACGCGAATCTGCATCTTCTGGCCTGCAACGGTGCGTTTGCTGCCTGGCCTCCGATGCGAATGAGACGATCGTCCATTAGACGTTTGCGCACTCGTCAGCGAGCCAATCGTCCCGTTCCGCCTTGAAGATGGCATCATCTCCGGAGGTACCGCTCGCTGTCGAGAGTCGGCCCCTTCATCAGAATCCGAATCTCCGCCACCCACGCCCTCTACCGATCCAACTGAGTCCTTCACAGCGACACTCCAGCTTTCCGGGGCTGTCCATCCCTCTGAACTCGGTGGACCTCTCAGCATCACACCTGTCATAGGGGCCGCATAATCAATACTGGGCAGCACCGTGTTCGGCGACACCCGTCGCGACGCACGACGGATGTGGTGAAAGGATGATTGTTCTGGAACGAATGGATTGCTGAAGGACGGTGATCCACCCAGATAGTAGTTGCTTTCATCCATCATATCCGAATGATTCGAGTTCGAGTTGGATGTCGAACCGAATCCACTACTCGGGGAGCTCGCATCGTTTCCGCCATTCGCCAGTTTGGAATGATCCACAATGCCCTTCATCGCACCAAAGTCCAAATCCAGCTTGATATCGAGTTCACCAGGTTCCAGTGACTCGTGAGTGCTGCCAGGCAGAGGAGGAACAGGTTCATCGACATGGCTACTCTTCTTCTTCTGTTTCTTGAATCTCGGCGTCTGCGGTGGCGATGGCACAGGCAGGAACGACACAAATGACCCGGATCCGTTCAAAGGCAAAGGCCGCAGTGAAAAGTGCTCCGAATCCTCAGGTGCGCCCTTCATATTCTTTTTCGACACTTTCTTTCGCAAACTGCTGAACACCGAGGACTTGCTCTTTTTCAGCTCAGGTGAGGGCGAGTACGCGCGGTCAAGCGGCTCGTGCATATTGGAAGTCGACGTTGATGCGATGGCAGAGCCCATGGTTTCAGCGATGCTTAGACTACTTGGCGTTTCCGAGATGCCCCGTTGCCGAGAGAAGAAGTTGGAAGTACTGCCGGTGCGTAGTGACGAAAACGAGTTCTTGGGCGGGAAGTGGAAGGAGCGGCCGTTCTTGGCTGGCGGAGAAGGCTTGAGAAGGTGAGCAGGGAGTAATAGTTGAGAGAATGACCACGCACCGGCTCAGTATCCGATTTGTCTAACCAAGGCGCGATTTCCACATCATGTGTGGGGGGTAGATCCAGGTCGGGCACCATCAGTGCCTGCCCATAATCATCAACCGAGTCATCGAGCTCTATAGAACCGCGCGTGGAAACGCTGAGGTGGGTTGAGGGTCGATGCTTTGTTGAATAAGAAGCGGATGTCGAGGAGCTCGCAACGCTCCCTTGTCGTGAAGGATACGTTGAGGTCGGTTTTGGGGGCGGAGTAGGCTGTTATTCAAAAACGCTGAGCGGAGGGAGTCCCGTAATGAAAGAAACCAAGTACACACCGGAACGTCATCCAAAGACTCAAGCCATGGCGCTATTTCCGCCGCGCCGTTTACACTCCCTCCGCGTTGCACCTGTCCCTGGCCTGAAGCAAGGCGCACCGTCGGCGAAGAACCATACGTCGTCTTTATCGGCGCCACGTGTACCCTGGTCGACATGGAAGGACGCCACGAATGCGAGAGTCAGAATACTCAGTCTTTCAGAAATTATGAGCGTGGACAAGGATGAGGTCGCGCCGGAGACAATGCGCACCGCAGTGGATCTATTACAGAGGCCCTGAGACTCTATGAGGGGTGTCCAACGGAAGTCGCGCGGAAAGACGGATATCGGGTACGACGGTGAAAGCCAGGTGGTCTATTTGATGGCGTGATGCAGGACTGCCGACAGCGCGCTGGGCGGAGCTTGTGGATGATCAGGGACCTTCCACTCGTCGCGTCGGCTCTTGAGCCGGGTTGGTGCGAAGGGGGAAGTCTGTGGGCGAACTCGGGCGCACGAACAACAGCGAGCGAGCAAGACTCAAGTGAGCAGTGGTTGTGTGACGTTGACATGTCACTCACCAGCTGTCTGTTCCAATCGGGAAAGGACCCCTGTCTCTTCCGCTGTCTTGTAAATGTCCACTATCAGTTTCGAGTCGGATATTCCTCGCAAACTGACACCCCCAAACAAAGAACCACTGACAAAATCATCCATGCTGACAACGCGTCTGAACTCAATGTGCTTATTTCAACACCAGCAATCATCTCCAGATCCCTACCGACTCTACTACAGCCAGTCTGACTCTGAGATTGGTCCAGATATGTACACAGCAGTCTCAACGCCTACGTGATCTACCCCCCTCCCGCCGTCTCTTTAGCCATCCGAGACGGGTGTCCGGGCGTTTGGCGACCCCGCTGTCATATTAGTACGCTTCTAGACTTCTTAACTCCTCCTTCTTCCCACCCACTGCTGGCAGCATGGCAGACGACGCGAACGATATCCCGTACTCCCACTCAACGCGTAGTTGGCGGCGCTCTCGCTGGTGGCACTGGCATCCTCAAAAGTGGTGGATCTTTGCTGTCGGGATCCTTGGTGCTTTGACTTTTACGTTCTTGGCTCTCGGTGGACCGGAACGTGCGGTGCCTACACTGCAAGCAACCCCCAAGCAGATACATGACGTGACATTGGAATCCTGCTCGAGCATAGCGAAGCCGGCCTTCGCTCCGCGAAGGGTTTATCTGCATGCAGGGGGGCTTCGAGGAGAGGGAATCGGGGTGCGTGGAGAGTCACAGCCCGCAAATCTTCGGGCGTACTGAATGGAGCTTCCAGTCTGTTCTCCATCATTTCAAGCAGAGCATCGTGTTTTCGCGCCTCCTCGACGCCGAGTTTGTCCTGGCGTCCAACGTCGACTCCGACAATAGATACTTTACCTCTAAAATCTACAATGGACCAATCCTCGATCCGCAGAAATACGCTTTCGATGCCAGAAACTCCTGTCGTATCAGAGATTTCATACCGGATTCCGAGCGCGATCGTTTTACGAGGGGGGTTTGCGATCATCAGCCGTGGGCCTTGGACCGTGCCCGCAAGCTTCAGCACAGTATGTCTCGATGCACAAGTGTAGTTGACTTCAACGAGGCGGAGGTACGGAGGTTTTATCGGGTTCCAGAGTAACATACCATCTTCCATCTCCACAGATTACTCAAGACCTGAATGGTTGTATCATGGACTGGGTCAAGGATCGGTTTCATCCAGCATCCAAGTTCCCATATGACCCGTTACCGCCTTTTCACCCACCGAAACGCCCCATCCGAGTGGGCATACATATCCGTTGGGGAGATACTGCCAAACAAGAAGACCTGACTCCCAGCGCGCTCCTCGAACACAAGTTTTACGGCTCTTTCTCCCTACGCAAGATGCTAAGCACATTACGAGACATCCGTAAGCTTGCCGGCAAGTCCGGTATCAAGCTCACAGTGGCTATGGAGAACGCCGACAAGCGTGTGCTTGATCTCTTGGAGGAGAAGGACTACGTTCTGTTGGATTCGCGGGCTGAAGATGATCTAGACGATATGCGGAAACTGAGCGAGAACGACATCTTGCTCCTCGGCGAATCCAGCTGGGGCGTCCTTGTCCATTTGATTGCACCACCCGGGCTGACACTGGTCGACGGTGGGGCGGCGTAAGTGTCTCTTCTATCTTATCTTCTCCACTGGTCTGACTATCCACTTCAATGCTTTCAAAGGCAGAAATTCTCGAACACGACGGGTCTCGGCAGGGATGTTATTTATATGAAGGACTATACGCCTGAAAAGCTTCGTGCGGCTCTGTTTCCCGTTCAGAAGGACTAGCATTTGCTCTTGTTTTAATTTTGAGTGGTCACTTTCCTGTACTTACAAGTTGTTCCTCTGGGACTGTATCTTGGACTCATTTGTCAGCGACTGCACCCGTCTTGCCGAATTCTTAGACAATGAAACTTCTACAAGTGCATACATTGACATGACCGGATCAGATGATAAAATCAAGACGAAACGTGTACAACTGCGTTTCGGATAGCGGAGAGCTGCTGGTGAGTTATGGTACGGTGATGATGCAGGAGCACTGTGCAGAATACATCTTCGAAAATGAGCACCGGGATAAGCCCATTGTCAGAGCTCTGCAAGAGTTGGATTCGCACAAGGCCGTCGACCTCATCTGCTGTAGAAAGAAACCCGCTTCTCTTGCGAAGACATCCCTTCTGAGACTGCACCTGCAGATCATGCGCCAGCCGTTCCCGATCGTCCCACATCACACCGCAAGCGCAGTCGTGCATCCAGACGAGCAGCAGAGAAACGTTCAGGACGACACCCGCCATCAAACAAAAGAGCGCGAATAGGAGCACAGAGATGATCGTTTCGGGGACCCAGGGTTCCCAGTCTCGGCTTAATTCCCATCTCCATGCCAAAGGTCTGACTCGGCGACGAGACACATAGAGCCCCATGGGCATCGCAAAGACAACGATTCCCGATTGCTGCCCTGACGGAACGCATCCAACGACGAGGTCCGCAATATCGCGCGCGCTGTAGAAGACGCGGGCTGCCACAGCATTCGAGACGTCTACGCAGAGCACCGGAGACTCCAGGGATTGCAAGACAGCGGCGAGCTCAGAGCCGTGCCTCCTGCCATACACAGAGGCAGGTCGGAGGGTGAGGCGGCGGATGGGTGCAATGTGTGCGATGACAGGGAGGAGCGCGTATTGGTCCACCGCGAGTTGGACGTCTCCCTCCATGATGTCCGATAACGAAATACCATGGCGGTCAAGCAGCGCTAGTCTAGCGAAAGCGCGAATGGATGCCGTTGTTGCAGAGAGGGCCTGGAGATCGGATGTGTCTGCGTTTGAGCAAACCTGGGCGACAAGCTCTGGCGGGAGCGAGGAGAAGAGCGTCATGGACAAGTCCAGGGTGTGTATACAGTGCTAGGAGTGTATGCTGCGAGCATGAATGGAGGACATCCCCGAACAGCGAAGTTGATGAGCGTCATAGATGAATCCAGGATGAGTGCTGGGGACGTGTGCTGCAAGCATGACCGCAGGGCATGCCACAACCAGCGAAGCTGATAAGGAAGTGTGTTATTTTTGAGAGGTGATAGTGCAGAGCACTCCCGCGCGCTCACACCTATAGTGACATGCGGGGCGTTGATAGATGCTCCGGAGGTTTTCCACGGAACCCTACTCCGTGAACTCGGAGTCGCAGTCAAGTTGCCGGTCACAAAGAAGCCAAATCTCTTGTCGTACGCGAGTGTTGAAGTGAGCGAGGCTTTTCGGGAGCATTCATTGCCGCTACCTTCGGTAAGGTCGGAGATGTTGCTCGTTCTTGTCAACGGCAAATAATTACATTCGCGTAGCATCACTTTATCGTCATCCATAATGTGTGATCAACGACTGCATCTGTAATCACAACTTGTCACGAAACACTGCCCAGTGCCCACGCTCTACTTGCTTTCCTCCTGAGGCTGCTCTGACAAACAAACATGAAGACATATCTCCACTTTTATACAAGCGCTGATGGATGGACTACCTCGGTCGAGACAGCGATGACTTGCAGACTGCACGAGTTCAATTTCCAGGTGCTCTCAGTCTGACATTAGGTGTGCTGGAAGGGAGGGGCTACCACTCGTCGGCCTAACATTCCCCATCAAAAATACGTGAGAAAGAGGCTTTCTGCGAAGACGGGACTGTGAAAGAGTTGCTTGACGACTGGTAAACGGGCGTCGCGGATTTTCTCGAGAGGAAAAAAAGGAAAAAGCGTCCGCTGATTATATGCTCCAGTCCATTGGCAGAGATATCAACATGGCAGTAGAATGAGTACAATCCCTACACTGGATAACTATAACAGGCCACATAGATGTAATGTACGGCACAAGATAATAAGCTTTATAAGAGTCCCCGTATCGAAGTCGTAAAAATCGTCCGTAATTAGAATCGTGGCTGGACCAGTCTAATGGTATTCTCCGCCGAGTCCCCCGAGTCTTGTGCAAGATCATCTGGACTGTCCCGACCCCTATTCCACAGACTCACACTCTCGTCTCTGTCGTCTTCGGTCCCAGTCCGCGGGTACTTTCGGGTTGAGCGACCGCGTTCAGAGGGGGCGCCGTCTTCCCAGTTCGCAGAACGTGCAGAATCAGTCACGCTAGGGAAACTGAGAAGAGTCCCGCTTTGCGGGCTGCCCCTTACCTGGCCGGATTGCTCGTCCTTGGAAAAGATGTCCCTAGAGTCCATCCTCCTTGCACCCGGGAATCGTGGGGCCATCGTTGGCGGCGCACTCCGCGTCATATGACTCTCGTTGCTGTACGCCTCTGAAACAGCGATGCTCTGATCGCGCAGGCTGGTCATGCTGCCATGCGTCGCAAGGGACGGTGGAGGATGTTCATCCAGTTCGCCCAGGAGAAGGTCATTACTGCCATTGGCACCGACCCCGGCAAGGCCTCCACCCCTCTGAGAGTCTGTTTCCTCCCGAGACCGGCCAGGTGGATATCCGCCGTCTGCTGGTGGCAATCCGGTGGTCATCACCAATGGGGACTCGACCACCGGGCGAGAGCTGTGGATCGCAGCGTCGTCTCTCCGTGGGGTTCCGCTCTGGCCGCCAGTGGGGTGATATTGATGCACCACATCTTCTGTTCCAAACTTGATGGTCGTTCGCTTTCCGAGCACCCCTGGCCCGGGCGTCGTAGCGTTGCTATCACTCCGGACACTTCGATTCTCCAGGTCTAGGGATGGCATCGGGGCGTCATACAGCTGGTGCCGTTCAACCGGCGGAAGGCGAGGGTTCGTCGAATTAGCGCGCGTTCTGTCGTATGGAGCAGCCGCACCGGGCGGCCGGCCAACCGACGATGACTGGGATAACCTTCGGGCACTGCGAGCCCGGATGATACTACCGACGGCGCCGAAACTCCCACGCAGGGTGTCCATCCCAGGATCTTCAATGCCAAGGTGATGCTACCATCAGCGTCAGCACACTCACGATCCTATGCTTCCAAAGATGACGCACTTTCTCTTCCATAGATTCGGTCTGGCTGCGAGCAGCCTGTAGCAAGATCGTGCTCCTTCGGTCCAGCTTTTTCGAAAGCTCCTCTGGGTCGACTTTCGACATTTGCAGGATAGTGATCCCCACACAGATCACAAGGAAGCCCATGACCAACGTGATGATCGACGATGGAGATGCTGCTAGTCCTTTGAATAGAACGATGGTCGTTACGATGGAGAAAAAGGTGACTGTTCCGCAATTGAGCACAGGGCGGGTGGGGATCTGACTGACACTCACAAATGACATAGTATGTCGGCGTCACTGTAGAGGCATCAGCATATAATGTGTGAGAAAGATCGAGTTCGTACCCATGGCTATGGATATCGTCAGCGGTGCTCACGACAAACAAATCAGGGACTCACCCGTGTTGAACAATGCGAGGGCGACATTTAGATAGTAGACCTCCGTCAGAAGTGTGATAATGACGAAACCAAGCAGGAAATAAATGAACCAGTGCTTGAACTGGTTGTCTCCTTGTGCGGTTGTGACAATGGACGCTCCCAGACCGGTAGTGACGCTGACACTGATGCCCCCGATCATGCTGCACACAAAGATGTACCAGAGCATACTCTTCTTGCCCCATCGAGGTGCAGCATAGAAAATGATGACCAATGCGGCCGAGATGAGGATGCCGATGTACACGAGGAAACCGACTGACACGAAGAGCTTCTGGAAATCGAGGATGTGGCCTACGGTGGCCTCCGACGGTCCGTTCAGGGCGATGATGACAGAGCCGAGAATGCAAAGCGCGCATCCCAGCCAGCCAAAGAACGAAAGCTTTTCGTTCAGGAAGATCGAAGATAGGATGGCGCAAACGACGACGGACAGCGCGCCAAGCGGTGTAACAACAATGGCTTCCACGAAGGCATATGCTAGAGGAGTCGTCAGAACGTGAGATGATGAGGGCTCGGAAGATGACGAGAGGTCCAGCTCAATACCGGCATGCCCGTCGGTATGACCGAGGCACCGATATGCGCCGTGCGGACAAGAGATCCGTCTCCATGCCTTGGATCCCCGGAGGGTTTGGACACAAGACTGAATCTCGGCCGGTAGCAGGATAGCATATGGGGAAAGACTGAAAGAGACGAGAAGGCCCCGTACGCACCGGCAAAGTTACACAGTTCGCCCAAAATCATCACTGCAATCCCATGAGCTCAGCCCCAAAACGCATGGAATCGGGTGCACGCACTTGACATGCCCAACCACCAGAGAGGCTGCGGAGTCGTTAGGAGCCGTGCCAAGGATGCCGAGTGTGCGACACACCGATTTCAGATACGCTACGCCCTCTCCAGCCGCGTGCCCTGCCTGCGAGCGCAACAAGCCCTTCTTCTTGAAGACGAAACTTGAGCCGATGAGTAGACCACTGCATATCGCCAAGATGATGCCGACGACCTGCAGTCCCAGGACATGAGTGTCTCAGGCTTATCCTAACTTGTCTAGGCAACGCACCTTCAAGTTCCCATTCGTAGATATCGACCCCGAGGCTCCAGATGATGCCGACGGGGAGGCCGCTCGGGCGAATGCCGGCGACATGGCGGGGCGTAGGGATGTGAGGAGGAAAGTGGGGATTGATGATCGTCACAGTTTCTGCACCGCTTCTTGATCGACCGTTGCCTGTTGACAAGACAAATTCGCTCTACTCGATGCGCCAAGCCGGAGAAGATAGAAACTCGCTTCAAAGCGAGGAGAAGATAAAGGGATGAGTAGCGCAAGGTGCCGAGGGATGGATGGATTATTATTGTGGTGGAAGACAAGAGCGAAATTGGTGGAGCGCCGCGCCCATGATATCACCGAATGACCGTGTGCATGGCATGACAATGGCACCATTTTATCTGAGTGGCAGGCGAGCAGCGGGCGGCCCAATTCCATCTCAAACAGTCGTGCCCATGTCCCCGCAACCTCTCACGTCCTGCTGTGTGATGATTCTGCATGCTCTCAATGACTTCGCCGCCTTCCTGTGAAGTACCTGGCAGAGTTGCATGCCAACCTCCTCCTCCCTCTCTCGCCCGCAAGATTCTTATGGAAACTGCAATTTGTCTCCAAGCATCTGAACAGCTCCCGCTCTCTCCCTGAGGATCTCACACGGGCTCACTCTGGCCCTTTGCGAATCGCCCTCATGCGCTTGCACGTCAACATCAGCGAGTTTGGCAGAGACATGCACACAGATGCGCGCTGATGAGGACATGCACTGGCAACTCCACGGGCAGTTCAATGACATACATCTGTGGTACCGCTGGTCGGAGGACGTGGTCGATGATATCAAACACGAGCCTACTTTGAGATCAAGGGTTGCGATAATCTGGTCGTTACCGTCAATATCTCGGTCCATTCCAGGGAGCTTCTGTAGATTCAAGCCAGCTCTAGTGGCTTTCACGAGCCTTGAGTGTGCCAGTGGCCGGTATCATCTTGCTTCACGCTCCCGACAGCAGGCGGTGGTCCCACCCGAATCGTGACCCTCAACAAAGCCTGATCGGTTTGACCCTTTCTCCACTGGAATAGTTGAAGGGCCCACCAGAATCGTTGAAGGGCCTTCAGCGATTCCAGTGAACTCATCGCCGTGCGACAGATCGGCGCTGCGTCGGCAGGATACGTACCGATTTCTCGCTGTTGGAATGACAAATACGGCCCATGCCTGGTACAGCCTCGTGCGCCGGCTAGCTGCTCGCTTTGACCAGACATGTACAGCATACATTCACAAATGATTGTGTACAGGAACAAGTTACTGACCAAGTTCAACATAGCAGAACAGCAATCAACAAAGCGAAGGGGCAACAAGGTAAGGGCGCGGTTACGGGCAGAATACCACTTTGAAAGCAATGTCGCCTGCACCGCAGGCCCGAACAGGGAGATCGGCACCACGAACCAGAGAAGGCATCTGCACGTCGAGGACTATACCCGCACGCCGTACTCACGATAACAGGATGAACGGCATTGGAGCATTTGTTATTCAGAGTGAAAGCATGTCCATCGACTGTTACACTGCTCGAGATTGTACCAGAGCTGACAGTAGCAGTCGAAGTCGCGGAGCTAGTGGAGACGAGAATCGGTTTCTGCTCGGGGGTGGTCTGCTCGGAGGGAGGAGTCCCCACGGTGGTAGTAGTGGCGGTCGTTTGCGTCGTGAATGGAGCACTACTGATCGACTTTGTCACGAGCGCGTAGGTGTGAATAGCAGAGGAGGCGGCTGAAAAACTCGGTTGAACGTGAGAGGGGAGGGACGAGGGAGTCTTGCAGCTGCGCCGTGGGTTTCGCTTGCTTGGCGAGAGGAGATTGGCGCTCATTTCCGCCGATTGGGCAAGCCGTGCCGCGATTTCATGGTACTGCAAGGGAGCTCTTACAATGCTTGTGGACCGAGTGATCTGGAAAAGAGAGACGATAAGGAACATTGGGGCCAGCGAAAATACAAGCATAGGCAGAGTGAGAGACGAAAGCTCAAATCCTCACGTGCAACGATTCCGCACTTCACGGTGCAACAGCTCACGTGCAAAGCTTCCGGTTGAGCAAATTATCAAGCCTGGCCAGAGGAGACTAGAAGCGCTGCGACTAAAAAACAGTGCGGGGCCTGTATCTAACCACAAATACAAACTTGCCGCGGGAGACGATAATACGAGATAGGCGTCGATCGTTCACAAGGAGAGATCTCGCTTTCGCAGATCGCTCGTATGGCGTTAGTTCTCATTTCTTGCGTTGAGAGCAAGTTGAGCAACCGACGGCGCTTCAATCAGCGAACGAAATCTCGCTCGCACTCGATTCAGATGACGAAGAGAATGCGAAAATGTCACGGTGACGCTCACGATCACTCTCTTCCCCAAACCACTACCAGCCCAACGCTCTTTCCACGCACTCTCCTTCACGCCAACGATGCATACCACTGCTCTTACAATCCTTTCCCTCCTCGGCCTTGTGAGCTCACTTCCCATTCGGCGAGGCTTATCTGGTCAGCCCTAAGAGTCTATCGAGTCGACGGCACTCATCTCGTCCATCAGACCCTCGAGTGCTCAACTTTGCCCTCACACTGGGCGAGTTCTCTCTGTACTACATACTTGCACGGACAATGACAGCGTCTTCCAGAGCACCTCGAGTCGGCCTTCTATGATCAAGTTCTCGCTCGTTTCTCGCCTGTCGACTTCACCGCTGCTAAATTTCCGGCCTGGACGCGTGGGCGATTTCAGCAAATCCAAGAACATGAAACAACGCATGTCGCATTTCTCTCCACCGCTCTGACGACGGCTGGTGCGAAGGCTGTCGAGCGTTGCGAGTACGATTTGTGTGTCGACTGTTCACTCAGCGATGTGTTTCGTCTAACGACTCGCAGCGGCATAACCGACGTCGCGTCCGCAGTTTCCCTCAGCGCGTCTCTTGAATCGGTTGGCTCCGCTGCCTATACTGGCGCGGCGCAGTACATCAACGACAAAGTAAGCGATCTCTAATGAACGCATACATCTTGACCATCCTCCTCCAGAACTATCTTACTGTGGCTGCGAGTATTCTCGGGATTGAGAATCGACATGCCGGTATGTTTCAGAGTCCGTCTTCAGAGTCGGCACTCATATCCGCAGCCTGGCTTGCCTCCTCTGCTTTGCACGGAAGCGCTTGGGATACATCATTTCAAACTGCGCTCTCGCCCAGTCAAGTTTACCACATCGCATCAAAGTTCATCAAGTCATGCCCCTCCTCAAACTCTGCCATTCTCCCCTCTCTCGCATCCTTCGCGTCACTGACTGTCTCGAACGCGCAACCGGGCAAGACTGCTACTGTCGACTTTCCTGTGCCTAAGGACTCCACTTCACAACTGTTTGTTGCGTTTATCTCCGGTGTCGGTGCTCCGGTCTTTTCTCCGGTTCAAAATGGTCAAGTCCAAGTGCCAATCAGTCTTGCTCGGACTGGGTCTGTATATTGTGTGATCACGAGAGATGGAGGCAGGGTCGACGACGACACAATCGTCGCGGGTCCTGCCATAGTACAGTTTCCATTCGGTTCATGATGTTGTCAAAAATATAAGAATTTACACTGCAGAGCAAGGGTGGAAAGGACGCGACTACCAGCAAACTCTACAAGTGAGGACTGGGGTTGATCAAGTTACTCGAATTCCGAACAACCTTGGAGGAAACTGGGAACCCTCTCACGGGTATACCACTGAGTAATCGAGCACCGATATCCAATCGAGCTTGTATGGGCCGAATCCAATTCCGGAGAGTTCAAAACAGAGGGCCGAAGAACAGACATCGCGTGGGCCGGCGTGCACCGCCTAGAATGCACTCAACCAGCAGCGAACCACCACGCCTACAAATATACCCCGACAACACGTCAGCGACGAGATAGCGTCCAGCCAAGGCCAAGTCCGACCATTCCATGCGCGTGACATCACTCCACGCAATATCCTCCTGCCATCGGCGGCGGCAGATATCGCCCGGTCTTTGCCGTCGGATCTCCGCAAGGCAGCAATGTCAGGGCAAGACTTATGTGATTTTTGCAACGCTCGATCAAGAGCGGAAGAGCTGGGGCCGCATGATGACCAGCGATGCGAACCAGCAGAGTGACTATCGTCAACGGAACGATCCGCGAGACGACCATGCGGTATAGCTCGAGATCGTTGAGGTGCTGGCCGGCCTCCGTGTCGTGGAGATAGAGCGTGTGCAGACCAGGAAACAGCGAGGATGGGAGGTCGGGACGGAGAGTGAGGGCGGCGACGAATGCATCGTCGAGCGCGATATGCATGTACAGCTCCTCCAGGCGCTGCATGCTTCGCATCTGAAGCCAGGAAAGATGCCATTCGATCCCGGGGTGCTGTGCATCCGCGAGATCGAGTCGTTTCAGGAACGCTTTTGAGCGGATAAGCAGACGGTCCAAGGCTCGAGCGTCATCCGCCACGTGAGGTGCATCGTTGTAATGCACCATGAGCTTGTCCAGACAGGGCAGGGTCAGACAGTCGAACAACTCGGTCAGATTGACTGCCGTTACGGTCATCTTCAGGTCCGAGAGGTAGGGCAGCGAAGTGTGATGCGGGACAAACGTGCCGCCGGATCGGTCCGCCCCGAGTTGAAGAGCTAGGCTGCGCAGCTGCCCGCACCGCCGTAGGGTGTCCAAGAGAACGTCCGCCGAGCGATGCGTCGATGACGGTCAACTGGGCAAACGGAACGAAGCTCAAGTTGATGGAAGGAGAGAGCACGACAGAGAGCGAGGACACTGGTCAGCACCGAGCCGTCGGGCGAGTGCATGAACAGGAGGATGAGCATCCCCGACGTGAGAATAGTCCATGTGGGCGTGAGGAGGGTGGACCGGACGCGATCGCCCTCTGAGGGATTTCGGTAGTGGTGCAAGGCATTGAACTTGGATGTGAGCCAGGCGGAGAGTGCGAGCTGCGCCAGTGGTGTCAGACAGGCTGGGCGGGAGCAGAGAGACACATACCTCAAAGATGGCAAGTAGGATGACGAGACCAAGGGCGACTGCGTGGAAATCAATGCGAGTGACAACAAAATGGTGGTGAGGTACGCACTGGGATGGCCTCGACGAAGCTGGGTCCCGAATGACATGGTGGCGGTGGGATATGGAGACAAAGGGTGTCGTTGGATGGGTGCGTTGCAGGGTTGTTATATAGTCGTTCAGGAGAGGCTGGAAGGTAGAAGCTTCTGTGTCCCGTCCTGCCGCCCCGCTGTTTTGCTTGCCACCCTCGCTGCCCCCTCCCTTTCTCGTTCTTTTCCGCTCGAGTGAGGTCGGCTTGGCGCCGGATGGCTCAGAAAGGTCGGCGAGCGGGGACAGCGGCTGGGCTTGGTGGCCTAAGGAAACATCCTCCTCCCCTTCCTCTGTAGCAATCTCAGCCTCGCTATGCTCCTTCAAGACAGCGGCGATATCGAAGGCGCTAGGGCAAAGGGGTACCGAGCTGACAGCCGTGTCAGGTTCAGATCGGAGACAGAGTGAGATGTGAGGCAGGGGATGGTAGGGAGGCACGAGTGCGCTGTCAAGACACATGGTCGCACCTCCGGACAATCGTGCTCGTGCCTCTGATGGATGCGGGGTGATGAGAGGTTTGGGCGTCACATAGCTGGCACAGTCCCATTTGGCACCATCGGTAGCGAGCCAAGGGGTTGCATGCGAGGGAGGAGGGGGAGGAAATCAACAAAGTGTACCGCCAGAAAGAAGTGAAATGAAGCGATTCTGAAATAGGTCGGGGGCATACGGAAGGAATGGGCACGAGGGGGGAAGGGCGGGACCAATAGGCGGGGACGGGGGATGTAAAGGGCAAACGCGACACGAAGTAAGCCGCGGATGCAGTGCCGAACGGGAAGCGAAGCGGGCAGCGAGGGGTTTAAGACTTGTGTTCAACGGAACTGCCTCAGTCGGCATGGAATGCCGCAATCATTACCCTCACGTGTACTGTACATGCTGGTGATGATGGGCATCATTTGCATCTCAGTTTTTTACTACTACCCCGTCTGGTGACGCAGTGCTCCTTGCCATACTCGGCGTCTTTTCTGTGAAGCAGTGGACAATTGCTCCAGAACGGGTGGTCCCATCGACAATTCTCTGGAGCTTGCCTGTTACAACCTTCTTGCTGCATCCTGTTCTGCAATCGGCCTGAAACTTGCTGGTACGGCAAGACAGGAAGCGTAGCTGTTGTCTGGCATGAAGATCAGATTGGTACACAACAAGTCCAACAGGGCCTCACTGGTGAGTCTCCCCTGCATTCCCTTGGCTAAGACCTAACATCACTTGTAGCTTTTGTCTTTGGACCGTGTAAGTGATCAATGCTGATTTGTATTCTTCAATTATATGTGACATGCTAGGACCTACCAATGCACCACATTCAATATGAGAACACAGCTCATGCAAGGGATCCCATGTATGTTGCAACTCAATTGCTGGCTCAAACTGTCTAATGATGGATTATGTGCTGTAATGCAGTGCCAGTGACACATGGGACCACTTGCTAGTAGAAGAGAATGCACAGCATCCTTTTACAAACACATCACTTGAGGTGTGTGCCATGCATGTGTTTATTCTTTCTTATCTAACAGTCAAACTACTGCAAGATGCCTCCTTGGATGAGATGGCCAAAGCTACTGGCTACAAGGTTGAATTGTTCCATGAATGTCTTGGTGAGAATGCTCCTTTGTTCCTGGTGTTCATTCTGTGTAACGGATATAGCAGGTCATGGAATCAACATGCAGCAGCTGCAATCAATCAGGGATCAATCCCAGCAGTACTGCACAGAGAAGGAGCTTATCAGCTGTGAGGTTTCATGCTTGGATTATGTATTTTGCTGATGCAATATGCAGCTGCTGAATCTATGGCTTCTGCTCAACATACACAAGAAGCTGATAAGGATATCATTGGTGAAAACAATCTACTGTATGCTGATTCAGCAGCTGACTCTGCATTCTGTTCAGGCAAAGTTTCTAAGCGCCGTAAACTTGGTGAAGTACCTGGTATTGGTGACTGAGATACATGTCAAGCAATGGTATTATGCATCATGAAGCAAGATCTCCATGACTCCAATTTCATTTGGGTGTTACCATTGTTTAGAAAGGGAGAGGCTAGGCAGAAATATGAGCAATTGGCAGATCAATTGGATTTGAAATTGGGGCTCAGAGAACCAGCAGTACTGATTTGCATAACTAAACAGATGTACTGGAAAAATCTTGGACTTGTATCCATGTGACAATCAACAAGAAATAATGTCAAAAAGAGAAATCAATTTGAAGACTGTAGAATACAACAAAGTGGTTACAGTATTTATATCCAAATCCAGTCTGAGTCATATCTAGAACTAATGAGTCATGAGACTATGTACCACATAGAGCACTGGTCATGGGTAGTGGTAGAGCCTTCTGGAGCATATGTTGTGCAGCCTTGAATTGATAGAGATAACCCTCTGGACCCCTCACCCAGACCGTGTCATGCCATGATCTGTGATAAGACAACCCGTGTTAAGATAAGATAAGATTGTTGATGGAAAGATGAAAAAGTGGTCAATGTAAGGGCAACCTCGAGGCCCAATCTCAGAGTCCTGACAAGGGAGAGTCCAAAGCGTCAGATAAAGGGATCGACTAATACAGGAGACTTGGCAAACCTGACAAGGGAGAGTCCAAAGAGAAACCGAGTTGGGGACTCTCCTTGTCAGGGCCCACTATATATAGCCTATGGGACAATGGATGACCAAGCACAATAGAAGCGCCAGACAATGGGGCCAGGGAACAATGAGGGGCCGGTGATAGGCTGGCTACCAGACGCGCTCTGCACCAGCTCTGTAAGGGCGTATTTTTGTGCTTTTTACAGAGTTTACTCTCAAACCACTTCATGTATCGTGTCGCGGTTGACAGTGTTGCGTTCAGTAGGACTTAAGGGTCTACTGCCCAGTCAACAACTGTGGATAGTGTCGACAATAGCAAGGCAGTCAGACCACTACTGTGGAATTGGTCTTATGAGTCTACACCAGGCTCAGGGCTATTAGTGACGAACGCTTGGACCGCGACAATTCCCCAAAAGGGATCTTTTGTTGCAGCGACTTCTCAAAAGGGTCATTCTCTGCAGATGGGAACTTGGGCTGAAGGGCTGAGCAATGCGCGACGTTCTCAATATTACAACTACTACTGGACAGGACTTGGCATTACAAGATTGAGCCAATCTTGTCGCAGCAACTCCCGGTTTTTGGGTTGGACGCTTTCCCAGATCATGCCACGGCAACGACTTGTCACATGTCAGGATCCATTCGATCACGGGACATTGTGGACGCGTTGCGGTGACACTTCCAAGTGTCACGGCGAGTCGCGTCCATACCCAAACACACTAGAAACCGACACGGCTAGATCCGTGAACCAAACCATGTGGGGGACGACCGGCGTGCCTAGGGCCATACGGCTTCTTGGGGCGCCCACGCTGGTCTCACTTGCCAAGACATACCAGTTGGCCAATCCAGCACATCGTATTCCAAAAGTATGACGCGGTGGATTGACCCACATCAAAAGTACCATATGGACTATGGGGCAGGGTCCTGATCATTCAGGACCTGTCCGATCGTTCAACTTTTCATTACCATAAAAAGCAACCGATCTTAGATAGCGTAGCCACTATGCAGTTGTACAGGACTTTACTAAGCATCGTCGTAGACAGTATAAGTAGCACGTTGTTTCTTTGTATTAGGGAGCTTTCCCTCGGATTGTGAATCATTCTCATATCAGATTGTTTTGTGCAATTTGTGTGTTGCGTGATTCGGCCCTAAGAAGTTCTGTTACCCCTGCCCGGTTGCGACGAGTTGCTCCCTGAGCACTTGTAGCTACTGTGATCTGAGTTTGAGTTTGAGATATCAGAAAGTTGGATTCACCGCTTCTGGTTTAGTCGCGGCATTTAGTGTCGTCACCTTTGGGCTTTGTTGACATTGTCTCCACACCTCTAGCTTGGCAGTGCGTCGACTAGTTGTGCTCGGTTTTTGGACATTTGGATATTGGCTGTTAGTTGGCAGTGCGTTGACGCGGCATTTTGGTTTTAGTAGTTGGCAGTGCGTCGACTCAGTATATTGGTTGTATCAGTTGGCAGTGCGTTGACTCGATATTTGGGCTTTGCGTCACCATCTGGACGCTGTTGCTACAAGGGATCTTAATACTTTGTATTAATCTCTAACTTGTAATATTGTTGGTTGTGGTTGGATTAGTGTTAGTTTTGGTCGTATAGAAGATATTGGTTGAGACACCACTGTTTGTTCTATATAAATTCTTGTCGTCAACTTCGTCCTCTGTGACTATTGGATCTGCGTCTATTGAGAGTTGTGATACTGGTGCTCTGCCCACCCCGAAGCCCTCGCATCTTTCACACACTGAGAAGCTGATTACGAGGAGTGTGAACGTGTTTATATTTGGGTTTACTTCACAGTAGATTCACTTGTGAGCGTGCCCTCAGCATTTCACCAGGACACTTTGAAGTGTCACCGCAACACGTCCACAATATCCCATGATTGAGTGGAACATGACATGTAACAAGTTGTCATCATGGCATGATCTAAGGAAACTTCCAACCCAAAACCGGGAGTTGCCGCGACAAGATTGGTTCAATCTTGTAACGCCAAGTCCTGTCTAGTAGTAATTGTTATGTTGAGAACGTTGTGCATTGCTAAGCCCTCCGGCCCAAGGTCCCATCCGCAGAGAATGACCCTTTTGAGAAGTCGCTGCAACAAAAGATCCCTTTTGGGGAATTGTCGCGGTCCAAGCATTCATCACTAATAGCCCTGAGCCTGGTGTAGACTCATAAGACCAATTCCACAGTAGTGGTCTGACTGCCTTGCCACCGTCGGCACTATCCACAGTCATCGACTGGACAGCAAACCCTTAAGTCCTACTGAGCATGACACTGGCACCCGTGAGATGATACACTGAATGGTTCAAGAGTAAACTCTGTTAAAGCGCAAAAATATGCCCTTGTAGAGTTGGTGCAGAGAATGCCTTGTAGCCAGCCTATTACAGTCTGAAAGGACAGAAGGTTATCAGATGTTGCTGAGTCTTTGACCAAAAATCTGATCGCCAAAAATGTGCCTGCCTAGTTGCCCAGGGTTTCAGTCAAGTCACAGGTGTTGACTATGATGAGATATTCTCTCCTGTTGTCAGGTATGAGATGTTCCAACTGGTCATGGCGCCTGCGGCGCTAAATGATTGGCATTGGTCTGGACTCGACATCAGTAAGGCTTTTCCCTATGGAGAGCTTGACAAAGAGGTCTACATAGAACAACCTGAAGGCTTTGTGGCAAGAGGCTAAGAGTGCAAAGTCATGCACTTGCACAAGGCAATCTACGGACTCAAACAAGTTGCTTTAGCATGGTGGAAAGCGCTAACCAAGTCCACAAAAGCCATGGGCTGGATCCGACTAACATCGGATGCTGGTGTGTTCTTCTACAAGGACTCTGATAGCAGCATTGCCATCATAATAGTCTATGTGGATGATGCACTATTCTTCTCCCAGGACAAGAAGCTCCTTGCCTTTCTCAAGGCTGAGGTCAACAAACAATGGGAATGCCGCAATTCTGAAGATACTCCAGAGTTCTTGCGGGTACACCTCAGTAGAGTAGGATCTTCAATCAAGATTGATCAGATTCCTTATCTTGACAAGGTGCTAGAGCGCTTTGGGATGCAGAACACAAAGATCGCAGTAACCCCTCTACCGGCTGGATATGTTCCAAGGCCAAACAAGGATAAAGTCGATCCAGAGCTCAGGAAGAAATTCCAATCAGTCATTGGATCTCTTCTCTTCATCATGCTAGGCACACCTCCTGACATTGCATTTGCTGTGACTAAATTGTTACAATTTGCTACCAATCCATCCCAAGACCACCTCCACAAAGCGCTGTATATCTGCTGCTATTTGGCTGGTACTGTAAGGGCAACTTCTGCCAGCCCAAAGGAAGAGAGCACACAGCACACAACAACCTCACATGAGTCTGAGCACAGAGGGGGATCCTTAGAGACTATCAAATACAAGGGAGGTATACTACTCACCTGAGCACAGAGGGGGATCCTTAGAGAACGGTTGAAGGATCCATGTGCCCAGGTGTCACACTATATAGTCAACTGTGACAAGTGACTGATGATGATGGGATATCACTGCCATGGAACAATGGCAGATGACAAGTAGATAATGACAAACCCAGATAAGATAGTGAGTGGCTCAGAGGGGCCAGTGATGGCCAGCTCCTGAGACACCAACAGTGGAAGGCCACACTGGAGGAGCCCAGTGGCCAGGCCAGTGCCGGGCCGGCCAGTGGAGACATTGGAGGCAAGGACCAATGCCGGACTGGGAAGAGTGGTGGTGCGGATGAGCGCAAGGGCATCTGGTACAAGCCTGTACGGCAGTAGACCACATCTGCGGGAAGAAGGCCAAAGTAGAGGGGGAGAAGTGTGTACAGCAGTAGCACTCCCTGGTGCAAGGAATCAGGCTTAGGTAGACTGCTTGCAGGGATTTGAAGGAGATGGCCAGGAGAAGGAGGAACAGGGCGGACGTCAGCATGGATGGAAGTGGGGATTGAAGAAGGAGGAGGCTGGGTGATCAACAGGTGAGCAGGCACAGGTCAGCAGAGAGGGCGCAGTGGGTCACATGCATGGTCACGTGCCCAAGGAGCGCAGCGTCCCCTGACAGCTGACAATGGATTTTATGAGCTTGAGTGTGTATGTGGACTTTTTGGTGGAAAAGGAGGCCATTTGGCAAGAGGTAGGGCACCCAAACATTGTTAAATACCATATCAAACATCACCAGTGGCTTACACCATGCATGTGACCCACTGCGCCCTCTCTGCTGACCTGTGCCTGCTCACCTGTTGATCACCCAGCCTCCTCCTTCTTTAATCCCCACTTCCATCCATGCTGACGTCCGCCCTGTTCCTCCTTCTCCTGGCCATCTCCTTCAAATCCCTGCAAGCAGTCTACCTAAGCCTGATTCCTTGCACCAGGGAGTGCTACTGCTGTACACACTTCTCCCCCTCTACTTTGGCCTTCTTCCCGCAGATGTGGTCTACTGCCGTACAGGCTTGTACCAGATGCCCTTGCGCTCATCCGCACCACCACTCTTCCCAGTCCGGCATTGGTCCTTGCCTCCAATGTCTCCACTGGCCGGCCCGGCACTGGCCTGGCCACTGGGCTCCTCCAGTGTGGCCTTCCACTGTTGGTGTCTCAGGAGCTGGCCATCACTGGCCCCTCTGAGCCACTCACTATCTTATCTGGGTTTGTCATTATCTACTTGTCATCTGCCATTGTTCCATGGCAGTGATATCCCATCATCATCAGTCACTTGTCACAGTTGACTATATAGTGTGACACCTGGGCACATGGATCCTTCAACCGTTCTCTAAGGATCCCCCTCTGTGCTCAGGTGAGTAGTATACCTCCCTTGTATTTGATAGTCTCTAAGGATCCCCCTCTGTGCTCAGACTCATGTGAGGTTGTTGTGTGCTGTGTGCTCTCTTCCTTTGGGCTGGCAGAAGTTGCCCTTACAGTACCAGCCAAATAGCAGCAGATATACAGCGCTTTGTGGAGGTGGTCTTGGGATGGATTGGTAGCAAATTGTAACAATTTAGTCACAGCAAATGCAATGTCAGGAGGTGTGCCTAGCATGATGAAGAGAAGAGATCCAATGACTGATTGGAATTTCTTCCTGAGCTCTGGATCGACTTTATCCTTGTTTGGCCTTGGAACATATCCAGCCGGTAGAGGGGTTACTGCGATCTTTGTGTTCTGCATCCCAAAGCGCTCTAGCACCTTGTCAAGATAAGGAATCTGATCAATCTTGATTGAAGATCCTACTCTACTGAGGTGTACCCGCAAGAACTCTGGAGTATCTTCAGAATTGCGGCATTCCCATTGTTTGTTGACCTCAGCCTTGAGAAAGGCAAGGAGCTTCTTGTCCTGGGAGAAGAATAGTGCATCATCCACATAGACTATTATGATGGCAATGCTGCTATCAGAGTCCTTGTAGAAGAACACACCAGCATCCAATGTTAGTCGGATCCAGTGTAAGGTTGTTGTGTGCTGTGTGCTCTCTTCCTTCGGGCTGGCAGGAGTTGCCCTTACATCCTCCTTCAACTCATCCAACAGTCATTGCTTAGCCGCATTGTCTGGAAGGATGCCAGACTTGACCCAGTAGTTAGCAATGATCTGGGAAGAGACTTTGTCCCATGCCATATCTGCCAAGCTGTGACAATCAACCCAAAAACAAAGTCAAAAAGAGAAGTGAATTCCAAGACTGGAGAATACAACCAAGTAGCTACAGTATTTATACCCAAGTCCAGTCTGAGTCATATCTACAACTAATGAGTCATAAGGCTATGTACCACATGGAGCACTGGTCATGGGTTGTAGTAGAACCTTCCAGAGCATATGTCGCGCAGCCTTGAATCGATAAGGATAACCCCTGGAACCCCTAGCCCGGACCGTCTGATGCTGTGATCCGTGATAAGATAATCCGCGGCGAGATAAGATGAGATTGTTGAGGATAAGATGAAAAAGAGTCAAATTATGACATTACCCCCTCTCTAGGGTCGATGTCCTCATTGACTAGGCCAATGGGCGTGAAGACGTTCTCGTAGGGGTCGAAGAGTTGTCGCTGGGGGTATGGAAGGCGCTCGTCCTTGGGTTTGTAGCAATGGATGAGATAATCCCAGTGTCCAGCTTCAAGCGTTGGCAGGAGGCGAATGCGTGTGTCTGGGTTGGATTGTTTCTTCTGCCAATCTCTCAGGACCTTCTTTGCGTGGGTAAGGTGTCGTGATGGTTCCCAAGTATTTTCGCTATGCGGCCAGCCCTTCCATTTGACCAAGTACTGCTTTCCTCGGCCGACGTTTCGCTCTTTCACAATCTCTTTGACTTCCCACTCCTCTGCTCCTCCGATCATCTTGGCTACAGGTCTCTTCTCTCGGCGATGGGGGGGTGGTTCGTGATACGGTGTCAATAGTGACTCGTTGAACACCGGGTGTCTTCGGTCTATGTCCGGCAAGTCCAGCTTCCATGCGGCCGCTCCAACCTTCTCCAGTATCTCATATGGTCCTAATCTCTTGTCGCTCATCTTCTTTGATGGTCTATCCGTCTCGATATTTTCCCCTTCTATGTACACCTTCATCCCAACCTTCAACTCCGGAACTTCTTTTCTTTGTTTATTGTAGTATTTTTTCATTTTTTCTTTTGCTTTTTCCAATGCTGCTTTTGCTTCGTCTTGTATTTCTTTGATTCTTTTTACAAACTCCTCCGCCGACTTGTTCCTTGATTCCATCCGTTGTTCCACTCCCTTCCATGGGTGATATCCGTGATTGGCATGGAACGGTGATATTTTGGTAGACGTGTTCATCTTGTCGTTGTATGCAAACTCTGCCATTCCCAGCCACTCCGACCAGTCCGTCTGATGGTAATTGACGTAGATGCGGAGATAGTGCTTGATCTCCTGATTCATACGTTCCGTTTGTCCATCTGAGATTGGGTGATATGCGGTCCCCAGATTCATTTCCACGCCCAACATCCGATTTGTCTCCCTCATGAAGCCTTTGATGTAACGCAAATCCCTGTCGGTGATGATCTTGCGGGGGATCCCGTGGTAGCGGAAGACTCGGTCCCTGGTTAATCGTGCGACTCCTTCACTGCTGATGTCAGTACTAATTGGTTCGACATGGATCATTTTGGTGAAGGTGTCACACCACACATGAATTGCGTCATACCCGTTACTGACCGGTAGGGGTCCGATTTGATCCATGGAGATGATTTCCCATGGCGCATTTGGGACTGCATGTGGGTGCAGAGTCCCTGTCCTTGCTCTCCTGGTCTTGGTCCGCTGGCACACCTCGCACGTCTGGATGTATTTCCGGATTTGGTTCCCCATCCTTGGCCACCAGTAGTTCCTTTCCACCATTTCCTGCGTTCGATTGATCCCAGCGTGTCCAACCAAGGGTGTGTTGTGGTGTAGCCCAATGATCTTGTCTCGCAGCTCCTCGTCCCTTGGTACGTAGAGCTTCCCATGATACGTGATAAGCCCCTCTTCCTTCTTCCATCCAACGAGTGACTTCTCCAAGGCCGCCTTGACGCTTCCATCAATCGATCGAATGGCCTTGATTTCATCGATTAGCTGCTGATCCTGTCCCTCGAATGTGACTTCTTGTGATCGGAAGAACTCGGGCTTCAGTAGCGTGACGTCCTTGTTGTCGTTCTTGCCCTGATCGTGATCCGCTCGTCGAGACAGGAGATCCGCCTTGCGGTTGAGTGCGCCGGGTTGGTGTCGTAAAGTGAAATCAAACTCCGCCAACTCCGTGATCCATCGTGCTTGCCGTCGATTGAGCTTCTGCGGCTTCCGGAAGTACTCAAGATTCTGATGATCAGTGAAGATCTCAAACGTCTCCGTGGCTCCCAGTAGTAGCTGTCTCCATTCGTCTAGTGATAGCATGATTGCAAGCATTTCTTTGTCGTAGATCTCATAGTTCTGCTCGGTTTCCATTAATGCGTGCGAAATAAATGCAATTGGGCGCCAAATTCCGTCTTGGTTTTGGCTCAAAACAGATCCTGTTGCCCCTTCCAAAGCATCGGCTTCCAGACGATATTGGCCGGTGTTGTTTGGCAGTGCTAAGACCGCATCCTCCGCAATTCTCTTCTTCAACCCATCAAATGCTGCACGCTCATCTGTACCCCATGACCATCCTGCCTTCCCTGTCAGCCGTGTCAACAGCTTGGCAACCTCCGCGTATCCCCGGACAAAGCGTCGATAGAAGTTTGTGAACCCTAGAAACGCTTGGACTTGTTTGACGCTCTTTGGTTCTGGCCATTCCATCATGCCCTTGATCTTGACAGGGTCCATCCGCATCGAGTTGTGTCCAATGATTACACCTAGGTACTCGATTTCCGTGCGTTCGAACTCGCACTTTTCGGGCTTCAGGTATAGCTTGTGTTTCTGGAGCAATTCGAGCACTCGTTTTGTGATCCGCCGATGTTCGTCCAAGTTCTCTGTGAAGATCAGTATATCATCCAGATAGACTACCACGTGACCCTTGTTGATCAACTCTCAGAGTATGTCGTTCATCATGTTCTGGAACGTTGCCGGGGAATTCGTGAGACCAAAGAACATAACTAAGGGCTCGTACAGCCCTCAGTTTGTGCGGAATGCAGCCTTCCACTCGTCGCCCTCTTTGATCCGTACATTGTTATATCCCCACCGGATGTCGAGCTTGGTGAAGAACTTTGCGCCGCATAGATTATGGACCAGTTCGGAGATCAGCGGCAGCGGTTATCGATTCCGGATTGTCATCTCATTCAGCTTTCGATAATCTTGGATGGGGCGTAGAGAGCCATCCTTCTTCTTGACAAAGAAGAATGCGGATGCCATGGGTGATTTTGATGGCCTGATCCGTCCACTGGCCAGGTTCTCTTGTAAGAATTTGTCGAGTTTGACTTGTTCATTGCGTGATAACGGGTACACCTTGCAGTCCACTGCTTTGGAACCAGGTTTGAGTTCAATTGCATGATCCCATGCCCGTTGGTCCGGTAGCGAGTCAAACAATTCCTTGGCGAATACCTTGACAAATTCCCGATATTGATCCGGAATCTTTCCCTTGGTCATTCTCTCCTTCTCCTTTTCTGCTTCTTCTGCGAATTTCTGCGCCGGCGTTTCCTTCAGCCGCAGGTCCACTTCCTTCCCAAAATCGACCAACAGGATCGATTCTCCCTCTTCCAGATCCGGTGTGCCCGTGTCCAGGTCGATTGCATCCATGTCAATCATTGCTTGATGTTCCTCGTGACCCCTCATGTGACACCGCTCTGGGCATCGGCTGAATCTCATGGTCTGCTCCTGCCAATCCACCTCGGGGTTGTGTTCCGTCAGCCAATCAAGACCAATGAAGATCCGAGCTTTCCCTAAGCACGTCAGGAGGAACGTGCGTGTCTCCACATGAGGACCAATTCTCATCCTCAGATCGACGTAGTGCGTGATCCAACCGCTGATGTTCTCGGTGTTGTTGGCATTACGAGCCACAATGGGTTGCGGAAGCTCTTGGATATCCAACTTCTCCGCCCGCGCGTAGTCGGTATCGATGCAGCAGGTACTGCAGCTGCTGTCAAGCAGCGCCTTGACTCCGCGCATTTTCCCTGAGTCCAGACCTGTGATCTGGACATATACGTCCATCGAATGCCTCTTCCTTTCGGCCTGGTAACTGCGCAATTCCTGCGCCAACCTGCTGGGCTGGGGGCCCTTCTGTCTCTCGGCCGCCAATTTCCTCTGGATGGCATCTGGCACCCTGGTGCGTTTGGGTGCTTCTGGAACCTTGATTTCGGCAGATTCCTTAGGCGCTTCCTCCTTTTCCAAGGATTGAGCCTTCGGAGCGATGCTCCCCTTTTTGGTCTTTGTTGACGTGGTTCCTTCTCCACGAGCCATAAATACGTATGAATCCAAAATTAATTTATCTGTAGCTTTCTGATCCTTCTTACTTTGTAAGTACTCTCTATTTAAAACTATTTTTCTTTGGTGTTCCTTTTCCATATCAGCAATGAGAAAATTGTGAATATTGGTATGTAATGAGTCCAAGATTGTATATGTATGTGCAGAATCGTTCATGTCTTTAATCGAAACAAGTACAGAAAATCGTCCATAGTCCGGACGCTCCACCTCCTTGGCTAGAGGAGTGGAGCGCTTCAAAAACCCTTCTCGCGCAGCTTCTCGGCAATCTCCTTGAGGAACTCGTTGTCCTTGTCCCCGTTCTCGATTTCTTCAAGCATCGTGGCCCGATTGAAGAATGTGCGCTTCTTTCTTGGTTCCGGACAGTTCCGCGCAATGTGTCCAGGCTGCTGACAGTTGTAGCAGATGATATTGCGGCCGCGGGCGTGGGTACGATCAATTTCCATTGGAACCGGTTCGTTGGCAGCAGGTCGGGCCAGGGCGGGTGCAGGCGTTGTTGGGGCTGCCTGCGGGCGGAATTGGGGGGTTGGTCGTGGCGTAGAGTGCCCATGCGATGCTTTGCGCAGCTGATCGCGTAGAGCGTTTGCCTCGATGTTGACACACCAGTCCTTGAAGGCACCATACGCCTTGGGCAGAGGGACACCAGTGTTGTAAAGGCGACTTGCAATCTCGCTGCTCAACCCGCGCTCGAGGAACTCGATGAGGATGTTGTCCTGATCCCCCTTCTTGTACTTGCCCTTGTCATCGGTCGAGGTGACCACATTGTATCCCGCGTCCGCAGCCAACATCTCGAAGTCAGAGATATAATCCGCAAAGGATCGTCTATTCTGGCGTAGAGCCATAAGTCAAGCGGCGGCAACTTGCTCCGCGTTGGAATCCCCAAAGGCCCTCTGAAGCTCCTCCAAGAAGGTCGCCGAGGTGACCCCAGCTTTCAGTCCATTGAGACTTTCGAAGTTGCGCTGTTTCCAGTTCATTGCCCATCTTGAGGCGGCACAGCTTGTGCCAGCCTCGTTGCGGAGGTACGAGAGGATGAAGAGGATTTTTGTCTCGTCCTGCGAGAATTCCGACCGATAGGCACCAATGTAGGTGGTGCATGAGTCCACAAAGCCCATATATCTGGACTTGTCCCCATCGAAGTAGGGGGGTTGGCGGCGAGAGTGATGCGGTGATGTCCTGACATGGTACGAGCAGGTGTGGTAGGTGGGGGTGAAGGTGGTTGTTCGGAGGGCAATTCGTCGAGGTCGGGGATCTCGTCTTCAGGCGGCGGGAGGGCAAGGTAGGGGTTGGAGGGCCCGGGTTCGTTTTGATGCGCCAGATTGGGCGATAATGGTACGATGGGAGGAGGGGATGGACTCCCAGACGATGATGGGAATTGTCAGGGGAACCCCTGCTTTCGTCCGATCATCATGGGATCTCGCATGTGACCGCGCACATGCTATCTGTCAAGCGTCACATGCTTTGGTCCGGACTCCCCTGCCAAGCGCGTCCACATGACACTCCAGCCCGGACCCCCATTGTTCCGACGGTCCGGCTCCCATTGTTCCCCCCGATCCGGCCCCTCATTGTTCCCTGGCCCCATTGTCTGGCGCTTCCATTGTGCTTGGTCATCCATTGTTCTGTAGGCTATATATAGTGGGCCCTGACAAGGAGAGTCCCCAACTCGGTTTCTCTTTGGACTCTCCCTTGTCAGGTTTGCCAGTCTCCTGTACTAGTCGATCCCCTTATCTGACGCTTTGGACTCTGAGATCGGGCCTCGAGGTTGCCCTTACAGCAGAAACCGAGTTCCTAGGGATAACTGGACAAGCTTGTGAAGACCACCGACAACGCCATCCGCTTCTCACTTCCAACCTTGTCCCCTCCTCCCCCTCCACGATTGTCATGTCCCAAATGGAAGAGGAGGACGACCCCTCCCACCCCCAACAGAGGCTTGCGAATCTAGAGGAAGCCATGCAACGGATGGAAGGCCTCCTCCACAATCTCATAATTACACAGCAACAGCCTGTCCCTGCCCCTGCCCCTGCTCCGTCTCCGGCAGTGGGTCCAGGTGTATCTATTGGCCAACAGGCCAGCACGAGACCCCTCATCCGCCCCAACCCCCCATTCGCGTTCGACGGGGATCGCACCCAGGGCAAGACGTTTCTCCATTCCGTCAAGCAATACTGGCGCCTCCTCCCTGAGGCCTTCCATGTGAACGGGGTAGTATCAGAAGAGCGGGTGGTACGTTTCGCCCTCTCCTACATGTCCAAGGACTCGGCGGCCTCCTGGTCAGAACGCATGTCAGAGCGCCTCGTCTTCCCATTCCCGACCTGGTCCTCCTTCGTGGCCGAGTTCAAGCTCCGGTTTGTCGAGGAGAACGAGCAAGACCACGCCCTGGCACGACTGGAGACCCACGCTTACTACATGGGATCCCGCGACGTGTTCAAATACACGGACGAGTTCGACGACCTCCTCGATTTGGCGGGGTACTCCGACAACTTGGTCAAGGTCACCAAGTACCGGGCGGGTCTGGATCCCAGAATCAATCAGGCGATCACGACCTCCGGTAACCCGCCTAGCCTCACCAACTACTCGGAGTGGCGTACCCGCGCATTCCGCCAGTACAACGCCGAGGTGGCTGCCCGAGCCGCACGAGGACAGGTGTTCTCTCCACCCCGCGCTCCACCCCCTGCGGCTCCCCGCCCTCGCCCCATGGCTCCTCCGGTGGTCGCCCCACCCCCTGCTCCCCGACCAGCCCCGGTAGTCCTCCCACCGGGCATTCCCATGGAGATCGACCGAACCCGAGCCCGCAGCAGTGTCCGTCGCACATGCTTCCGATGCGGCAGCCCAGGACATCTGGCCCGAGATTGCCCGACCCCCGCTGATGTCCGGCACACTGACGTCCTGGACGAAGTGATCAATCAACTGGGAAGCGACCTGTTGGCAGAATTAGTAGCCCGGGTAGCAACTACGACGGCCGTAGAAGAGCATGAAGCGGAGATTGCCGACGAGTTGGAGCAGGGTTTTCTCCCCCGCGACAAGTGAATAGTACGCCCTCGATCGCCTCACGTAATCGTTTTGAATGTCTGTATGATGAATGCGACCTCATTTCCCCCACAAACGAAACGATAGACGTACCTCCTGCCCCCCGCTTAGTCCCGCTGGTCCGCAAGGAAAAGTGGGAACGGAAACTCCCTCAGCGCTATGTGGTTGCAGCCTCCCCTGGCGCCAACTCCCTGCACGTCCCCCTGGAGATCCAGTCCACCGACAATGCAGTCCAGCTCTCTCTCAACGGACTGGTCGACTGCGGCGCCACATCGGACTTCGTTGACTCCACCTACGCCTCCGAAAACCGACTTCCAGTCCGGCAGCTCTCCCAGCCTATCCCAGTCTACAATGTGGACGGCACGCCAAACGAAGCTGGCTCCATTCAACAAGTTGCCGACGTGGTCCTGCGTTACCAAGGACACAGTGAGCGGGTCCAGCTTGCTGTCACTCGGCTTGGCAAGCAGAAGCTGATCCTCGGCTACTCTTGGCTTCGGAAGCACAACCCGGAAATTAACTGGGACACGCAAGAAGTAAAGATGAGCCGCTGCCCGTCCGGCTGCTCCACCTGCACCGAGGAGTCTCGCCAAGAGAGACGGATAGCCCGAATTTCGGCCCGAGCACTCCGGTCAGCCCGACAAGGTCCCGCCCCCTCCATCTGCGTCGTCGACATGGAAGACCGCGAAGACGAGGCTATGCCGCTACTCCAGGAAGACGACGGAGAGGATTCCGATGAAGAAGAAGACTGTCTGGAAGCCGGTGACCGTATCTTTTACACCCGTTTCAACCCTTCTGAAGACATCCGAGCCACTAGCACCGTCTCCCAGCGCCTCGCAGAGGCGTTTGCCAAGAACTCCGCCCCCTCTCGAGATTCCATACCCGAGTGGGCGCGCGAGTTCGAGGATGTTTTCAGCAAGGAATCCTTCAACAATCTTCCGGAACGTCGCCCTTGGGACCACGCCATCGAACTGGTACCCGATGCAAAGCCAACAAACTGCAAGGTCTACCCTATCTCCCCCTTGGAGCAGAAGCAGCTCGACGCTTTCATCGAAGAAGGCATGGCCACCGGCCGAATCCGACCCTCGAAGTCCCCCATGGCCTCCCCCGTCTTCTTTGTCAAGAAGAAGGATGGCAGCCTACGGTTTGTCCAGGATTACCGGGCACTGAACGCAATGACAGTGAAGAATCGGTACCCCCTTCCCTTGATCAACGACCTGATCAACAAGCTCAAGGGAGCCCGCTTCTTCACCAAACTCGATGTTCGATGGGGCTTCAACAACGTACGGATACGAGAAGGAGACGAGTGGAAGGCTGCATTTCGGACCAACCGCGGGCTCTTTGAGCCACTGGTGATGTATTTCGGCCTTACCAACTCCCCTGCGACGTTCCAGACCATGATGAATGACATCCTCCAGGACCTCATCCTCTTGGGCGACGTCATGGTGTACCTGGACGACATCCTCATTGCGCACTCCGACCCTCACCTCCATCGTCGTATTGTGAACGAAGTCCTCCGGCGCCTCCGCGAAAACAAGCTGTATCTCCGAGCCGAGAAGTGCGAATTCGAGATGGAATCTATCGAATACCTTGGCGTGATCATCTCCCACAACCACGTTGAGATGGACCCCGTCAAAGTGGCAGGCGTAGCTGAATGGCCGGCCCCCTCTAACAAGAAGGAAGTGCAGCAGTTCCTTGGGTTCACTAACTTCTATCGGAGGTTTATCCGGGACTTCTCGCACATTGCACGCCCGCTCTTCGACCTCACCAAGAAGGACGCACCGTGGTCTTGGGGCGACAATGAGTCCACTTCGTTCCAGGCCTTGAAGGATGCAGTTACCTCTACGCCGGTTCTTCTCCTCCCAGACTCCTTGCGCCCTTACCGCCTAGAAGCTGACAGCTCCGATTTTGCCACAGGAGCCGTCATCTCGCAGCAGTCCCCCTCGGACGACAAGTGGCACCCAGTCGCCTTCTTCTCCAAGAGCCTCAACGACGTCCAGCGCAACTACGAGATCCACGACAAAGAGATGCTTGCAATTGTGCGAGCGCTGGAGGAGTGGCGGCACTTCTTGGAGGGCGCCGAACACCCCGTGGAGATCTGGACCGATCACAAGAACCTGGAGTACTTCCGCAAGGCCCAGAACCTCAATCGCCGGCAAGCCCGATGGTCGCTCTACCTATCCCGGTTCGACTTCACGCTCCACCACCAGCCCGGCCGGCTCATGGGACGACCAGACGCACTCTCCCGACGCCCGGACCACGGAGCCCCTTCGGACAACACGGACATCACCCTGTTGAAACCGGAACTGTTCCATGTGCGAGCACTCGAAGGACTGTCCGTCTCTGGCCCGGAAGCCCCCCTTGTCCGTGACATTCGGGAATCGCTCTCCGGTGACCCTGACCTTGAGGAAGAACTTGCGCTTATAGCGCGACGGCTTCTGAAGGGGATGAAGGGGGCCCGCTCCGCTGTAGCAGCGGAATGGCGCATCCAGGACGGCCTCCTCTACTTCCGTGGGAAGCTAGTGGTTCCGCGTGACAGAGACCTTCGGCGACGCATCCTTGAGCAACACCACGACACCCGTGTTGCAGGGCATGCTGGCCGCTTCAAGACGCTGGAACTGGTCTCCTGGAACTACTGGTGGCCCCAGCTCTCACGACACGTTGGCCGGTACGTAGCCACCTGCGACCTGTGCTGTCGGACCAAGGCCCTCCGACGACTCCCCACCGGAGAGCTTCACCCCATGGAGATCCCCTTGGAACGTTGGGAATCGGTGTCGGTGGACTTTATCGTGGAGCTGCCTGAGGCGCACGGTTACGACACCATCATGGTGGTCGTTGATATGCTAGGGAAGCGTGCTCACTTCATCGAGTGCCACACTCGCCTCTCGGCCGAAGGGATGGCTCGGTTGTTCTACAAGCATGTCTGGCAACACCACGGATTACCCATCAAATATGTCTCGGACCGGGGCCCTCAGTTTGTGGCAGACTTCACCCAAGAGCTATGGAAGCTGGTTGGCGTCTCCCCTGCCACGTCCACCGCTTACCACCCGCAGACTGATGGCCAGACCGAACGGGTCAACCAGGAGTTGGAGCAGTACCTCCGGATCTTCACCAGCTACAAGCAGGACGACTGGGATGAGCTCTTGCCCGCAGCTGAGTTTGCTTACAACAACCACGTCCACTCCTCGACCCAGCAGGTTCCCTTCATGACGGACACAGGACGTTTACCACGCATGGGATTCGAGCCAACAGAGCAGCGCTCCACCCGAGCGGAGTCTGCCAACGAGTTTCTTGACCGAGTCGCATCGGGTGTAACGGAGGCTAAATCAGCACTGGTCAAAGCAAAGGACGAGTACAAGAGGTACTATGACCGACGAAGGACTACCGCTCCCGACATCAAGGTTGGCAGCCGAGTCTGGCTCGACGCCTCGGACATCACGACAACGCGACCCTCTCGCGGCCTCTCCCACCGACGCCTGGGCCCCTTCAAAGTCACCCAAGTCGTGGGCCGGGGCGCATACAAACTCGCCCTCCCCACCAGCCTCTCTCGCCTCCACCCAGTCTTCCCTGTGGTCAAGCTCCAGTTGGCCGAAGACGACCCGTTCCCCACTCGCCCGCGTCACGAGGAACCACCCCCTGTCCTGGGACAAGGCGAAGGGGAGGAGTGGGAAGTGGAGGAGATCCTAGACGCAAAGATGCGCTACCGGAGTGTCTGGTTCCGAGTACGATGGAAGGGCTATGACCCGTCTCACGACCAGTGGGTCAAGCACTCAGATGTTTTTGCTGACGATGCAGTAGCAGCGTTCTACCGCAGATACCCGGGGAAGCCACGCATTATTGCAGCGGCCGTATTCGACTCGCTACCCTTCAGGAACTCATTGACCCCTAACCGTACCTTGCGTCGAGGCGCCGCAATCAAGAGGGGGGGTGATGTCAGGGGAACCCCTGCTTTCGTCCGATCATCATGGGATCTCGCATGTGACCGCGCACATGCTATCTGTCAAGCGTCACATGCTTTGGTCCGGACTCCCCTGCCAAGCGCGTCCACATGACACTCCAGCCCGGACCCCCATTGTTCCGACGGTCCGGCTCCCATTGTTCCCCCCGATCCGGCCCCTCATTGTTCCCTGGCCCCATTGTCTGGCGCTTCCATTGTGCTTGGTCATCCATTGTTCTGTAGGCTATATATAGTGGGCCCTGACAAGGAGAGTCCCCAACTCGGTTTCTCTTTGGACTCTCCCTTGTCAGGTTTGCCAGTCTCCTGTACTAGTCGATCCCCTTATCTGACGCTTTGGACTCTGAGATCGGGCCTCGAGGTTGCCCTTACAGGAATCAGTACAAAATGGTGGATTCGTGTGCTGTACAAGCACTCGAGGAAAGGTTCTTTTGCTAGCAAAAAGATCCCGGGCCTAGCTCTTCACGTGCCCGATGATCCCGAGGTGCGTTTTCCCGAAGGTCTCCGCAGCACTCCTTGTAGCTACCGTAAGGCTTGGGTCGGGCTCAACGTTACCCGTGGCCTGGTGCTGTTTGCTCGAGATGAACCCTTCACTGCGATTGCAGAGAATGACTAGATGATTCGGTAAAAGGGTGAAGAGGATGTAGCGGGCGTAGCGGTGAGAGGTGCAGGGTAGGAGGTAAGAGGTACGAGGGTATGAGGGGAGTCTTGGAATTATGTGACAATCAACCCAAAAACAAAGTCGAAAAGAGAAGTGAATTCCAAGACTGGAGAATACAACCAAGTAGCTATAGTATTTATACCCAAGTCCAGTCTGAGTCATATCTACAACTAATGAGTCATAAGGCTATGTACCGCATGGAGCACTGGTCATGGGTTGTAGTAGAACCTTCCAGAGCATATGTCGCACAGCTGTAAGGGCAACTCCTGCCAGCCCGAAGGAAGAGAGCACACAGCACACAACAACCTCACATGAGTCTGAGCACAGAGGGGGATCCTTAGAGACTATCAAATACAAGGGAGGTATACTACTCACCTGAGCACAGAGGGGGATCCTTAGAGAACGGTTCAAGGATCCATGTGCCCAGGTGTCACACTATATAGTCAGCTGTGACAAGTGACCGATGATGATGGGATATCACTGCCATGGAACAATGGCAGATGACAAGTAGATAATGACAAACCCAGATAAGATAGTGAGTGGCTCAGAGGGGCCAGTGATGGCCAGCTCCTGAGACACCAACAGTGGAAGGCCACACTGGAGGAGCCCAGTGGCCAGGCCAGTGCCGGGCCGGCCAGTGGAGACATCGGAGGCGAGGACCAATGCCCGACTGGGAAGAGGGGTGGTGCGGATGAGCGCAAGGGCATCTGGTACGAGCCTGTACGGCAGTAGACCACATCCGCGGGGAGAAGGCCGAAGTGAAGGGGGAGGAGTGCGTACGGCAGTAGCACTCCCTGGTGCAAGGAATCGGGCTTGGCTAGACCGCTTGCGGGGATTCGAGGGAGATGGCCGGGAGAAGGAGGGAGAGGGCGGATGTCGGCATGGATGGAGATGAGGATCGGAGGAGGAGGAGGAGGCTGGGTGATCGACAGGTGAGCAGGCACGGGTCGGCAGAGAGGGCGCAGTGGGTCACGTGCATGGTCACGTGCCCAAGGAGCGCGGCGTCCCCTGACAACAGCCTTGAATCGATAAGGATAACCCCTGGAACCCCTAGCCCGGACCATCTGATGCTGTGATCCGTGATAAGATAATCCGTGGCGAGATAAGATGAGATCGTTGAGGATAAGATGAAAAAGAGTCGAATTATGATACAAGCGCATCACCTCTAGTTGATTGAGGCTGTAGATCTTGGAGGCAGTGATGTTCTGGTTGTGTCAATCCAAGGCTTGCTGCATGAAAAAGTGTCGGTAATGAGCTTTGAAACACCGGATGATTCCTGCATCCATTGGTTGAACATGTGCTGTCAGATTTGGAGCAAAGTTCTCAACATGGATGTTCTGAATATTGTCTGGCGGCACGTGTGCACTGAAGTTATCTTGCAAGAAAAGGATCTGATGGTTCTCATGCTGCATCCAACGGTCTAGGTTGCAAATCCACTTGTGAAAGATCAGAGTCATAATCCAAGCCTTCGTGTTATTGCAATGATAAAACCCGAGCTGGGCACCTGTCTTGCACTTGAAGGCATGAGGTTGCTTTGGCTTCCTAATAACAAGAGGTGGGAGTTTGTTGGATCCATCAGCGTTTGTAGTTAGAGCATATGTGATTCACTTCTTGATGCCTTTGACTCCCGACATGGCGCAATCCATCAAGCCACGATCCAGAACCATCCTGTATAAAAAATGAGTTCTTGAAGACCAGAAGAGATTGATTTTGTACACCCAGAACAAGCCTGTCTCATCCATATTGTAGACATCACACAGATCATATCCTTCATTCAGGATGATGTCCTGGATGCAACAACGCTCCGAGTCAATGCTGGCGGGATCAGCAGAATCTGCCTCCCCATGCCATTTGAGATCCCTGAGCCTGCAATACTGCTTCAACAATGCAAGCCACCCATCACTCGGTTTCAGATGCTCATCTTCAGGGACCTTGAGAAGATCTGCAAACCGAGTCCACTTCTGGCAAATCAGTTCACCTGTGAGATGAATGCACTCCTGCATCATCTGTGCAATCCAGACCTCTATCATAGAGTCAATGAGAGGGTGCTCAACCTGCTTTGCACGCTTTGTCTGCCTGGCTGCGCCTTTGCTCTGTTCCTCCTTCCAATGCTCACACCGTTTTGCCTCATCTTTTAGCCATGCCAAGATTAAGGGCTGCTTCAATACCAAGTTCGGGTACAAGGCATTGAAATGTGCGGTGGTTGCCTTCTGGCTCTTCTTTGACTGAGAGTGATGCCAGTCAAGAATCTGAATGTGTTGCGCCAGCATTGCATTCTCCTTCTTCTTGAACTTGGGTGGGGCCTCGATCTTCTTCCCACTCTGGCCACTGTTCTCAGAAGCCTTTCTCTCCGCTGGGCCTGCCATCAACCATGTTAGCCGGCAATCTCGTGTTCTCATGATGGTGATAGATGGTGATTGTCTCACATTTTTGCTTAGCCGATACATCAGGCTTTTTCTTCACATCAATCACAGCAAGGATCCTAGCAACAACAGCCTGTGCAGTGGAGTCCAAGCGAGACAGTCCACGCTTGTAATCAGAGGCGGCCTCAAGCTTGTCGAGTACAACCTGTTCTTCCACCATATTCCCGTCTCTATCAAGCCAAGCTTTGTCTTCAGAGGAGATCTCCTCTTTTTTTGGCCAAACAAGCTGTGAGATTCTTTCTGTCAGGGGACGCCGCGCTCCTTGGGCACGTGACCATGCACGTGACCCACTGCGCCCTCTCTGCCGACCCGTGCCTGCTCACCTGTCGATCACCCAGCCTCCTCCTCCTCCGATCCTCATCTCCATCCATGCCGACATCCGCCCTCTCCCTCCTTCTCCCGGCCATCTCCCTCAAATCCCCGCAAGCGGTCTAGCCAAGCCCGATTCCTTGCACCAGGGAGTGCTACTGCCGTACGCACTCCTCCCCCTTCACTTCGGCCTTCTCCCCGCGGATGTGGTCTACTGCCGTACAGGCTCGTACCAGATGCCCTTGCGCTCATCCGCACCACCCCTCTTCCCAGTCGGGCATTGGTCCTCGCCTCCGATGTCTCCACTGGCCGGCCCGGCACTGGCCTGGCCACTGGGCTCCTCCAGTGTGGCCTTCCACTGTTGGTGTCTCAGGAGCTGGCCATCACTGGCCCCTCTGAGCCACTCACTATCTTATCTGGGTTTGTCATTATCTACTTGTCATCTGCCATTGTTCCATGGCAGTGATATCCCATCATCATCGGTCACTTGTCACAGCTGACTATATAGTGTGACACCTGGGCACATGGATCCTTGAACCGTTCTCTAAGGATCCCCCTCTGTGCTCAGGTGAGTAGTATACCTCCCTTGTATTTGATAGTCTCTAAGGATCCCCCTCTGTGCTCAGACTCATGTGAGGTTGTTGTGTGCTGTGTGCTCTCTTCCTTCGGGCTGGCAGGAGTTGCCCTTACAGCAGAACGGTTCCACCCCATTGGACTCCACCCAGCTGAGCGTCAGGACAGTGGCAGTCTATGGCGCCCTGTTGCTGCGCACTGGTGTGGCCTCCAAGCCGGCTGGCGGCTAGTGGTTGTGTAATTGGTGTGTCCCTGTCGAGTCCCTGGTAGTGTTAACTGGTCCACTCCATACGTCGCATACGCATCACCCACGAACCCCCGGTCATCCCTCCCCCTCCTCTTCCTCCCCCCTCATCTCCCTGGCCTACTGCCGTCGAGGCTCGTGCCATCCGACTCCAACCTCCTCCCCCCTCGTTCCCCTCCTGGATTTGGGACTTGGCCTCCCTCTCTCTCCCCCCTCCTGGCTGGATGTTGGTTCTGTGGATTGGTGGATTTGGATGGCTGAGCTGGGTTGGATGAGTTGGTGGTGGGATGACTGTCATATGTGCCCTGGTCTCTGGTTGGGTTCTTGTGCCCTAGATATGTGATTCTGCTCCCCTCCTATGCTGCTGAACACATTCTACCCAACCTGCTCTACTCCCCCTCCCCCATGGGCACCTCTGTGAAGCTGGACCCCCTGGTCTTGTGTTCCCTGCCTTCCCACCTGCCTCTACCCCTCTCCACCTCCTAGCTGGCTGCAGCCCTGCTCTGCCTGGGTGCCCTCTGTGTGCCCTCTCTCCATCCCTCCCATGGACTCCCCTCCCCCTGCCCCCTGCCAGCCCCACTCCCCCAGAGCATTTTCGAGTTTTTGGGGCAGTGGCAGTGCTCGAGCTTCCCACGCTGTCAAAAACCCGGCCATCCTCGGGCTTGCTGGCAGTGGCAGTGTCTAGTCACCTGGCTGCTCTCTCAGGTGACCCCCATCACCCCCGCCCTCAGTGGCAGTGCCCCGCTCCTTGCGCAGCCACCGCGCTCCGCCCCCTGCGCAGCCACCCCGCTCCCCGCCCTCTGCACAGCCACCTGCCTCTCCCCTTTGGCAGAGTTTGGTCCGCCCTCTGCTCATGTGACCTCATGGCTGTGCTCTAGATCCCCACACTGCCACCTGTCCCCAGTGGCAGTGCACTGGCATAGCCACAGTGACAGCCCATTGCCTTTGAGGCAGTCTGCTGTCTTGTGTAGCCACACTGTTGGTGCTCTGCCCCTAGGGCAGTCTGCCACTCTGTGAGCTGCTGCTGTGTGCTGTGTCATGTGCAGGGAGTCATGTGATGTGTGGCTGCGCTATGTCACATGCATATCACGTGACCGTCCTTTCAGTCATGTGACCGACGTATCACGTGATCCGTGGCTGCGTCCCAGGCACCATTTCTGCTGCGCTTTTTCGTGGCTGTGATGGGACCCTAGGCTTGGGTTCCTCTGTGATGTGACGGATCTGGCATTGCTTGCCCAGGGCTGCCGCTCTCTGCTGAGTCTGGGTCTTTCCTCATCGTGCGCTGGGCCGTCTGGCCTCCTCTCTTCTGCTGCTTCCTCGTGTCCTTGGGTCCGCGCTCCTATGCCGCCAGGCTCTCCCTGCGCATCCAGGCCTACTTCTTGGTTGCTGCCCACGCTCGTCGTGCATTATTGCAGGTGGGCTGCAACCTTGAAGGGGGGATTGTCTATTGTCCCCCGTGACCATCTATTGGTCACTTGGCACCTGCTTCCCTGCAGGATTGGTTTGGATGGAGCATCTCTTGCTCTATCCCCAGCTGATTGTGATGTTGCACCTGGTGCAGCAGACCCTCTCCCTCCGTCCCATCTCCTCTGCACTCCTCCCTCTGTTCCCATCGTCTCCGCCTTGGTCCATGACCTCTCCCCCCACTGTCTCGCCTCTACGCACGTCTCCACGGGCATATACCCCTGGCTTCGGCCAGCGGAACATCCGCTACGTGCCTCCGCTGTTGTGCGAGGCCTTGCGCTAACCGTGTGATGGCTGGCCCCCTTGGCCGGCTTGTTACGTCTTGAGCATCAGAGCAGTCGGTCCTTCTGTTGGCTCTGTCCCCCCTACGTGTGTCTCCATGGGCGTATACCCCCGGCTTCGGCCGGCGGAACATCTGCTACGTGCCTCCGCTGTTGTGCGAGGCCTTGCACTAACCATGTGATGGCTGGCTTGCTGTTGTGGCCGGCCTGTTACACCTTGGCTCCGGACATCCACGGCAGGTGGTAGACCTGTGCATCACCCGCCGACCCCATCTATTAGGTGGCTGGTGCACGCAACATCCCTCCCTTCTGCATCCGACACGTGCCTTTTTTTTCGGTTGCCTCTATTGCTGCTGTGCAGCTAGGACAACCGATTGGTGCGTCGAGGGCGCCGCACCTTGAAGGGGGGATGAAGGGGCAGTGGAGGGAAGCGACCGCAAGGGAGCTTCTCTCTACAAGTGGGACGACTTCAGGAGTCCTGGTTGCCCTTACAGGCACCTGAGCTTCTGGGAGGAGCAGAGCGACGACCACCCTGACCATAGGGAAGGTCGTGGTACAGCCACACATGCATAGCTGTGGGGCTGGACCTTAGAGCGGGACAGCGACCGACCACTAGGTCATAGGGAGCTGACACGCAGCTCAGTGACGACGCACCGGACGACAGAGTGGGACGCGCAGCATACCACTGGAGTAGTGCGTCCTTCTTTTTCCCCCACCCACCCTCCCTTTTCTTCCATCTGCTTTGCGCTGCCTACGTCGGGACGCCGTAGCTTGAAGGGGGGATGATGTCAGGGGACGCCGCGCTCCTTGGGCACGTGACCATGCACGTGACCCACTGCGCCCTCTCTGCCGACCCGTGCCTGCTCACCTGTCGATCACCCAGCCTCCTCCTCCTCCTCCGATCCTCATCTCCATCCATGCCGACATCCGCCCTCTCCCTCCTTCTCCCGGCCATCTCCCTCGAATCCCCGCAAGCGGTCTAGCCAAGCCCGATTCCTTGCACCAGGGAGTGCTACTGCCGTACGCACTCCTCCCCCTTCACTTCGGCCTTCTCCCCGCGGATGTGGTCTACTGCCGTACAGGCTCGTACCAGATGCCCTTGCGCTCATCCGCACCACCCCTCTTCCCAGTCGGGCATTGGTCCTCGCCTCCGATGTCTCCACTGGCCGGCCCGGCACTGGCCTGGCCACTGGGCTCCTCCAGTGTGGCCTTCCACTGTTGGTGTCTCAGGAGCTGGCCATCACTGGCCCCTCTGAGCCACTCACTATCTTATCTGGGTTTGTCATTATCTACTTGTCATCTGCCATTGTTCCATGGCAGTGATATCCCATCATCATCGGTCACTTGTCACAGCTGACTATATAGTGTGACACCTGGGCACATGGATCCTTGAACCGTTCTCTAAGGATCCCCCTCTGTGCTCAGGTGAGTAGTATACCTCCCTTGTATTTGATAGTCTCTAAGGATCCCCCTCTGTGCTCAGACTCATGTGAGGTTGTTGTGTGCTGTGTGCTCTCTTCCTTCGGGCTGGCAGGAGTTGCCCTTACACTTTCTTTTGAGTGCTGAGCTACGCCAGAGCTCCTCAAAGGCGGTTTTGAGCACTGAGGAAGAGATAACTGCGGCAGAAATTTTCTGGCAGCCCTTGATCAATGTCAAGTCCTGTCAGATTCTGTCAGTGATCCCATCAAAGTATGGGTTCTCAGCTCGTCTCAAGTTCAATTCTTGCCCAAAACTGTATGGATTATGAGGTATCACAATGTTATGGGTTTTAATTGAGGGAAATAGTAGGTGGGGGCCGAAAAGTATGGATTTTAACAGATTATGGGTTATGTTGGCTATGGCTTATGACAGCTTCGACTGTACTTAGAACTGAATAAATATGGATTGGGATAGTTAGAACTACGAAACAAACCTGCAATACGAACACATATTGTATTAGGAGTCTGGGAGCCGTGTTTTTGGGGAGAAGCTCAGTGTAAGGGCAACTCCTGCCAGCCCGAAGGAAGAGAGCACACAGCACACAACAACCTTACATGAGTCTGAGCACAGAGGGGGATCCTTAGAGAACGGTTCAAGGATCCATGTGCCCAGGTGTCACACTATATAGTCAACTGTGACAAGTGACTGATGATGATGGGATATCACTGCCATGGAACAATGGCAGATGACAAGTAGATAATGACAAACCTAGATAAGATAGTGAGTGGCTCAGAGGGGCCAGTGATGGCCAGCTCCTGAGACACCAACAGTGGAAGGCCACACTGGAGGAGCCCAGTGGCCAGGCCAGTGCCGGGCCGGCCAGTGGAGACATTGGAGGCAAGGACCAATGCCCGACTGGGAAGAGTGGTGGTGCGGATGAGCGCAAGGGCATCTGGTAGGAGCCTGTACGGCAGTAGACCACATCTGCGGGGAGAAGGCCGTAGTGAAGGGGGAGGAGTGCGTACGGCAGTAGCACTCCCTGGTGCAAGGAATTGGGCTTGGCTAGACCGCTTGCGGGGATTCGAGGGAGATGGCCGGGGGAAGAAGGGAGAGGGCGGATGTCGGCATGGATGGAGATGAGGATCGGAGGAGGAGGAGGAGGCTGGGTGATCGACAGGTGAGCAGGCACGGGTCGGCAGAGAGGGCACAGTGGGTCACGTGCCCAAGGAGTGCGGTGTCCCCTGACACTCAGGTCCAAACTCGACCCTCTGGACCTGCCTGGGCCGTCCAGGAATTCAGTCCTAGCCTGGGGGCGATTTCTGTGGCGGTCCTGCGTCGTCGTGCCACGTTGGCGAGCCGTTCGAGACCGGCGTCATAGGTCATTGTGCGCGACCGAATCTTTAGCAGTGATGGGTGATGGGTGATGAGCGTACTGCCACCTGTTGTGTCAATCAGCGCCGGTCCGGTTTACGTGGTCAAAGCGACACCAAGCTCGTCAACATTGGAGTGTATATGGTGCGAAGGTCAGTCGTTGGGTATCTCTTTGGTCCATTGGAAATGCTGAATACACATGCAGTATGTATATGTGACTCTTTACATCTACATTGTCCGTTCGTGTCAATTCTCGTAATCGAATCCTCCATCACTGCCGACAGGTTTTATCCGGTGAAAACCTGCGCTGAAGACATGAAGAGAGAGAAACGCACCAAGAAATAGTCCGGGATCCGTTTCCTGACAAGTGGCTCGTCTTGCCTTGGCGCATGTTCATATTGGACACTGGAGTCCACATCAAGCTCCGAAGGCATGGCGAGATGGGGAAAGACGACTGACAACTTGTAGGAGAGTCGCTCATCCACCTCCATGATGGCTGCCTGATTTCCACTGCGATACACGTAGTTCGGCGCGCTGAACACAGTCACCACGTTTCTATCCTGGCCCCAAGAGTAACCTGATATAGAGCAGCGTAAGACGATGATTGAGATGGGTGACAGCGGACGTTCCCTCCATGACCAACTGATGGGCCCGTGCGACCAGCAGCAGCCCATTCGTGTGGTTGAACGCCTCGGTGATGTCTTGTCCGAAAGTGTATCCAGCACCGCGCGGTGATATGCCCCAGCCACATCGGTCGTCTGGGTCAGACCAGAGGAGATCACACATCGGTCCCTCATGCGGGACTTCTTGTACACGATCAAGCGAGCGGAGCGAGTCGAGGGAGTCAATGGAGGGGGAGAGGCCACCGTGTAGACAGAATATCTGCGTAAATGAGCACCACTTTGCGCTGCGCGTAACGCAGCACAACGCACCTGGTTTTCCACCAAAGCCGTCAACGGCAGGTAGTCGAACAGATCTGTGAACATCCTCCAGACATTTGGCCCGCCATACTTGCGCAGGCATTCGTCGTAGAACCCGTAGACCTGAGTGATCTGACGCGACTCGTGGTTTCCGCGGAGGAGCGTGATGCGGTCGCGGTGCCGCAGCTTGAGCGCTAGCAGAAGCGATACCGTTTCTATGGAATAGTACCCCCGGTCGACGTAATCACCCATGAACAGAAAGTTCGTGTCCGGAGATTGCCCACCCATCTGGAACAATTCGAGTAGGTCATGCTGTAGTTGGTGCAAGCGCGAGTGGGTCAGTCACACGACGAAGGACGATGCAGAAACCACGTACGAACTGACCGTGAACGTCGCCACATATGGTGACCGGGCACGGGACAGGCTGGACGTTTGACTCCTGCGCCAGGATCTCCCGGGTCTGTGCTGTCCTCGTCAGTCGCCATCCGTTGGCACCTGATCGATTGACGCGCCTTGTCGCAGAGCTTCTTGACCTGACTCTCTGACAGGGGCTCACATCTCCTCAGCTGCTCGATCCATCCGTCTACTTCGTGTTCCATGGGGTGGAGAGAAAGGGATGAAGGAGTTGACGGAAGATAATGATGGTAACGTCGGCCGCCAGATCAGTATCCGATCGAGACTCCATGGCTTTAAGCTTCAAACTCAAGATTTCAGCTTCAGTACTGCAGCCTCAGCGTGAGAGTCACTGCTTGACTGCTACGGACATGGAGGCGTGCTACTCAACAACTTGGACCATCATATGTACTACTAGGTACCAGGGTTGCCCGCCAGGACTCTCGACGGATCTTCTCTCTGCAACTGGTATCGCAGGGGAGAAATATTGTTCATCTTATATATGCATATAATCATAACCACGCAACTCGTTTCTTGATTGATTCGTTCTGGAGCACTTCGATCCAGTAACCGTCCGGGTCTGAGCAGACGTTGTGAGATACTGGGAGGCATATGAGAGAGCTATCACTATAACGCACCGAGAATGAAGGCAACATCTTTCATCCGACCATCCGTGAGTCTCTTCTTCCAAGTCACCCCCATTTCCTCAAACCTGGCACAAGCTGCATCGAGATCGTCTACGGTAATTGCAATGTGCCCGAATCCCTGTGGCTGATCGTTGCCGTTGTGATACTTGAAGTCCAGGTCGTTTTCGGTGCCGTAATTCCAAGTGAGCTCGAGCAAACCTTCGAGCTTGGCGGTGCTACCGCTCGCGTCCAGAGGCCTATTGTCGGCGCCAAGGGAGGTGTGGTCGTAACCGAGGAAGTAGAGGTTAAATTTCGCACCCGGATTCTCGTGTGAGCGCTTGAGATTCATGCCGAGGACGTCCTTGTAGAACGCGAGCGACTTTTCGGCGTCCTTGACGCGGAGCATCGTGTGATTCTGTATTGCCAGGTCAGCGCATGCACCGTGAGCTACCAACGCTACACACCATTCGGTAGCTTCCCAAGTCGGTTGTTTTTGCGTCCGTCGTGCTCTCCACATCGTTGAACGAGATCACCTCTACCCAATACCCATCGGGATCGAGAACGAACGCAATATGGCGCATCCGGCCGTCGGTAAGTTTCTTTTGGAACTTATAACCGGCATCCTCAAGCCGCTGGCACGCAGCCTGGATGTGATCCACGCTGATGCACACATGGCCGAAGCCCCGGAATGGCTCTGCGTTTCCGTTGACGATCTTGTATTCCGGGTCATTCTCGGTGCCGTAGTTATGGGTGAGCTCGATGATGCCTTCGCGGTCGGTCCATTCTTTCCCGCCGGAGAGTGCATCTGGGCCATCGTATGCGAGGAAGTACAAGTCGAATTTGGCATCGGGATTGGGTAGCTTGCTGATCAGCTTCATACCGAGGGATTCATAGAATTTGACGGAAGCTTTAGGATCCTTCACGCGTAACCTGAAGGAGTGGGCTGGGATTTTGACGGCAGGCCGTCAATGCGTACATGGAGTGGTTGAACTTGTACTTGGAAGGATCGGTCGCCATCGCTGCAAGAAATCGAGTCTGCAAGGCAAAGAAAGAGCGGCGGTAGTGGTGGGAGGTAGGAGTTGGGAAGATCCGTGAAGGAAAGAACATGCGCTGGAACCATCATCTTAGTAAGTGTGTAGGTCGTGAAATTATCCCAAACACGGCTCACCAACCAGCCCGAGTGGTGCTGACCTGGGGATGACGTATCGATGCAAGAAAGGGGCCAATCAAAAAACGCGGGTTTGAACCTGAGCTGATGATGTTCCTGATCCAGTTGGCCATGTGCTCGAACTCGCTTGTTTCCTGCCCTTTATCTACAGTATCTGCCCGCTTTTGAGAGCATGTGCATGTCAACTTGCGTGAAATTCGTCTAGTCCGTGACTCTAAATTACTTGCAGCCGATCAAACGTTCGTCCTGGCACGCTTCCTGTATAGGAAAGCACGGTGAAAACTCTTGACGCGTCTTGGCGTCCCGCTCCGCTCTCCTTACCCATCTATCTGCTTCACCTATCTATCTTATTCAATCGGATGGCTTGTAACGAGAGGACGAAGCTGATAGAGCATCGCGATGAAGAACGACACGTCGGGCAACATCCCCACTTGGATCAAGAAGTTGCAGTCGCACTGCAGAAGTCAGAAGATGGTAGACGGTTGTTGGAGTATGACGACCTTCCGCACTCTTGGAAGAACAACCCGTTTGTCGTGCACGGTTATCGGTGTGATGTTTCTCGATTTGTTTATGTTCACTGACCGGCGCGCATGGATACGTTCCGTTGTCCAGATTCCCAGTTCTCGTAGCTTCCGTATTTATGGCTCATAACGAGTTTCGTACGTTCATCCCCTCTTTGTGTATCATCTAGTCCTCGCGAGTGATCTGACCACCTTTAGTCAACATCCAAACCCACCTGTTGCCGCTCCTATTCTGGGTTCTTACAGTGCCAGAAACGATTGCCGAAACGATCTTCACCGTCTGCGTTCTGATCTGTTTGGCAAGCAGTGTGGTCTGGCATACGATGGCAGGATGTGCGCACTATGAGACTTTGGTATTCTGTGCGCGACTGGACTACATCGGCATCGGATGGTACCCATCCAAGTTCCTTGCTTGTTCCTCTTCTGCTCGATGACGTGTTTCTAAGGCTCATTTCCGCATGCACCGCCAACATCGTCCTTTACGCATTCGACGATCGAATCCTACTGCAATGGGCTTTTCTTGGTCTGTCGTTTGTCACTGCGGTTATGGGCAGCATCCTCCCGTTCATGGACTGGTTCGACCGCCATCACAACCGGGTGTGTGTTATTTTTACTGAGGACTCCTCCGCAATGTCGAATCTCGTTCCCAGCTCTGGCGATTGGCGTTTTTCATTTCGTTGGCGTGCGTGACCGCCATTCCATTGCTTACCTATTGGACTCTTGAGGGTTCGGCCAAGATGCTCCATTTCCTTTGTTCGTGTTGCTCTGCCATTACAGGAGCAAACTTGCTGATGCCGTGCCCCAGTGCCCGCCTTACCGACCGCCGGATGGATCATCTTCGGTGCATTGCTCTATGCCGCCCACGTCCCCGAAAGATTTATCGACCCATCCAAAGATCTGGCGCGTTTCATGTGTGCACTGGGTGCTAGTAAGCTATCTCTTCCGGGCTCGGCCTTTCTAGTTTACATATCTCTCAGCATCTCATGCTCTGTGGCATGTGTGTATAGTCGTTGGGTTGGCCCATTGGCAAGGCGCATTGCGTTTCTGGTCAATTGGCTGTCAATAGACATCGATTCGAAATCAGGATGCTCATACTGTATACATAGTCATACCCTCTGAGCTCTAATATCTATATAATGATGTATTGATTTATTATAGTCTAGTTTTTGGGCTTGTGCAGTACGATACATTCTGTGGCAATTCTTCCTGCCGACTGCCAGCAATCATTCGCAGGTTAGTGACAGCAGTAGAAGTGGTCTAAACGAGAACTTGCCGTGGGACATCGCGCAGCGGCGCAACAGCAGACTCCGAGTCACAAATTACAGCTCATGATTAATCATTAGCGACAAGGTTCCTTGAGCTCCGCGTCCGGGTACAGGTGTTCATCATGTTTCAGCCTGGGTATCCCCGCAGACATAGGAAAATTCACTAGCCTTGTTGCAACAGTAAATTTGGATTGCGAACAGAGAGCTTTTCCGCTTGCAGTCTGAAATGATTTTCAAACTGGCAGACAGCACTTGGAATTCAGTTAGCCGCCGGTGCTCGCACATTCACTGCACCCAAAACACGAGCCATCGTAACGTGGGGGCTGAGATCCAGACGCAGATCGCTAGAAAATCTGGAACAAATGGTGGCATAGGACAAGGATGCAATTGCAGAGCTCTGACGACTGTGTTATAAAGCTCTCCCTTCAAGCAGCTTAAGATGTCCTAAGCCACAAGCCCCTACACCCCATGCCTTGCCCACGACGCGATACCTCCTGTCCGCAACACAACCATCTACCGCACAGACCAACGAGTCCGTGTCCAATTTTGGTTTCTTCTCCTCATCATGCGAAGTCTTCAGGGGTAGGAATGTATCGGGCACCGAGAACATCAATGCAAGATGTGGTGAAGGGGACGGTTCAACATGGTCGCTGAGCGTTGCATCAGATAGTGAGCCAGAATGAGGCAAAGGTCGCGAAGTCGAGATCCAGCGAAACATTGTGGGCACGGTAGGCTCTTCGATCTGACTTCCGTTTGAAACGCCCTCACGCTCCTCATCTTCCATATCCACATCCTCCTCGGACTGTGGAGCGGTGGCCCTTTTGTTCCCGCGTGGTCGCGTTTGTTTCTTCAGCAGGCGATTGATCGTTTCGAGCTGGTGGTACAGAGATGAGATCAGAGAAAGTTTCTCATTCAGACGACGCAGTACACACCTTCTCATCCTCTAGCTTCTTTTCTATCATGTTCTTCCTCTTTCTGGCGTTCTCCTCCTTCCGGAGCGCGACTTCAGTGGCGCTGTACTGAGCCTTCTTGTTTGGATTGGAACGGGTCGAGTCTAGTGGACCAGTTTGTGTCGATCCCGGATGTAAGAACGCGATAACCTACCGAGAGTAACATGAGAGAGTTCGGTTTCTCCAGCCAGCGCTGCTTGACGCGCCGTTCGGTTTTTGGGGGTGGGTGCACCTAATTGCGAGTCATCCTCGTCCTCGTCTTCTCCAGATTCCGAATCTTCAGACTCGACATCCTCGTCTGTTGAACGGAGCATGAGAATCTCAGACGACGCTCAGAATTGGCGTCGTTACTGCGCGACTGCGCCCAACGCTTCGCAGGCTGTCTTGAAGATGATGCCTGAGGCTGGGCACCCAACTTCAGCTTGATTCGCAGCGGAGCCACTTCAGGCTGTAAGTCGCATAAGAGAGATGCCCATGAGGAAGCTATTGGGACGCACCACCGACTCTGTCTCCATCTCGTCGTCCGAATCACCAGCAAGCTCGTCCTGTCCCGCTTCTTCGTCCTCTCCTTCTACATCTTCGTCTTGATCAGCACCGTCGTCTTCATCCACTTCGCTGCTTTCCTGTACATCCGCAACTTGAATATCCACTTCGGATTCCGCATCGCTGTCGGCCACGACCATACGCATTGTGGGGACTGGCAGGCTAGCAGCACTAGCGTGATGACAGACAGGGTCGTGATGAAGTTCCCACGATGCCAGTTCGGCATCAGCGGTCATTTCTCCCCATTCCTTCCGTCTTCCACTGCGCACTTATCTCAGAGAGTTTTTTTTACTTCTCTGGCGCATCTTTGCACGCCGAATCCCTACTTTCCAATCACCCGCTTGTGTACGACGACGACAAGATCACGTCATCCATGAAACTCCTCTCCAGTCTTCTGTTGGTGGCGGCGCTCCCTCTCGCGTCAGCCATCTCCAAAATCACCCGGACTGGGCGGTACCTGTACTCTGCCGATGGCAGTCGTTTCTACATTAAAGGCGTTGCGTACCAGACCCAAGGTGTGCAGGCGATATACCACGAGGCTGTGCGGGGGGGATTGACCGGGCATATGCAGGCGTGTTTACGGTTAGCCCAAGTAACCCGCTCGGAGCACCAACGACCTGTACGTCCGCCCTATGCCTGCTCTATCCGTTCTCATGTCTGCTCAGTCGTTGATCAATTGGCCAACTCGGCGGGCTGCACACGGGACTTGCCCTTCCTTCAGCAGCTCGGCGTCAATGCTATCCGCGCGTATTCGGTCGATTCGACTCTTGATCATGACTCCTGTATGAATGCCTTGAGTGCTGCCGGAATCTATGTAATGTCGGTCTTCTAGCCGTGCTCCCTATCCAACTCTTCGCTGACCATGAGACCAACACAGCCTTGACTTAACGCTCCGTATGTCTCCCAAAACACGGCATACAGCCCATTTGGACTGATTCCTTTCAGCTCTCAATGGTTCGATTGATACCACTATTCCTACATGGTCGACGAATCTCTTGAATGAGGCAAGTGCCCCTTTGTAGGTGTTGGCGTCATCGTTTATCTGCTCCCAGTATATCGACACTATCAACGTCTTCTCCAAGTACGACAATATCCTCGCCTACAACATCGGAAACGAAGTCGTCACAGCCTCAGCAACAGCTGCAGCACCGTTCTTGAAGGCTGCTGCGCGTGATACGAAAGCCTACTTGTGCGCACTGACACAAGGCTGACCCCATTACAACTCTGATTACCTTCCAGGGCATCGATCGGCTCGTCTGCGCTCGTTGGATATGCTGACATTGACGGACCAAGTCCTTTTCGTGACGCCGTTGCCACTTACTTGTCTTGCGATCCCTCTGGCCAAAACTCGGGCAGCTCAGCGATTGACTTGTTCGGCTTGAACAACTAGTTCGTTTAGTTCCAGCTCGGTTCTCTCCCTCTTACATCTCTGCTTAGTGAATGGTGCGGAAATGCCTCTACGACAACTTACGATGGCATCAATGCGGAATTTGCCAACTACAATGTTGTCGCCTACTTGTAAGCATGTCGAGCAACGAGTAGTCCGTGATCCTCACTCTCCCCAGCTCTGAATTTGGGTCCGAAGATTGCAAACCTACAGCACGCCCTTGGACCGAAGTCAGCACGCTGTTTGCATCGCCCATGACCAATGTCTGGTCTGGGGGTGTTGCCTTCAGCTACTTCAGTGCCATTTCCCGCGGGAGCGACTTTGGTCTCATCACACTCTCTGCGGATAACTCGACTGTCACGGTCAAACAAGACTTTACGAACCTCGCGAACGAGTTCAAAGGAGTGTCGTTCGTGAACTCACCTTCGCAAGGCTCTGTCTCCGCCAGTTCGTTCGGTGCTTGCCCCTCGACTAGCCCGAATCTCGAGGCCAGTTCAAACCTCCCTCCGACGCCGAACACAGGCGCGTGCTCCTGCATAGAGCAATCGCTCAGTTGCCAGTTCAAAGCCACGGGGGATTTCAATGCCGTGCTGGGCACATTGACGGGCACCGTGTGTGGGCTGCTCCCTCAAGTCGGCGGAAACTGTAATGACATCGCTACCAATGGGACGACTGGCGTGTACGGATCTGTTTCGTCCTGTGATCCGAGTGCGTCCTTTTTTCCATCTGTGTCGTCCTCACTCACATGGCGACAGCCGTCCGTCTATCCTATGCATTTTCGCAATACTACGAGCTTAACGGTCGTGTTGCCGCATCGTGCGACTTTGCTGGTAATGCGACTGTCAACAGCGCGGCTTCGGCATCGACCGCTGCGGCTGTTGTATCTTCGTGTTTGCCCAGCCCGTCAGCGGTGTTCACCGCCAGTGCACCACCCGGCGCATCGTCTGTAGCTACCGCTGGAAGCAGCTCGACCACAGCAAGTTCCAGTGGCACTGCTAAAACGGGGGCTGCCGTGCCCGTTGGTCCGACTGGTGGCGCTCTAGCGGGATTGGCGACAGTCATCTCGTGTGTTCTCACAGGCATGATTTGGACGGTTTTGTGATCATTCAGCCGCTTTTGGCCTCGGACTACAGTATCGTATATACATCTAGGATATCTTCCCCATACCACACATAGTACTATTTGAATCGAATGCGGGACTTTGTACGTGACCGGGCTCGAAGGAGCGGAAGGTTTGCACGTGGATTAGAGCGATATCCACGTGACGTAACGGCGGACCTGGGCCGTGCATGATAATTCCATGTCGCGCTACAGAGGAGTCTTAATGTTGCTCCACCATCCCATGGATGCCAGGCACAAACTAAGGCGAACTGAACGATTGATAGACCGCAAAAGATTGTATTGGACTCCATTCTCGTCTACTATACAAAAAGCAACTATCCGAACAATCCATCAGACAAACGCTCGACTCATAAGTTTCTACCGCACTTCCCTTTCGGAAAGTGCAGCAAGGAGACCAAAACGTCATCGAGACCCGCGAAGGAGCCATGTTCTCAGTCGAACGAGCGAGCGCGCAAGTCATCGAGTGGATTTGGAGGATGCGGCATTTGTAAAAATGCGAGACTCGGTCAGTTTCTATAAAAAGATCCTGATGAGTATGTATCTGAAGAATCGCAAAAGATGGGGGCTGGAGTTTATAGGATTTTCAAGTGGTCCGTGCACGGTTAGGCACGTGAGGAGAACGTGATGGACAAATTAAAATTTATATTCATGTTCGAGTGGTGTGTAGGCTCTGAGAAGCAGAATCGACATTGATCAATCAACAGGCATGAATCTTGGGTAGTCCAGATCCACACGCGTTAGTGAATCTGTCCGACTTGGTTCCATTAATCGAGATGTCCGAATACTGAGAGCACCCGCGCATGAGAATATGAGATCATCGCATCGGAGTGAAAGAAACAGACGCACCGTGATATTTGTACAATGTGCACCGGCGTTGCAGTCTGCCACGACTCCTGGATAGCGGGAGGAGCCCGTGCCCTACCGAGAGCGAATCAGATCCGAGCAGGAATTGCGAACATAGAACAGGCGCACCTGCATCCCGCTGTAATGCACATCGGAGATTTCCAATTTTCCAGTGTCTCTACCGTTTCCGGCCCAGAATGCGCTGATGTCTACTCTCTGTTTAGCCGCACAGATCATTCTCGAGAGCGCACACTCACATAGGGGGTAAGAAGACCCGACCTACCAATCCGAACGGTGATGAACCTCGATTCCAGGAAAATATGGGGTCGACGCACGAAAGTGAAATTCTCATAGGTTATATTCTTGACAAAGCCAATGTTATTTGGGTAGGATTTGATCATAACTCCAGCATCCGAGTTGTCGGTCAGCGTGACGTTTCGATAGTAGACATTTTGCACGCTGACGTTGGTGTTATTGGAACCGAACGAGCCGATGTTGCAGCCGGCAGTATGGATGCATTGAATATTTTCCGCGACGAATCCCTGATGAAGTTACTCCGCGCGATCAAGAATACATGAGGTCAAACTGACGTTGGTGGGAGTCTTGACCGTGACGCACTGCAGGCAGTCAGCACAATTCACCGAAACGGGAACGCAGTTTACTTACTTCATCACCGTTCTCGACGATTACATCGTGAACGTAGCTAGACGGTTTCAACAAAATTCAGAGGAGGGATTTTGTGCGCACTTGTTGTTTCCACTCATGTCGAATCCATCCGTTTCACCTGAGGATAAAGAATTGAGCCGATGAAAATTGTATCTGGATCGGAGCGCACCGACGTGCGTGGCTCTTATCATCATATTATGAGCCAGATTACTGAGCATGACATTAGCCGCGAGTCCATGGTTCATCAGAGAGCGTACTTGTTTCCGAAAATTGTCACATGGAACATCGGCGCGTCATACAACGTTATCTCGGTGATTTCGATGCTGTGGAAGCAATGTGTCAGACGCGTAATGTTCCGACCAAGGGCAACTTACTTGTCGCAAGCTTGGAAACGAACGAGCCGCGGCCGGTTTGGGAACAGGCTCAGCTGATTCATGATGAGCATAGTTGTGATGTCAAGCTAAAAAGACTTGCATTGTTCCGCTCTCGGTACCGATAACCATTGCCAAAAATGGCACCCGGGCCGTCGACGAGGATATTGTTGCAGTTCTAAATTAGCATTCAGAAAGCCTCCATGAACAATGGTACATATACATACCTGCCACTGCAGCATGGTTCCGCCAATTCCACCGAGTGTAGTATTGAATGGCAGGTACAAGTTACCGACGAGATGCAGATTCCAGTATTTCGCCTTGTCGAAGAGGACCATGGATGTCAGTAGGAAGCTGCCGCTTGGAACGAGCAGCACGACGTCTGTGGCGACTGTCGTAGTCACATTCGGGATAACGCAATTTTTCCATGTCGCAGTCAAAGCAGGGCCGATGTCCGTCTGGTTGTCGGCGACCGCACCGTAGTCGAGCACGTTACACTCGATAGCTGCCAAAGCGGGGAGCACAAAGGCCAGTATGGCAAGAGGAGACAGCAACATTGTGACCTATTGGTGCTTGAGAAGGTCCAGAACGCCTTTATGACTTCGAGTGCTCCATTGCAGCTCATGTGGTTTGGCCCGGCCCGTGCGCTGGTCCTCATCTCGGTAAGGTAGAAGTTGTGGCGCAAGATGTTAACACGCGTTTATCTGAACGAGAAGTTCCCGGGAACAGTGTTAGTAACTGGGATGAGACGAAATAGAATCGACCCGGTCTCAGACTTATTGCAGGCGCCGAGCCCGCTGTGATTGGGAATGGGAGTTGGGATTGGACGAACACTGATTAGTTAGAATGGCTGATGGGAAGCGACATAACTACTGCAGATCAGCAGCGGAACCAGTGGCTCGATTCAGGGAAAACCTCAAGCAGAAAACACGCTGTCTGTGTTATATTACCGAGGAAACCGCGCTACATTGGTGAGCGAAAAGAAGCTCTTCATGATTAAGCATCTTCAGCGCATGCAAAGGACTGGATTGGTCGAAGAAGGGCACAGCGTGAGGGAAGACTTCTGACTCAATGCGAGATGTATACGGTTGAACCCGATGCGGATGAACCTATTTCAATCCAATATGTGGATCACCGAAGGGTCAGATGGGACACGACCAGTCTCAGATAGAACCTCCTGCTCAATCTCGTCCTCAATCTTGTCTTCGACCACAGGCAACCCGGCCGCCTTCCATGCAGCATATCCTCCAATGATATCTGTGGCATCCAGCAAACCGATATCCTGCAGCGCGACCGCCGCCAAACTACTCGCTTTGCCATCCTCACAGAACAGGATGACACGCAAGTCATAACGGTCGACTATCAGGAGCCGATCCCTGCTACGCGGGTCGAATCGCCACTCCAAGACGTTGCGGTCGATGGGCAGCGAACCGTGAATCCCGCCGTCCCGAGTTCGAGTCTCGTTGGACCTGATGTCCACCAGAAACGTCGGCGCGCCCACCACCGGTGCCAAAAGCTCCTCGTAAGCTGCAGTGGGCGGCAACCGTTGCAGGCGGGCCCGTGCGTCCGCCAGAATAGCACTTGCGCTGCGACAGCCCGCAGGTGGGAGAAGCGGGTCTCTCGGTGTTCGTGCTGCTTTGCGTAGCACGTCCCACAGCGCGGCCTCATCCGATGCAGACACTGCGATATTTTTGACGGGCGCGATCCATAACGATCCCGTGTTGTAAGCGATCTGCATGCGGCCGAGAAACTTGGCGGAAGCGAGCAGAGCGGCGCGTTGAACGTAGAGCTCAGGGTAGCCGCATACGACGACCGTGTTGAGCTTTGGATCCGAACGATTGGAAGGACCCGTTGTCGCAAATGCAAAGACCTGCCGGTGCTGTCAACGAACGCTACGAAATCTGGCCATGTGCGCAAACATGGTGGTGCAGTGCCATGACCTCCTCGGTCAGCTTATGTGCGACTCGCTTGAGAAAATCTTCGTCGTCTGATTTGCTGAGAGTCAATGTAACCCCGATCCGGACTCCTACAAACGCTCATCAGCGCCGCGACAGACGCTCGCCCAGCACTGAACCCACCGTCCACAATCTCGGACTTCGTAACCGCCGTTGTCGCTATCTCAGCCGCGACTTGGTCCCGGATATCATCGAGACTTCGGAGTGGGATGCCGGATGAGATCGTCGATCTATCGGGGAGTACGGACTCGCGCGACGTGATCGACGAGGAGCGCGAGGAAAGTGACATTGGTCACATTTGGTCACAACCTTCCCGCACTTCTGGGTGTCGAGCCGCAGAGCTAGAGGTGGTATCGAGCGACGAGTATCATGCTGGCCTGGACACCGTTCGTTTCTGTCTTCGTGCTTTCGCCTAAAAGAAACGATTCAAATGAACCGCTCATCATGGTGGCTGTGTGTCTGTCTTTGCACGCCATGGTGTACAACGTGTGATCTGCTTCTGACTTTCGCTTTACTGCGTCGACGAGTTGAAAGCAATTCTACACTCAACGGTCTGACGTTCGGTGCACACATACGTCTCCGCGATGCCAGTATTGATCAACTTGTGCCTGCCTGCGTGACCTTTGTTCTGCATTGGGTCTATATCACGCGTTTCTCCTTGAGCCGCCTAAGGACTGCTTGTTCCCAGAATGGAATGCATTGTCCAAAAACTCCGCTATGTTTGGTATAAGAGGTGGAACGCGGGAAAAGCTTCGCTAGAGGATCTGGTATCCCTGGCTCCTGCTAGGTGCGTCTGTCAGCTGTCCGCTTCCCGCCACAGACGCACTGACTTTGATACCTGCAGCTCGTTATCATCGCCATGCCGTACGCGCTGTCCCAACTATTCTGGAGGCGCAATGCTGGTGAATCGAGTCCGCAAGTCATGCTGCACACCGACGCCCCCGTGTTTCGACTCCCTGCTGAGCTGCTGGGAGTTATCTTCCTGTTCGCGTTGATTGACGAATGGGAGCCCATGACGGAGTTCGACGATGCGGCTTTCCCTCTCGAGCCTGTCGTTTTGTCGCACGTCTGCCGTCTGTGGAGAGACGTGGCCCTCGCCCATTCGGCCCTGTGGTCGTCGCTGTGGATCGACCGGCCGAGGAAAGCGCATCTTCCGATGGTGCAGCTGTGGTTGGAGCGCTCGGCTTCGTGTTGTTTATCCATTTCCCTTCGACAGACGGACTACGCTCAGACTTTCTCGAATCCGACACAGGAGGAACATGATCTCACAGATCAGATATTGCTGCTTCTACTGGCCCACACCCATCGGTGGTACTCCTTGCGTCTTTCGTTCACGACTCCAGCACAGCAGGCCCTGGCATCGTTCTCGACTGGCGATGCATCGATGGTCCAGCACGTCAGTCTCGAAACGGATCGCTGGGACTGCCAGAGCGCAGATGCCTTTCACTCTGCTTTGTATTCATGTCCATCTCTACGACGGCTCAATCTCCCTTCTTCCGCCAAAAACGAGCACATTCCGTGGTCGCAACTGACACATATCGAGTCAGCGCCAGAGTGGACCTTGGATACCTGTCTCAGCATTCTGTCTTCCTGTTCGACGCTTCAGTCCGCGTCTTTGACCTGCTCCGCCGATCCTGATTGGCCATCCGTTTCCTTCTCGGAATGCGTATCACTCCCACGGCTAGTGTCCCTGTCTATCACAGGTTCCAGGACCGACCTCGCGTCGCTCTTCGATCGTCTTACACTACCCAATCTCGCATCGCTTTCTCTCGAATACCGACACGTCCCTCACTTGGATCGTGACCCACACTCGCTCCACGACTTGCTCGCACGTTCGCACTGCAATCTCACGGCATTTTCGCTGCATGAGAAGGCAAGAGCGATGGATACCCAACGTCACTTGCGGTTCATTGCCACCTGCGCCCCGCAGATGATTGGGTTGTTATCGTTGGAGCTTCAAGTCGACGTGGGCGATGCATTGGCACGTTGTTCGACTGCGACTGATCGCGAGCACGAGTCGCCAATGTTTCCAGGTCTCAAGTCGCTCAGTTTGGTCGGCTTGCGGCGCAAGCAGGTTGCGCAAGGCAATCTGGTCGACACACGTCATTCACAACGTCCTGCGATGTACTCAGTCGACTCCCTGGCTGGTCCGTGCGACTGATACCGCTTACAAGCGCCCATGGGAGAGAATATCACAGGCTCTTCCGTGTAACGTGTCTGCTGTGTCGCAGTGTCCCCCAACCACTATTCTGAGGTTGGCGTCCACGACAGTCGTCGCTCAATCCCCTCACGCGCTCTACCACTCCCGAATCGCTGTCCGTTTCAGATTGACCACTCGCTCGACATGGTGTTGTGTCAGAGACCAGATACCCGTTCTAATGATACGAAGCGGATTTCTTTCTTGTCTCACGCTATTATATAGATAAGTACTAATGATAAATAGTTCGAGTGGTAAGAGGTCGATGTCCGACATATCAGTGGGCATCGAAGAAAAAACATCTTGTAATCTATTTTGACTGGAGATATCGCAGCCTAAGGTCCAGCCCTCTAGCAACAAGATGGTCAACAAGCGGCAAGATATCGAACTCCCGGGCCCTGGTGAGAGACACATCCAGCCGTCGCAAGGACCGTCCATGGGATAACAAGAGATCGAGGATAGCTTGATCTGTGAGCTGCGAGGTGCGATGGATCTCCAGTGATCTCAGATTTGCCAGCAGGTGGTTCGAGGTTGTCAGCAGCTGGACGAGATCCTCGGCAGACATTGTTGGTTGCAAAGTGGCGATCCCTACAGGAGACCAAGGATCATACCCAGGTCCAGGCTCGATGCGTAGAGCCTTGAGCTTGGGCACCAGCTCCATGCAATGGATGAAAGCGGCCCTCGTGACACCGGGGATGTCCATCGTCAGTCGTTCAAGGGCTGATTGTCCAAGGAGTGGTGAGAAGGGCAAGATGGCTCGGTGCGCAGAGGTGCTATATTCGTACTCGTATTTGGGTCCCTCATATGCGAAAGAACGCAGGCTGGGAAGAACTAGCGAGCGGAAGAAGTGCAAGGCGTTCGGCAGCGCGTATTCTCTGTTCTCGACGCTCAGATGCGTGAGAAGGGGCATGGTCACGAGGGTTGATAGGTGGTTCTTCGACGATTCGTCTGCTTCAGGCATCGCCACAACTTGTTGATCCGACGTAACGCATAGCTTGAGCTGGACGAGCCGGGTGCATTCTCGCAAAAGAAGTAAAGCGGATTGCATCGTGAACTGGTAGATGGTCGAGTCCTTCAGCCCGCCGCCAAGGAGTGTCAGCGACGAGAGGAGCGGCCAGATCACCGGTAAGGTCAGAAACTTGCCGCCCAGGTTCACGAGTGAGACCTTGCGCAGCGCGTAGGTGCGCAGAAACGGCAATTTCCTCCATGGAACATCGAGCGGTGCATCCGAGTTCCTCCACGTGCCTACTCCTATCGATGTCAGCGAGATCGATTCGAGCCTAGGCACATCCTGCGGCCGCAAATTCGTCAAGGGCGTCAACGTCGTGTGCGGAGACAGAGTGAGCTTCACGCGACGCCAGCGCGTAGAGAAGCGCGTTAGGACGTCAATCACCGTCGCGATGTTATCCGAATCAGGCTCGCATGCGTCTGACACGGCTAGGCTAACGCACAGGCCTAAGGCGCCTGAGCGAGATAGCCAGTCGTCCACCGCGTCACAGAGCCGGTTTAGATGCGCCTTGTCTGGGACAACGACGTGAACGTTCTTCCACAGGTCGGGTGTTGTCATATATGCGAGACGACGCCATCCGGAGCAGATCCGGCCGAGGAGCAGCGGTGCTTCTTTCGTGCTCATGTGCGGATCAGGAGGGACGGTTGCGCGGAAGATCTCACAGAGGATGTCGTCGGGGAGTCGACGAGTTACGGAGATGACTGAGCGAAGGGCTTCCATGGATTCCTGTACAGCCCGAGGCTGCGCGGAGACTGTCGTGGACGCCGCGGGTAGATCGGCGCTCAGCGACTGCAGGCGTCCCTGGAGAAATTCCAGTCGGGTCTGGATGGAAACGCGTTCTTCCGCTGTTGGAACGCGATTGGAGGTGATGAGGCGCGTGAAATCGGTCTCCATCCTTGCGCCCAAGTCGCCAGGCGCACGGTCGCGGGTCACATCTTGCGCGTAGTCCATGTCCATCTCTGGTCAAATACAGAGTCAGCAAGCTACTCATGCGAGTGCGGAAAACATGCCTTTTCCGTCCGCAATGTTCCGACGCCCCAAGACGCTCGCTGTGTCGAGTCGAGGAGCGGAAGAGGAAGTCGAGCGTTATGACACGATCTCGCACGCATCATCACCGAAATAAGCGGATAATCTTTGCGGAGCTTGCGGCCGCGAACGCCTTGAGCGCCAAAATTTGATGATCATGCTTGTCCTCAGAAAGGATCTGGGCGTGAAGTGTTTCGCCTTCGTTTTTGCGGAAACAAAAAAATGGCGAACGTCGCGTTGCACAGCCACGATCGCCCGATTCGATGACATCTTGGCAGGCTCCTGCCTTTGACACCAGCATTGCTTTTACAGGCTATGTGCATATTATTATCAGGTTTATGATATCCTCTGACTGTACTACGTCAGACAGAGCTCCTCAAAACGCTCTGAACGGCAATCTCAGAGCTGAGCAATGGTAAGCAGATTTTTCTTTCTCAGCCAGATCCTCGATCAAGATCACCCCAAGTCCACTGGTCTTTCCTGAGAAGTCTCCTCTTATTTTCACAGAACGGAACCTACATTTGCGGGTGGAGATTAATGTGGCCAGCGAAATGCCCATCAAATCCACTCGATTCAACAGCAAATGGAGGAATCAATGCAGAGACTACGATTGTCCGTCTTGACTTTGAGAGAATTAATCTGGAGGAGGCAGACACAAAATGGAATGTCACATCATCACCCGCGAAGCTTATTCTTCATGGAATTCGTTCGAAGTTCCTACAAGCACTGCGACGCACCAGGGCTCACAACTTCTCTCACGAGTCACAACAGTATCATGGAAGCTATAATGATCGGCACCAGCAACTTTTGACGAAGGAGAAAAATTGCTTCATGGCCCGTCAGTGCGGACGTTCTTAACCGATCAATGACTGGTGCTTGCCTCATGCAAATGAAATGAAATGGATGCGGCCCGCCGGCGTCACCGGCACCTGGAATGTTGATATTGAGAACTCTACACGGCGGGAGAGCGATGCAGTCCGTCTTCGGAAGGAGATCGGCGGCGGATTTTCGTCCGCTCACGATCTGGAGAAGATTTGGGATGGTTCGTGACTGAAACGACCGAGTTCGAAGTTCGGTCAACCGATTATCGGACCAAATCGATGTCAACGTACGTCCCATCCGTTGAGAAAGTACTTGTTGTCCGTGAAATTGGATGTCACATGCAAATTCAAAGCCAAATCAGCACCGCCCGGAGACGGCAGCCCGTAACTTTCACGCGCGCGAGAGACCGGAGGTCTTGTTTTCGCAGAGGCCGCTCCAAGGTGACCCGCCGAATCTCTGGTTCTCTCTCTTCGGTACCGAGGTACCTGAGTAGAGCAGAATGAACACCTTCCGCTGTGCTGTTGCCTTCGGGCGTATGCTCCGGATTCGATAATTCGAAATTGGCTGCGTGGCATGCACGAGTGTCGTTGGCCGTCAGTTGAGGCACCTCTAACGCAGAGCAATAGTTGGACGAACGCTCTGGCTGGATCCGAACGGAATTCACCGCGAGCGGATCAGTGGTGGCTCCGCCTGCTTCGATGACGGTCAGGTGGTGATCATCAATGCTGCAGGAAGAATTTTGGGATGAAATGATGTCCCGTTAGCGAGTCACAAACCTGAGGATGTAATTGGGTTTTCAGGACATCGGGATCAATCGAAAACTATACTCATTCTAGGTGATGAGCAGCGAGTCAAATCTGAGGCAGAAGCGGACTCTCTTCCCATGCTCCAGAGCGATGCGAGGGGTTTAATTTCTCAATAATATAGTCATTAGTCTGGTTGGATGTGATTTGCGAGTCATACCCCGCCTGAGAATCACGCATTGCTATTGATAGTGTCGACTGTGTGCAGATAAGGGAACACAATCTGTGTGTTAAGACGAAGGGTGGAACCTGGTCGAAATCAGCAATTTCGTTCGTGAAGGTGGCCTTTTGAAGCACCAACAAGCAAGCCTAATGATTTTCGATTGCATAGCGGTCTAAGGGAGTGAATGGAATGTCGAAAGATCACTTCCCGTCGTCCAGGTCTTGCTTAGGAACGAAAGGTGTGAGCGGGGCCGACTACCATATCGACGCACGTATCCTCGTACACTGAAATGTCCTCAACTGTGAGAAAGGCTCAGAAGAGTTATCGCACTGATCATAGGGCCGCAGATTTCACCCTAGTATTGCAGAGCTATCAAGCTAGACTTGCATCAATCCATCGATCCAAGCGCGAACGTTGAGCGATGAGAATGGTAACAATAAGTTCTGGAGGTAGGGTTAGAATATCTGTGCATGAGCAATGTTATGTATCACCCGTGTTGCGGATGGGCCAAGACGTCGCACAGAGAGGAATTGCTCGGAGTGATCGGGAATTCTAACGAGGTTATTCCATCAAGGAGGTGGATACGTCGTGTCAAAACCGCTGTCGCATCGGACCAGCTCGCATTTCGCTGGATTATACCGTGCTATTTCTGTCCAAAACCAGGACCAACATAACATCTAGCGCTTTGCTGAATCGACTGCACTGGTACCGAAAGATCGTGGGCGTCGTGCCATTCGTCAGTTTATTCTCAACAATCACGAGAAAGCATATCTCCTTTCCGCAGCAGTATGGGCTTCTATGAGAACATTCCACCAGCTGGCATGACTCTGTTGACGCAAATTTAGGAAGTCCAGATGTTATGCGGTGCAACTAACGATCTCTCGAATCCGTCAGCCGAAATGTTTGTGTTGGCGATCTTCGGAGTCCAAATGGTTATCGCATCCTAATAAGTTTCATTGATGCACATCAGAGCTGCGAAAAGAATGTCAGATATTTCGGGCTTGTCATGAGCGTGACGCCAAGTCTAAACCGACCGCTCTGCCCCATATTTATGACCGTGTCCGAAGAACCACACTAAATTCGACGGGGATGATCGCTTAACGCAAAGTTGGATGCGCCCGAAAGATTGCGAGGCCGAACGGACGGACGGCTGCATGGTATAGATCGGAATGCCATAAATGAGTCAGACCAAGATCGGAGAGAAAGTGTCTACAAATCAAACAGACTAGGACAATCGAGGAGCGAGATACGGTAGATCCAACAAATGGCCATCGTCAGATCCATCCAGAAACGATCGTTATTCGACAAAAATACGAGAGCCTTCCGAGTGTGAAATCTCGATTGGAGACAAGAAATGCCGACAAAACAAAAAGTGTAACCGAGATGCACTGGTATCTTCTTTGTGAGATCATATCCCTCCTTCAAATTTGGCACGCACCGAGAAAAAAAAACAGACTCCGCCAAAAGGATTCAAGGTGATGTCAGCAGATAGCCAAGGAAAGTAGCAGAGTGGCAACTTGACACCAGCTCCCGAAAGTTTCTGTAAACAGAGTTGCCTCCGGAAATAGTTTTATCGGCTGAAAGACACCAGGGTGTTCATTCAAGGCGGGAGGAGCAGTATAAGACTCGTCTTTCGATATCACCTAGCGCTATGGGACGCAAAGGTCACAGCCAAGAAGTGCGTGAAGATTGTGACCCTCCGTGACACATGTCATCCTCTTCGTGCTCCTCGATTCTCGATTGACTCGTGCGAGAGCGGCATCCAACATGGATGCTTTCTGACTGTGTCTAATCCGAGAGGTAACGATGATCAGATCATCAGACCATTATTGGAAGGCCGTTTGAGGATGGCTCCAGTCGAAGCATTGGAGTGCCTGGACAGCGAGGACACGACCGTACATAGCAGATCAGATAATCGGTCGCTTGCGCAAACTGATACATGGTAGGAAGAGCTTCGTTACTCATTAGGTAGTCCTGGCAAGTGCTATGCGATGTAGGATATAGCAGTACATATGAGTTGGATGGATGATAGCAGCAGTGGGGTAAAAGCAAACAAGCGAAAGATATTGGTTACACGTTCCTGGTTTCTTCAGACGGCCTCATCCCCCGCGGGCGCATCAAATCCATCGACCGCGACATTCCACTTCCATCGTCCATCAAGGAAACCATCCGCAGTGTCCTCCAAAACAATCGCGTTGCGCTTCTGCACGTAGACAGTCTTGTCCGTCACCTTCTGCCTCAAGGCTGGAATGTTCTCGGGCTCGATGGGCGACTCGAGCAGCTCAGACAGATCCTCTACAGCTTGCTCGAGATCCCTGTATGCGATGTGTTCAATCAATAGGGTTGAAAACACAATGTCTCGACATACCGCTGGTTGTCCTCGAACAGGTCCTTCTCGTTGCTCTTGGCGAGATAGTATGCCATAGCATACGTCCACTTCAGCGTCGTTCGGCATTTGTCTAATTCTTCTCCCGCCTTTTTCATGAACTGCACTTCGATCCAGGTCAGCGTCGAGGTCAACTGCATCTCCTCCATCTTCTTCTCCGTCTTCGCAAACAGATCCTGCGCGAGTTTCGCACTCTGCTCGTGGTTTGCCCATCGATTATAGTACTGTGCACGATGTGAGCAATAGAAGCGTAGCCAGGAACAGAAACGCACATGAAGGTATCGCTCCAAACTAGCACGACTCTTACTCTGCGCATCACGAGCATCCGCACCGGCCTTCTCCTCATATCGGTTGCAGCTGTACCACTGGGTGCCGTGCTCTGTCCAAGGTCCCATACACACCCAACAGAACTCGTGCTTGCACTTCTTGCAGGTCATGTGGCTGTACAAGAGTGTCAATCCTCATTCATCACGCCGGTATACCAAATAAGCCGCAACCTACTTGCAGCCGCCGTTCTTTTCGATCGTGCTCATGCACTTGGGGCACTCCTTCGTGTTTGTCTTGATCCAGTTCGCTGTCTCGCTGTCATCTCGACATTTCTTCAGCCACAGAAGGGCAACGCCACACACAACCGGTCGGTGATCACTGTCGATGACACAACCGAAGCAGAACTTGTGCTCCTTTCCAGTAGCTTGCTTGGCCAGCTCCTGGCTCTGTGACAAGCCCGCTGTCGACCCGATCCCCCGAGCACCACATGAAACGATGGGTACGACTGAAGTCAGCGTCGACTTGGACGAGGCTGCGGGACAGGACACGGTATTCGTGCAAGACGGATACGGGCAAAACTTGAGGTGCGACATGCAGCCCACGTAGTGGCGTACCAGGAGCTCATTGAAGCGCACGAGCGTGTCTTCGTCAACTGTGTTCGCAATGAACTTGTCAGACGCGACTAGCCCACATCCTTCAGCCATGCATCGGCACGCGTGTTCGCCTTCGTCTTTGATCTTGGCCGTCAGATACGCCGACCAGCAGTTGCTGCAGTACTGGTGTTTGCAGTCTAGCGCGAGCGGGTGGATCTCTGGATCGTCGTCAAAGCACACAGGGCAAGTAAATGTCGCAGGGTCCGGCGTCTTCGCCTTCCGCACGGGCCGGCGGCTGGGTCGTGCCGGTTCCACCTCGGGGAGCATAACACCGGCCGCGACGAGCGTCTTGTCAGGATTGTCCATGTACTTCTCGATCAGCTTCTCCTTATTCCAAGACGAATGTCGGAGGAGCAAGCTCGCGCTGGCGGCGTCGACACCGAATATGCCCTGAATGTGCTCAACATCTTTCGACATCAGCGCTTGGATGGCCGTCTGCGATAGCGAGTCGTATTCTATATCCCACGCTTTTCGACTGGCCTTCGTGGGCGCTTTGAAGTCGTCGAGGTCCATGCCGTCATCGCCATCCGTGTCTTCCGGGGGAAGTGAGCGCCGGTCCCAGGCGGAAACAGCGGTGCTCACCGTCCTCGTAGACATCCATGTCGTCGTCTTCGTCAAACACGTCGTCGGCCTCTTCATCTGAGTACTCATAATCGGAGGACATGGTGGATAAGAAGTCTATGTGAGCCTGCGGCGCATGGGTACTGGAACACGTGGAAGCGGGGAGGCTGCTCACGTTACAAGCGCGTTGTGGGAAAGGTCTGGTGGTGAAAGGACAGGAACTTCTAGATGGATCCGGTAGATCAGCTGGGGGGATCCATGGGCATTGGGGACCTGGGAAGACACGACTCTTTACCTTGAGAATGTCCTATCGGAGATCTACAAGAGCGGCAGAAGCGAGCGCGATCCTGAGCCTGATGAATGGAAAGGTCGGCGGGCGCAGAAGGGAAGACAGGGCCAAGGCGAGCTCACGAGAAAGAGGTAGCTGGCTGATAGAGCGCTGGGCGGACCGTCAATGAAGTGGAATAGGTGGGCAACGCGAGACACGCACTTCGTAAGAGATTGCGTTCTCGATCCCACTGTGGTCTGTCAACCACTGGAGGATGTTCTCGTCAGTCTACAATAGGCGACTCGGGTAGCGGGAGCGGAGCACACGATGTATTACAAATCTGCTCGGACGTTGTAAGGCTACTGTTGTAGGAACAGAGTGCATGTATGCGTACTGGTGGAAAGCGGTGCGATGACCCTAGTACGAAGGAAACCGAGGAACGTGGTGGTCCCCAGGAGAGAGCTGGAGGTGTGCGCTTGGGCTGAGTCTGTGATCTCACGTGCGGAAGTGTCACTGTGACTCATCATGCATCAATAATCACTAAGTACCAACCGGAGTATTTGATTCCGTCCGAATTTTTGTCTTGTCCACAACGGAGAGTAATATACATGAAAATCGGGGAAGATAAAAACGACGGATATCCGCATCCCAAATCTGGCGTAAATTTCTCGGCAGCAAACCAAATATCCATGGGTATCCTGTATAAACAAACTCTCGAAATACAATTACAACGGAAACAGAAATGCGAAGGGATCGACGCTTCAGGTCTCATCACAATCATCCAGCCAGCCACCATCGTTTAGCAGAGCCCGGATATCGGGCGTATCCGGTTTGATGTCGCCGTTCACGGGTGTAAACCAGCGTCGGAGCTTGTGACCACTTGGATTGACGTAGATGACATTCCAGTAGATGTGATTCTGGATTAAGCGGCGCAGAGCTCAGAAAAATAGGACGATCGACAGAGCGGGAAAACTGACATCACTTGCTCGGATTCGGCGGCCTTGCGGGGCAGCGGGGCTAGCGTATATCTTGCCGCGCTGCCATTCACCGAGATAGTTCTTGAACCAAACCACTTGATCCACCTGCGAGCTTCATCAGCAGTGTCAGAAGTGTGCCCGAGGGCAAGACGCACAGTGAAGAGGCAAATGCGTGGGGCGTCTAAACTTGGACACGGAAAAGGCAGGAGCTGCCTAGCAGAGATGGAGGGCTCCGCGATCTGATCCTCCCTGACGACCTTGCCCATCTCCTTTGCTTTGCCTACCGACTTGGTCTTTCTCCAGGGTTCATTCCGACACGTGATCGAAACTGAAATTACTTCAGGTTTACGGAGGTCCCCATTGGACACCACTCGGGTTGAGCGACGGAGCAGATCGGACGCCGATTCAGGAGCGTTTATGATACCTGACATCGAAGGGAAAGGATCGGATGGATCAATGGGCTGCAAAGTTCCTGCCATTATATACACCAGAGCCGCTTTCCATTTTGGGAATCGCACCGAGTACAATGGCGATCAATGACAGCCACCTGTTCGTTTCTTTGCGTGGCTTCTACAGTCACGTGAGGCATTCCTCGCTGTTGGAATCTGGTTTTTGCTTTGTAGTTTCCATCCATGGCTTGAACAATCCGGGATTTCGCCCCGCTTGCGTCTGATGCGGTCCTTGGCATACATGCTGTTCTAAAGAACCGACCCATACGAAGCGCAACCACACTCTGCGGCAGAACCTGAAAGAAAATATAGTATAGTGAGGTGAACCCACCAGCATACCACTGACCCAGCTCTGCCCTGTGTTGTGTGCGACGTTCATTCGGGCATTATGGGCTTCCTGTGGAACATGAATGTTGCAATTAATCGATTTCTTTAGCGTTGTGTGAGACACAGATGAGCTCACAGTCGTCAGCCAAAGAGACTTGATATCTGGAGGCTTATTAGGACGTTGAACAACCTATGGTAGGCTGGCCGGAGTCGTTGAGGCAGTCAGCACCAAACATCAGCAGCCTCTGTGAACCCAAACACACATGAAAAATCCAACGTTCAATCTGTTGCACGCCCTCGATAATCGATCTGCCACCATAGTAGAAAGGATATGTCCCATAGATTTAGACTCGTGATCTTGAAAAATAGAGCAGCCCATCTCAGACGAGATTTTCAGCGACGACATGTCTGGGCAGCGAAGCTTCGTGGGGGCCCGGTTCGTTAGGAGGCTCGTCAGTATCAGGTCGAAAAACCGTGAGTACTCACTAGATGTCAGCCGTTATGGACGGCGTTCAAAATTTTGTAAAATTTTCCAATACATGTACTAGGTAACGCAGAAAGACGCGTGTCTGCAGTAACATCAGCTTGATGCGTCGAAATGCCCTTTGACTCACAGTCGAAATCAAGAATCGGTAATGGAATCATCACCCGGAAAATATCTTAAGTGAAACCACAAGAGAGTGCGCGATGGATCTACTACATCTGGACACAGCGTAGACTTTGACGCTACTGATGAGTCTGAGCTGCAAGATCTCGTAAGCCTGGCCGGAAAGCTAACGCACCGAAGTGCTTGAACTGACAGAGGAACCGAATCTAATAAAATGCAATGCGTTGTCAGCTACCCGGAGAGCGAACGTGGCTCAAGGGAAAGGTCGATTAGTATGGCCATGCCAGGGAGAATCCGGACATAATGTGAGCAGGGCCTCGGATCCGTTATGCTCATCAGGCAACTGGGACGGTTTATCCGCGTACTACTCCGTCCAGCTAACGAAGAACCATGCAGGATCGCAATGAACAACAGGCATCCTCGCAGATAGACCGGACGTCTCTAAGAATGCAGTGACTAGGAAGGAATGGGTCACCTCGGTAATATACGCGTCCGTCAGACTTGAACTCACCGACACGGCGACAATCAGCAGCAAGGTGTAATATTCGGCCATAAAATAGAGCACTTTTATCACGATCATACCACATAAGCGTGATCCTTGGGTGGTCGTCCAGACGTACTTCCACTGAAAGGCAAAGAGAGTTGGGTCTCCATGCCGGAGACACTAGCAACGCTGTGGGTACCTCTTGCGGCAGGCACGACAGCCAGCCTTATGTGATGGAAGCCGTGGCCAATGGTCGTCCCTAGCGGAGAAATTGCACGTGATCACGCTTACGGAAGCCGAGGCCAATGTTCCAGATAGTTAGTATTTCTATCATCAACCATGAAGTAAAGTAATTGCATCAGAGGAGGGGAGCATCGCTCTCCTAACTGGAGCTCGAGGGAGGGCGTTCTCTCCGCGATCCGATAGAATAAAGGAAGGTAGGTCAATGACCAAACCATTGCTTGAAACAATCAAGTGGCTCCTCCATGACGAACTGCGAGCACGACCAATTAGCCTGAAGCGCCATCTTGAACGGAACTGAAATGTACGAAATAATTGGCGCCGTCCACTAATTCAAAGGTGATCTCGCACTCCGGCTTTGTCTCTACAAACATCCGCTCTTCAATCTTCCACCCGGCGTAGATCGAGTTCAGCCATCCATGGAGCAAATCACAAGATAGTACTTGCTATTCTTTCCACAGCTGGCTGCGCACGTGTGTCCAACAGCGCTTTATCGACCAATTTTGTCGTAGCAGCGGCGAAACTGGGAGAAACGAGCATCGCGTTGGCCTTGACGCCCGCTGTCAAGTCTAATGTACCGTCCATTGGGATGGTCTCGATGGTTGGGGGCCGATTCGGGTCAGTGCGGGAGCACGTCAGATTTTGTAGATCGTGTGTCGACAGTTCACCGTGCACGAAGAAGTTCGACAACCAACGCGCTAAGTAAGGCCCCATCTTGGCTCGAGGGACTTCGGGTTCGGACTTGAGGACATCCCTTCCGGGTCCGGGATACCAAACACGACGGTGGGCAGCTCTGCAGACCGTAACCCTAGTCAAAATGGAGAAGGAAGGGAGTAGCAAGTGAGGAACTCACGATAGAGGATAGCGCTTTGCACAGAGCCACTGAGCGTTCGGCGCTGATCTTCAGGTAACCACTGACGCGACGACGGCCATGAGGGCCAGAGACCCCAGCGACCATCCAGCCGCAGCCACTCCTCCTGGGAGAGCAAGCGATGTGACAAGCCCCGCGATCAACAGCGCCAAGTCCCGACCCATTTCCACAATGAATGCCTCCTTCTCCGCTTCGCCCCCGTTCATGAGCAAATCGAGCTCATCCGGGTGCGGAGTTGACCCGTCGTATTCTCGGCGATTCGGGGCGATGACGCGAACGCCATTGGAGAGCTCGAGAACAGCCAAAGACTGGAAGGTCCCTGGACGTCGCAGTTCATACTCGAGATGTAGTCCAGACCACTGGAAGAACACGCGCCGCTGTTGAACATTATGCCATGAATGAGCACCAGCGTAACATAATTAGTCTTGTTGGACGAGGGAATCCCGCCGTTGGTGTAGCTAAAGACGGCCCCGCTGGGGAGAGTGAAGGCAGGCATGCGCAGGAGATTTTGCCGTGCCCTTATGTGGCCTTTCGTCAATGCGAGCGGTGTGATTCATGCTTGTCAGGGTGTCAGTCACAGGATGGACGGCGATGTAATGGACTGACCCAATTCCGTTGACCAAGAGTGAGCGATCAAGAGCAGCGTGTCAGTACCCCAGACGTGCCCGGGTGAGCTCATCACCATGCCAACAAGCAACAAGGTGCCCACCGCACGGCTTTTAGTCCTTGGCTTTTAGATAATAAGAACCGGATTATCCATGGTTTACTGAGTTTTGTCCAGATGCGAAGGATCGGTGGGTGCCCAAGACGGACCCAGTAGTGAAAGCCACTGGCCCGTGTGCGGCGGGTTTACTGAAAGTGCTGCCACAGGACGCAATCCGCGAGGCTTTGGTTTCACGAAGCCGTAATGGCTTCCGCCTAGCTTCTGGGCTACCTAGTGGCTTTGTTAGGTAAGGATGAGCGCCAAATGATATCAATTCTGCGCCTAGTAGACATTTCTACATACAAAATGCGCGGTAATCGTAACAAGATCGTGAAAAGGAAAAAGGCATAAGAGTCCATTGCATGCAGTCATTTCGGTTCGCAGGTCAGTTCAGACAAGACTTAATCGTCACGTTGAGCCAACCCCACGGTAGATTCTCCCTGGTTGAATACCACATAGACACTCTTGAGGAAGATGTCGCCGAGAATCTGGAAAACGGAGGTGTAAGCATGAGCTGCGAGACGGGTTAGGGAGAACTCCTACATCGAAGGGATTCGTTCCTCGGGACTGGACACCGCCAAAGAGGTACCCGCCAGACGCCTGTCCGTATGGGAAGTCGGCCGCGTTCAGCTTGAGACGATATGTTAGCACATAACAATTCTAGGCTCGCCCGTACACCGACCTTGTACATCTTGTCGCCAATCGCGAACATCAGGTCGGGGACAGTCGAGGAAGCCGGGTACATCCACCCGCCCTGGTCCTGGTCAAACTGGGCCCCGTCGATTTGGCCATACACCTGCGACACGACGGCGTCCGAAACGAGAGCGAGAGTCGCTATGAGTGGCCTCAGTTTAGGCACTATCACCACCACAAGTGACGAGACGTACTTCCAGTGTCGAGGATAGCCGTGTTACCCGACTGTTGGAAGGTCTGACCGTTGACGGAGTAAGACTCGGAGTCAACCATCCAGAATCCCTGTGAGCTGGTGGTGTCGGACATGAGCTCCAGACCTAGAGCTGCGGCGAGGCAACCCACTTATCGACAGGCGTGTAAGTGATCGGGTGCGGAGTAACAGTCTCGTCGATCTTTCCATTCCAGTCAGCAGTCGATCCCGCACACACCACATCTCGCACGCACCGCGCCAAAACTGTAGAAACCAGCATTGTCGCCGCGATCAAGCTTGACAGTGAACAGCGGCTTCGAGATGAGTCCCTGGTCGATCATGTTCTCCACAGGGGTTTTAACAGGACGCGGCGAGACAGTGTTGATCGCAGGCCATGCAAGACCGAGAAGACCATCGCTGCCTTCACCCTGCGCAAACTGGGCGCTCATGCGCTCCGCAAGCTCGACTGCCTGCTTTGGGATAGCGACGCCGCCGACGGTGACCGCTGGAGACAGAAACTGTCAGACGGGAATAGAAAAAGAAAGGGCGGCGCGCGCACTATCAAGATACACATTCCCAGACGCGGAAGAACCATCACCGTACGAGATGTTCCATGACGCGCCCGATTGATGCGCAGCGGTCTTGGACTTGCTTGGGTTGTAGATGCTGTGTCCCGACTTCGAGACCCGGGTGAGCTCAGAGCTGTAGGGTGATATAAGTGTGGGCGGAGGTCCAGTTACTGAAGCTGTGTGCACCTCCACACCCACAAATCAGACGAGCCTGGGGCTTGTCAGATGCAGCGTATATGCGTGTCCGAGTAGCACTCACCCGTGTCAAAGTCGAGGTGCAAGGTAACTCCAGGAGTACCGATCTGGCGGCGGTATATTAGCGCGTAGCGGAAGTGAGGGAACAGACACGAACCTTGACGGGAACGATATACTCAGAGCTGATACGATTAGCACGCGTTATTGGGGATCAAATATTTGGCGCTCACTCTGGTGTAACAGAATCAGCACACAGAGCGTAAGGAGACGCGCCACACACCATTCTGCACACTCTCCGCAGGCACATTCCCGCTCTCGCCATTCGACTTGACATGCACGACCATGTTCTGGTGCTTCCTGAACGGTGCGAACTCGGTGTGCTGGAATCCGTAGCGGTTGGCGGCACGCGCGTAAGCAGAGAAGAAGGACGGCTTCTTCCCGGAGAACTTGGGGGAGCGAGCCAGAGGGCTCAGGATGCGTGAGGCGGCCATCGTGTCTTTGTCGTCTTTCTCGGGAGCAGAAGTGGCGGGCTTGAACGGAAACAAAACAGACAAACAAGAACCCATGAAAGTGGGGGAAAGAAAGAAGTAGAGGTGGTGCTGGAGAGCCCCGCAGCGCCATCAGGGCTTATATGCCAGGCGAGATAGAAGGTTTCCAGAAATGGAAATTCGATCTGGCGGCTTCGTCATTTCAGTTCTACGCTTTCGGGTGGGTCCCAGCCACCTGCTCAGAGCCTTGTAAGATGGAAGCAGAAAATGCGCAGCCTCAGCTCATCCATTCGGAAGCCTCCCTGACAGGCCGGATTCACGCGAGAAGCCGAGTATGCATCGCGGCCCGATCATTACAAAGATAGTATCCTTCCAGCGGAGGCATCACCATGTGTAGCTGCCACCGACCATCGCCCGGTGCGATAGATATTAGGGTCGTGTGGGTCAGAGCTACCCCGATGAGCACTGAGTTCTTCGGCGTCAATCAAGATGGAGATTGGAAGACACGGACACGATACCGAGCTATTGACTGAGCAACGTCAGAAAACGGCGAGAAGTACAAAGAACAAAGGAGAACGAACAGCTGCAACACTGTGCCGAGATTCACAAGATGAGAGATAGCAAGTCAGAAGCTTATCGCTCTGACACTTTGACCTGCAAAGAGGAGATTGTCCCTAGAGGTACATTCCAAGTGACTAGCAACCGTCACCGTCATGTGCTGACGAACAAGCAGCGAGTGTAGAGGCTGACGAGATTGGGATTACTTGGGGAGCGATTGCACGAGAATAGACGTACCTCTTCCCAGGAGATACCTCAATCCAGGATCCGGATCGACAACCGCCCATCACCCTCCAAAGACTTTGCTCGAGCTCGTCCTCGACCACTTCGCATACATCATAGCTGCTCTAGACTTCCGCCGCCTCGAACGACCCAGGTTGTATCATTCAGCGTCCTCTCAGGCCAGGCGGACAGCATGGGCTGAAAGTCAGCACTCTGCATCTTCTGCAGGTCAAATTATCATCCTAGAAATGCCCCGTCGTTGAGAGACGACCTACGCGTCCTGCCATCTCGTGCTGGAGACTCTCGGAATGATGACCATAGAAAACGTAGGCCTTGTATTCCCCCGTAGAGTCTCATTGGCAGATTGGCGCTTGAGCTGCCCGCAGTTGGAGGGAGAGAGACTTTCGTTGTCGAGCGACTGTGGATACGACTAGCGCAGCCTGCACATGCCGATACCGGGATGGTCTCAACGTTGACACGATTTGCATCAGGAACTTGGCGGAGGCAAAGGAGGACGGCGTTTTCAGAGTGCAACTCGTTTGTGGCCACGCGATGGGACTTCGAGAGCATTCACATCTCGAAGGGATTTGGTGGACGCACACCATGAGTCGCTCAGCTGCATGACCTCCTCAGTCATGGAGTGGATCTCTAATTTAGGAGAAGGTTTTCATCGTGGGATTCGTTGAGACAGGCTGCGAGGCCAATTCAGACATCGAGAAGTATCCCGTAAGGCACACCGGATAACCCTGGACGCTTTGAACAGAGGCACACTACGCTTGTCGCTGGCTCCGCCCGGAACTTGGAAGAGGGATCCGTCGGGGCCGCGGAGTGGTGCACATGATATTGAGAATTTTTCGACGAGCGCGAAGGACAGCGCAGGGGGGGCGAGGGTGAGAATGTCCGAGTCACATGTGTCACCGCGTGCAGTCTCGAGATCACAGGGCTTCGTCATCTACTCGTAGGTTCGTCTCATCCACGCTGCACTGCAGGACAATCTATCGACCATGTCACTTTCACTGGTGCACAGAAATGGATGGATTTTATCACTCATGATTCGTGTGCTTCGGCGTGAGGACTCGCAACTGATGGAAGAATCTCACGAGGGGCCATTGTAACTCTGGTCCGACTAGTATCGGGACCTCCAAGATGAAAAGCTGTTTCTACTGCTTCCACCGCAACTTGGTTTCCTTCTGCACTCTGCTGTACTCCATCTCTGCTGCACTCCATCTGGATTGATGACAAGCAAATTCATGGGCCGCCCACTATGCCGTAGCTTCCTGCCGGTGCTCCAAGTTTTTCTGCGGCTCGAGGGAGGCAATGAAAGTTAGGCTCCCCGCGATGCCTGAGCTGTTGCTTTTCGGGTCGAACTGTGCTCTCTTTGTCCTCAGTAGTCGGATCAGCCCACATTCAGTCTACGGCACGCTCGATCTACTGTATGGCCTCAGTCTTGTGCAGAGGGTTGAGACACCCCATCTCACACGTTGTCGGACGCAAATACGTCATCGGCCGTGACATTAAAGAGCCTTGCTGCTGCCGCTGGCCTCCGTGGCCATCATTGGACATGAAGCCTATCTAGCATGCTCGTTCTGATTACATTATCAACCACATATTGATCGACCAGCACTAGATACCGACAGTGCGAGGTCATCGCATTCAACTGCTATAAGCGGTTATGGCCGCCTGAGCGAAGACAGTTTCTACGGCCTAGTCGGCCTCGACTGAGGCGGCGACCAACTGAAGTGGCAGTCAGATCTCGGACTCGGATCCCATGGCGCTTGAATAGCAGTCAGTCCGGGAGAGTCACAGTTCCGCAACCGCCAGCCACGATTGCGGATGTCACACGGTACGACTGGTCCACAATCTGCATGGCGGCGAATATGGTTTGTGTGTCTACGTTCGCCCGAGATCAGTAAATGCTGATGTTTACACAGGGCGTATGTGTGGTACCTGGCACGTGACAGTATCCCACATCCATCAGGCTGTGGGCGAAGATCGCGGAAAGGAGCGTGGAGCTGTTGTGCAAGCTCGTGGACACACCGACGCAGCTTTCTGCGCTGAGAGTCAAGTTGGTACCTGAGACGCACATGCTGACGAAGCCACCCTAGTTAGTTGCCAACGATTTTCAGCCCGCCGTGACATACTGTCCGTGGATCGTGTATGCATTCAGCTGGCCCCTATATCTCTTCAACCGCACGACTTACAGCTCTCGAAGAGGGATAAGAGGAAGGGTAGCCCCCGAAGAGATGGAACGAGCCTGGCTGACATTCTGGAGTCCCTGGTTGTAAGTGGTGGACTGGCAGTCGCTCGGCAGCGGTGCAGGCAGAGCCAACGCGGGAGATATAAGCAGTGGAAGTAGAGACCGGAGCATATTGGGGAGGTATCGCGTGGATCCAACTAGTGGCAATGGTATCGGAAAGCCCTTGGGTATGGACGGTGCGTGATTAGCAACGTCAGAGAGAGGTGCCGGTGAGGGACCTACTCGATTTCTTAGTGACACTAGTTGTAACTGGGTACGTGTCTTAAGTTGCGTGCACCTCACGTTCCGTCGGCATAGGGCGTGAAGTGGTACTATCCTATCCAAATCACCACAAGTATGAAAGTAGATAATCAGATAATGCTATATCTGAATTGAACTTAGCTTCAATCACACCGGCGGATGCCAAATAACAGGAGCCATAAAGCTTCATTTATAGTTGAGATATTGTAGTACAAAAAAAGTCCTACAATAGTCGAATCAATAGTTAAAATATAATGCATACCTAAAGAGACCCCGTTTAATCACCTATCAGAGCGTAAAATGTAGCTTTAGAAAAACGACATATCAGGACTCTAATTAGATTACTCATTTATGTAGCTTTTTTGCCACAGATCAAGGACACTTATTTGGAGCAGAAAAGGAGCAATATGAGGAAGGACACTTTTGACCGCAATATGACCTAAAAAGATCTCGCTAATGGTGACAATCATATCTGTGATATAAGTGCGGCTTTTTGGGCCGCACTTATATCACAGATATCACGGTCGCAAATATGTATCGCTGGATGATCTGCCGCTCGTCCGCCGCTCATCGGTGGATACAGGTCAATTTCATATATACACTAGTTGATACGATGTTTTTACTGCTATATATATACAATGGTAAGCACATGTAAGTACAAAGGTCCATTCACCCGATGTCAGCAAGGAAGTCGGCATGGACCGCGTCGAGGTTTTTGGATAGGCGCCAGGCTGCACTGTAGCCACGAATCCTGTCTTTCCAACGCGTGTTGTTGAGAAGCACAGCTCGGTTTTGCTCCATCTCGAGGAGGATGTCTTGGAACCACCGCTCGCAGTCTGGCGTCCACCAACCAACACTCAAACCAGAAGAAAAGAAGGCTCCAGCTTGTGGCCACCACGACACTCGTTTCTCTTGATGTCCGTTGCGAGCACCAGAATGCAGCTGGTCTAAGTAATGTTAGAATGATGTAACATTCTGTCACGAGGTGAAAAACTTACTCATCTCGATACTATAAACACCGAGGACCAGATCCTCCTCCTCCTTGGTCAGCGCATGATAATAGAAAGATGTGTCATTGAACTTGAGACACTCTTCAGCTATTTCGACGTCTACAAACTCCGTTCTCAGATCCAGCTCTGGGTCATCAATGATCAGGCGTGCAAGACGAGCCACAATACCGCCCGCTTGAAGCGCAAGCCGGCCACGGGGAGAATGAAGAAAGCGTGAGAGCAGTTCCCAGTATTTGCTGAGATCACCCCTGCTCGGGACATAACCTTCCGGACGGACTCCTAGGCTGCCACAGCGAAAGAGTTCTGGTCGGTATGAAGATGGCAAGAAGCTGGAAGCTTCAATGCCGATGATGAACTCAGCTCCGAGGTGGTAGAGATGCCCTATCAGCTCATTCCACGAGCTGCACCGAAGGCGGACGATGTGTAAGACTGTGGTGGCACTAAACAGAAGGATTTGGCGATCGAAAGCTCCCTCTTGAGTACGGGGCTGCAGCAGATAGCCCGTGGAACGATAGGCTTTCTCGCTCATGGGAGCTGTAACAGCCACGATGACACCGCTCTTGGACCAGATTTCGTTCGCGGTATTCTCGTCGCTGAGATCGAAGAGGCCAGAAGGCATGTCTTTGACACACTTCGCCTTGTTCAGCACATGGAGAAGTGCCCGGACTGAATTGCTGATGGGCATTGCCGTGGAAGATCCAGCGTCACCAACAAAGTGTGCGCTGACTTGCAGCCGCGCCATCTCCATCTCCGGGAAAGTGCCCGGGGTATCGCCTATGAAGCCCACGCGGTATTCGAGAATGGCCCTGGTAGGATTGTGTTCAGCCACAAATACCGGGGTGGTCTTCCATGGCTGTTCTTCGTCTGTGCCGCGGTTGTACATATCAACCTGCCCCAGGATGGCGCTGGCGTTAGACAGCGCTGACTGCACTTCGACGGAAAGCCCTGCAGGAAGTTCGCCCTCAAAGTCATCCGTGGGATCACAGTCCTGGCGGAACTCTGTAGGATGAGCGGCGGCAGGAGGGTTTCTATAGAAGCCAAAGCCGAAGTCGTCGTCGTCGTCGTCGTCGTCGGAATATGAGACAACAGCTGTTGGGTCCAGGGGCAAGCAGAGGTCCCACTCATTGCTAAACGAGTCATATATACGCTGCGACTGTGCAAAATCATCCCATTCATCCTCGACTTCATTGCGCTGCAGGAGTCGGCAAATCCAAAACTTCTCCTTTTCTTCCCAAATGAAAACTCGAGCACCCTTTTTGCCTGGTGCAGCGTGTGACAATGCGCCTCTTTCGCGTTGCAAGCGCGACTGCTGCTGTTGTGGCGTTTCCGCCGCAAGCCGGCGCTTGTTTCGAACAGTCCGACGCGCAAAGAAGTCCTTGTAGTCTTCCCCTGGTTTCTGCCCACTGTGAGGGTCAACAGGCGGGAACTGCCGCTGAGGGGAATCCAGAGTCTCATAGTATTCGGGGTTGGGAATAGTCCCGAATTGCCGCATATTCCATGGAACAAAAACATACTCCTTACTGGCAACTTCAACCAGAGGGAGCTCATTCAACACGCGGATTGTGTCTTGAACGCTTAGATGAATCTTCCGCATGGATGGGAAGGCTTCCACATGCGTGGCTCGATTCACAGCTTCATTCCCCTGGCCGAGGAAGAAATAGAGGGGGAGATGGATAGAAACGGTGTCATTGACAAGGAGAGAGAAGAGCCAGTCAAGCTCATGCGGATTCTCCAGTGTAAAATCCAGGATCATTCCCGCAGGATTACGGAGAAGACGTTCCACGACGGCCTCCAGCGAATCCATCAGTCGGTGCGGCATGTGAAGCGCTTCCATAACGGTGCTGCGCCAACTGGCTCGTTCAACGGATCCGTCAAGGGCCAAAAAAAAGATAGCGATCGCGCCTAGTAGTGGCACAAACGCATCTCGAGAGCGAGCAACAGCATTGGCAAGCTCTTCTTCCGTCGCGAAGGAATCCGAATAGCCAAAAGTTATAGGCCGTGCTTGCATCGTTCCGCAATTCGGAGCAGGGGAAATTTGGCCAACGCGCCATCGAAGGGTGACTGCCACGCGATTCAAGAATCCTTCCAGATTCGCCCACCGCTCCACAACGGTCCACGACATAGCCCAGCCGAGACCAGTCTCCATCTGCTTTTTTACCGTAGGTAATGAACGCAGGGATATGTCCAGAACACCGACGAGGTCCCCGTCGAAAATGGGATATCGCGGGCCACAGGCAAGGAAGACCCGTCGGACGCTCATCCACGAGGTTGCGTGCAGCGCAGGACGGTAGTGATGCCTAGATTCGGGGCGCGGGATCCGAAGCAAAGCGTTTCGATCGGCATTGAAGACGACGAATACACCTAGTTCGTTGCGGACGACGCCGTGGAAATGAGATGCAGCCTTTTCTGGGTCAGTTCAGAGAACGCGTTTAGGTTTAAGAACTGACAGTAAGCGTTTTCCTCTCGAAATCGGCCAGATGTGCGAGGGGGACAAGGTAGTGCGGTGCACCACCACCGAGTTCGGCCGTACTGAGTTCGTCTGGGCTGAGTCCCGACGGGTTGAGTGGGACAGAACTTGAAGGGCCGCGCGGCAAACGCGTCGGCCGTCCTCCTCGGGGACCCGGCGGCAAACGCCCGAGTCCCCTTTTCCCTCTCTGCCCGCCTCCGCCTCGCTGTACGCCGTGGTTCATGGGAGTGTAGCGTTGCAGGTGGTGAAGAGTCACACAAGATGAGTCACGTGCTTGATGACTTGATCATCAAATTCACAACGTCATCTTTCTCACTTGCTACTCACCAACCTCCGACGAGCTACTAGGCGTTTGCCGCCAGTAGTTCCGAAGCGCAGCGGTTGAAGCTGATTGATGCTAAACGTATATTCACCTGCTCACTTGCTGCGCCACTCGCATACTCAAAAGATCGATGATGCCCTGCAAGCGTTTGCCCCAAGAGCCTTACATCGTGTCCGATTTTGCCAAGCTGAAGTGTGGCGTAAGAAGCAAGGTGTGGTAGAAGTAGTCGACGAGTTCAGAGATGCTGCGGCTCGCGGAGAATGCGCCGTGGCCACACTGGTACGCATTGACCGTCAGCACTTTTGAGCACCTGCAAAATTCTGCTTACCTCGTGACCGATAACCCAGATATCGGTGAATGCAAGGCCCCGGAGCCACCAGCTGAAGGGCTGAGTTGGCAACGCAGCGGCAGCGCGCGTTCGGGAGGAGAGATACTGACTAGGTCAACCACGCAGCTCCGTTCGACTTGAAGGTCGCACCGATGTGCATCGCAAGGTAGAAGAGAGCGCCAGAAATTAGGAGATCGCGAAGGAGGTATGAGAAGGCTTGCGCTCAAAGTACTTGGCCGAGATGTGGTCGCGGACTGCATACACCTCGAAACACATCGAATTTCCAAGTTTAAACCGCGTTAAACCGCGAAGCCACCGTCTCTGATACCAGAATATAACCTAGGTACATATATGTACTGTCTACATATGAATGAACTACAATTTCCTCCGCTTGCCAGACCGCGATCAGGTGATTAGCACGTGATCGAATGACAACTTCAAGACTTGGACAGATCGGGAAAGAGTGGCGGGATGATACAATAGACGTTTTTTTGCCGAAACTCACAAGGTTTGTCAAGAGGATGATATATAAAATCAAATACAACTTGGACAGACTACACTTTGGTACATACTGTATGGTGGCATTGTAGATATGCAATACAATACACAACGAAAAAAAATTCATGCATCCAATGTTCCGCTCCTTCTTCCGAAGATTTGACCGACGGCTGTGCGCTCCTTTTCTTTGGCCTTCACTCGCCCCTCCTTGATACGTTCGATCCCGCTTTGGATACTTTTAATATGCACATGGACAGGAATCCGCGATTCCGTCAGCTCTGGAGCAGCAACTCGTTCCCTCAGATTCTCAATGTCCTCACTCATCTGCGTCAATGTTTGTAGTGCGGATATAACATGCGCCAGAGCCTGAATGCGATACTGGCCAAGGCCCTTCAAGATCTCAAGATGATGAGCGTAACCCCTCAGTTTTTTGCGATTGCCTCCGAGGATGGTCCATAGTTCACCAAGGAGCTCGGATTTAGCAGCAGACAGAGACACATCTTCTCTCATGACAATCTCGTGCAGGACGGACAACTGCTCCTCGAGACTGTACAAGTTTTGCATGTTGACTTCGAATTCGAGCACGAGACGCTGAAGGATAGAAGAAAGGTAGTTCATGGAATCTTCAAACGTCTCAAGAAGGATCCCGGCGTCGGTTTTCCTCCAGGGAACTAATCGGTCCAGCAGTGACGGTGCGGCAGCTGCTTGAATGCTGTGCAGAGCATAATCATTCACCGCGGTGATACTAAGACTTGAGTTAGACAACACAATAAGGAAGAAGAGGTAGATGTACCCACCCGTCAACTGCTCCAGCCACCTTAGCATTGAGCTTATTCAAGGATCGACCCGCCTTCCGAGCGTCATCCACAAATGATCGGAGCGCATTGCTCAACGACTCGCGACTCTTCAGCTCACTCACCCCAACCAACGTCACCAGGTCTGTCGTTGCAATTTCAGCCTTCTTGATCTGCAGAGCCAGCGCAGATCCTGAGCTTGATTCATCCAGCAGCTGCTCGATTGCCGCAGTCTGCATGTTAACCAACGACGGAAAGTCGGCCCATTTGGGAAGCCCTTGTCCAAGTGACACAGAGACTGGAGGAACACAAAACGAGGAGCTGCTGATTCCTGGGACAAAGCACATAGGACTGATCATAGCCCTGATGGTGTGCGACATCAAGCCGCATAGAAATGCGACTATCCATAGAAAAAGAAGCGTAGACAAAGGGATGCGAAGGAGTAAGATGACGCGTTTGGAGACGTCCAGGAAGTACCAGGAGGCAAATACCCCGCCGTTGATTACATGCTGCTTTGTGACAAAAGGTGAAGGAGACAAGGTCTGAGTGGCGGGAGAATCTCTGCTTGTTTGTCCGGGTGGGGCACCATGTGTGTTTTCACGTCTGCGAATGGGCGCTGTCGGAGTCCCACGTTTTGAATTCATTCCGGCCTGTTTCGGATTCCATCCATAACCAGAGTCGTCCTGGAGACGTGTTTCGATGCGGTGGCCATCGTCGTCACTGGACGGGACATTCGGGAAGAGATTGGAAGAACCGCGCGGCAAACACGTCGGTTCCGTTCCTGTGGGACCCGGCGGCAAACGCCTGAGTCCCTGTTGCTCATCTCTTTGAGCCATGATGGGAGAAAGAACGACTGTAAGATCAAAGATCAGCTTCGTGATCGTGAGAGATCAGCACGTGGCTGATCGGTAAGATGAATTCCTCATCGGCTCGCGCTTTCACCTAAGCCATCTCGAGTTGAGCTGCCAGGCGTGTGCCGCCGACAGCTCTATTGCTCGAGCGATGTCCTTGCACACCTATGAGCCACCACCGACATCGAATATCCTATCATCGCTTTTGCCGATCCCGCCATCTGGCGTCCGCCGCCGATCGACTAAGGAAATTTGAAGAACCGTGCGTGAAACGCGTTGGCTGAGAGGGGATACGGGTTGGTGTCGACGGCAAACGTCTCACACCATGGTGGCTAAGGGCAAGAAGCGACAGTCTGACACTGGCAATCGGTGATCGCCCACACATTGATGATCAATCATTTCTTCTTGACTTGGTCCTGACCACCACCATCGCAGACGTTTGTCGTCGCGATGACTGGAGCAAGTACACCATTCATCTCGGACGTTTGCCGTTGAGATGAATACCGTTTTCGAATCCCAAAAACTTGTATTACTCGCCTGCCCATTGGCCAGACGATCCACCATTGTTACGTTCTCGCTAGTGAAGACTACGTTCATATACACCTACTATGCCATCCTACTAGTCGCTGCAACGAACAAAGCGAATACCTTCTTGGAAATCTTCAACTCCTTCAACTCCAATAAGGAAAGCGAGGCCATCCACTCAGAGTTGTACAAGCATGCCGGGAGCCCCTTAGGCGCATATCTCTTGCCTGGCGTCTCGACTCGTACACGAGGGGCCGGCTTGGTGCCGTTATGGAGAGCCTGGAAGCGACTAGTCTGCTTGTCGATGATGCTCATGTAGTCCACAATGAGTGGTTCGCGCCAGACGCAAAGTTTGACGATGTACTTTCTGACCTTGGCGCCATTGTCGAGCGAATTGAATTCTTCCTCCTCGGACATTCCGCCCGCCCCAAGGAGATCCAGTATCTCCAGCAATCTCTCCCATGTTGCAAGATCGTCCGCACCTTCGGACTCCTTCAGTGCGATTGTTGCTGTCACTGTGTTGCGGCGATGGTCGAATTTCTGGTGGAAAGGTTTAGAGAATCGTAAATCGTCGCCTGAACTCGAACACGCACCATGTGCTGACCATTGACGGTTCGGGACGAGACTCGTCGATTGAATAAGACGATCTTGCCACGAGCAACCGCTTCTGCCTCCGTCTCCACACGTCCCTTCTCCTCATCCCACTTGGGCTGAAATTGCTTCCAGTCCGCGCGGTAGCGCACGAGCTGTTCTGCCAGGATGTATCCAAGGTACTCTGGCGATATGAGTTCTTTCTGGATATATCGCATATTGAGCGAGTCCTCCCTAACAACGTCAGCAACGAGTCTCTCCATTACCGCAGCATTCCATGCGGAGGACTTGTAGTCCACGCCGAAGTCAAACTGATATCTCTGGAATGCGGCTTCATCATCCTGAGCGAATTCTTCGACTTCTTCTTCCGTAGCGGGGATATGGAAGATAAAATCTGTCGCTTGTTTGACTCCGAATCTGGCGTAAGTCATTTCGCGCATCAGAGCCTTGAAGTGGTAAGTCTCTTGCGCTCTCCTATGTGATTTCACTCACATGTGCCTTGTTCACTAGCTCCTGTGTCTCTGGCTCAACCGCCGCTTTTGCATCGGATTTCCGACTGGCTTTGCGACGCTGGGTGGATTTCCCCGGACTCACGTTGATATGGGCGGTCTCCCCATTCATCAGCTTCATCGCCGTCACAAATTTGGCCAGCAAGTCGGGATCCACATCCAATTTCGCTGCGAAATCCTCCATAACGGGATTGCGGGGCGCGTCCAATGACGGACCCGGGAGTGGAGCTGGATCCATTGCAAGATCCAGCAAATTGGGCCTGCCGGGCGGGAAGAACTCCTTGCTGACGCGACCACCTCGTTTTGCTTGCCCGACTTGGGTCTTGGCACGCCCGTTCTGCTTGATCTGCAGGCGCAGACTCTCCACCTCGTCTTCTCGCTCCTGAACCTCAGCAATAAGCTGGTTAACTTGGTGGTCTCGCGCGCGCTGTATCATGGTCACATTCCACGCAGTTCACATTCAAGATCTTCTCACCAGAGTCTCTTGCAACCGAAGTGCTTCGGCTGATGCCTCCGCCACCTGGTTCTGTGCAGTAGCAACACGGTTCACCTGTCTCATATACACATCAATAATAACCTTTGCTGCCACAGAACGTACCAAGGAATCGACTTGCTCTTGGCCACGTGCCAATTGAGATTGGAAGTTTCCACCATCGTGCGCCATCTGCGAAATCAATGTCCGTCCCTGCTCAATCAGCCTGTGCAATCGGGCCACTTCCTCTTGACGATCGCGCATCACGTTGAGAGCATTGTCGAGCTGATTGCGAAGGTCCGTGTTCTCAGCAAGAACGGCGCGGCGCTGTTGTCTTGCGTCCGAAGCCACTTGCTTGTGAAATTCTTCGTTTTGGCGGGCCTGTGCACATAAGTCCTTGGTGTTTAAGAAGCTCTGAAGAAACAAACGTACCTTGTCCAATCTCTCTTGGTCTGGGCCAGGTGCGGCTGCCCGCTTGTGTTTGTTGGATCCCTGTTCATCCTGATTCAAGTAGATGCGAATGCGCTGCGCCGAGGTTCATCAGCATTTACAGGCACCGGAAGTCATATCATTGCACACAGGAGCAGGGGTGTAAGGCTCTTGACCCATTGAATCATCCTTGTCGTTCTGCATGGCTATTCCCGTTGCAAATGCGTGAAACAGGAAGGGGGGCGTGGTAAGGTATGTAGCGCCAACGGTAGAGCAGCAATATAAAGGTAGCCAGACTCAAGAACGTTTTGTGTTCATTATGTATTATCTTACATGTGCCGCCCACGGCATGTAACCGAAAACAAGGATTGCTCTAGAGGATTAGGTACAAACAGCTATTGTGCTTACTTAATCTTGGGGTACAAGGTATTACTATTGTACTTATATACTTATCTGGAATAAAAGAACAATGAACCAGTGGAATCCTAAAAGCAACAGACCAACGATCGTTATCAGCTCCGTAGTCTAATCTTCTAGATAGCACGTTGTCCTAGCGATCCGACGATCAGCGATCAGCGATCAGCGATCGGCGATCAGCGATCGGCGATCAGCGATCGGCGATCCACGGATCACTCATCCATTTTCTTTTGCAAACTGTAGGAGACAGCAAGAGACTAAAATGCATGCAGATAGGGGTTGGAGATACATGCAGTACTAGTATGTAACTATCAAGCGCTCACTGTACAAGTTCAATAGAGGAAGAGACTGAAGATCAAGAACTCACTTTCCGTGTCCGCAGGTTTCTTTTGACTGTATCAAGAACAACCTTCTCAGCGACTCGACTTTGCTTGGCGGCCGAGTTTTTGCAAACTCGAATAAGAATCTTTTCAAGTGGCCACAGCCCAACGAACTTGTTGACCGCGGGAAACGCCTGTTGAATCTAGATGGAATTAGTCTCCGACTTGAATCATTTGTAACAAGCGAACCTCAGAAACGATTTGGGCCTTGATACCTGGATCCTGTTCCTTCAAAGACAAGGAGGGATTGAACTTGTGACTGCAGAGAGTCTCGACAGCAGTCTGCAGCGAGGAACTAAGAATCATAGTCATTTAGAGGAGAGACACCGTACCTGGAATGCGGTGATATACTCATTGCTCCAGCCAGTCATAAGTGGGAAATCAGCGTCTGTGACATGAGACGGACCACCAGAAGGGATCATGAGCGAGATCGTCATATTCTCATCGAAATCGTCCATCCCATCCGGCTCCGGTTCGCTCATGACAGCGATACCAAGTCCACTCGGTTTTGAGGACTGCGTTACCACGGGCATCAACACCTGCTTCAGCGACGAATTGCAGGATGGCGATTGAGACGACGGAGGGTGTATCGCTTCTGTGCTAGAATCGATGCTGGATGAGCTGACGAAGGTGACTGCCTTCTTTGGATGGGACTTCAGCGGCCGTTTTCTGATATTCTTTTCACTGAACGCGAGTGGAGGCCCGCTGTTCAAGTCGCTGTGAAGGAGGGGCGCAGAGATGGTCGGCGGGTTGATGTCGGTATGAGCGAGCAACAGAACGACAGGCGGAGGAGGGGGTGACGGTTGAGGACAAAAGGCCATTACGAGAAAGAGGCAAGGGACGCTGTCCCAAGTGGCCACGCTGTGGGCAGGAAGCTTGGCGATTTATGTATGTAACTCCACAGAGAACAAAGAACAAAGGCTGGAAAGATTATTCGATTACGTGTACAGATAAAGCTAGTCCATGCACGTTTCATTCTTTGTTTAAAGTTCCTATTGTCTATAGCACCATAAAGCTGCGAGGCGTGTATCGAAACGAGTGTCCTCTACATCTACGAAATGCGCGCGAAGTCAGACTATCGTCTGCAGTGCAAGCTCTCCGGCGAAACTGGCGCCATTCTTGCCCTGGAAGCCCGGGATGATGGCAAATATCTTGCGAGTGGCGGTAAGCTCCAGAAATCGTTGGGTGGTTCGCGAAGGTGACTAGTCACAGGGTTGAATGCGAACGGACCCAAAGTGTGGGACTTGAAGGATATGCGTCAAGTCGAGGTTGTGACGGTGGCTTCTGATCTCCGCGGCGCGACCACGAAACTCCAATGGATCAAGCGTGAGGACGACATCTGCGAGGCCTTGATCTACGGTACACAGAACGGCTTCTTGGTGTGCTGCCGGTTGGACAACCCAGTTTGTTTGCTCATCAATTGACGGTCTGGCTATCGCGATTGACATGATACTAGGGCAATGCAGAACCTCGTTTCCAAGAGATATGGAACCGCCAGATGAACGCCCCGTGTGAGGTGACGGGACTTGCATTCGATTCGGCTACAAACCGCTTAGCCGCATCTCATCGTGGAGGCACCCTCCAAGTGTTCACACTGAACTCGGCGATGGCTGAGAACGAGGTGTTCTCCGTCGTAATCCGGCACTGCGTTCCCGCAGCTTTGGCATTTGGGGCGATGAGTGGGAATGAACGAGAACTTCTGGTATTTGGACTCTATTGCGGACTTGTGTAAGTGCATTCACGACCACGAAGAAAAAGAAGACTTACCAATTCTTCCAAGATACACCGTCCGTGGGATGAACGTGTGCTCGTCGGATGCCGCGTGGAACCTTGGATGCCGCATGTACGTGTGGCATTCATGTTCTCTGGTTCAGATGCTGAAGAGGTCCGAAGCTCGAATGTGGATATCGACCAGACAAACGGTATCCTGTGCGTGAGCGATCCGTCCAGCGGCGTCCATCTGTATCGCCTCACCGGACGGGAGCTGGTGAAAAGCTTCCTCATACCCGTCAACAAGACACGGCGAATTCGCCAAGTGGCGTTGCTCGACTCAAACCGCGCCGTTGTCAGCGGGAGCGACCATGGGGTTGTATACGTGTACAACCGCCGGGACAACTTGTTGACGAAACTGCAAGTCGACCCGAACGCGTGGATGCAGACAATTGCAGTGCGTACAAGTAAATTTGAACGGTTTCTACCGTAGTTATCAAGGCCTTCAGACCGCGGATGTCGCAGGGGTCCCTACAATCTTCACGGCCAAATCGGCTGAAGTGAGCGGGAAGAGCGACATCTTCGTGTACCGTAAAACGCTGATAACTCCCAACTTCATGGCAAGACTGGGAAGTTCATTGAAGTGGTTGGGGTGGCTCATGATCATAATGGCAGCAGTAGCATTCGGATACGAGAAGATTGTGGGTACCATCGCTTGGCCGAAGTCTCTTTTAGAGTAGTGGGTAGATAGCGACAAATATGTTCTTTGAGAGACATAAAGTGTGTTCATCTCGACGGCAAACGTCTGGGATGAAGTGTGTCCTCGCTCCATCGCGACGGCAAACGTCTGCGATGGTGGTTAAAGGACAAGACGCAGAGATCATCTGTCATCGGCAATCACCAATCATGTGATCGTGTGAGACTTGATCTCATCACTTCTGCCACCAACTCCAACTCAAGTCCCACCACCGTCTAGCACAGTGTCCGACGTTTGCCGTCGACACAAATTGTGCTCGAAGCCGTTGCTCTGCCAGACGTTTGCCGTTGGCAGAGTGTATTCGTCAGACGTTTGCCGTCGTCAAATGCCAGCTTCATCGCACTACACCTGCGAGCGTTGCCCGCTAGCGAACTTCTGCAATCACAGAGTCCCAAAGCTACAACGAATATCTCACCAATTAGAAATCTCCAAGTCTCAGAATCCCTCCGGAACTCAGACTGGGCGCGTGGTCACATCGAGGATCGAGACTGCCGGTCCTATTGCACCAATCCACGAAGACGACGTGTCGATCCATGTCTCTGACGAAGAAGCCCTATCTGCGGAGGCGACAGCAGATGCTTCTACGCTAGAAATGGAGAGGCTTGCCAGTCTCCTCACTGGTTTGGTCATTCTGGATGAGGGCGAAGAGTCCCATCGTGAAATGCAATCCAAGCTCTTTAGCTCTCGGGACGACTTTCAATCTAGTATATCCGAAGTACCAATAGAATTCATGCCCATCTCCCTTAAACAAGTTCTCGGCGGCGTTGAAGCTGTGCTTCAGGCCCCGACTCTTCCGCTACGGCCGGCGACAATGAAATCCCAAGAGGAAAATATAACTCTCCTACAAGAGATGCTGAAACGCATTCGTGCGGCGCATGCCGAACTAGACCTGCAACGCGCTTTCGATGCAAGTCCCGCCACTGTTGACGTGCTGGTCAACACTGTCCATTCTGCGGGTCTCCTCGTTATTGAGGCTGGCCGTCTTCTCTCAAGTCTCAAGCCCTCGGACAAAACACGCCCACCGAAACGGCCGAGGGTCAGAACCAGAGCAGATGAAAAGATCGCTACTTTGTCCGAGAGTCTACAAGCAGAGGCTACGACCCTCAACTCGCTCATTGATATCATAGGCCCGCTTCTTCCTCCACCGACGCATGTGGTCGAGCACAATTCTGGTATGTGTTTTATCTCGGTGTATCCTACAATTCGCTCACATACATTCTTCCCCAGATCATCATTTTGAAAATCCCATTGCAAAATACGATGTCATTACTCAACTTTCCATCCTTCTCGCCCTCATCTGCCATGTTATCATTGGCATCAGCAGCAACCCCGTAAACCTCATCCTCGCATTCGTCAATGCGATCATACAAGCATCGATGGCACTCTGTGCGCGCGATGGGCGAGCAAAACCTGTACAGGAGTATGTACTCAAACAACTCCCTACATCCTTGGATTCTGCGCTTCGCAGGTTCAAGATTGATCCTACAACCACCATCTACGCGACTTGCCCGTCCTGCCATTACACACACGCGCCACTGGAGGACCGAGTCAACGGAGTGGCCTCGTACCCTGAGATCTGTCAAGGCTACGTATATCCTCGACAAGGAGCGCGCCATGCCTGCAGGACCCAGATTCTTGAACGTCGCCAAGGAAAGCTCAGACCCATCCGGCCGTATGTCTTCACTTCTGTGATCGATTATATCGCTGCTACGCTCTCCGACACCGGGATAGAAAGGATGTGCGAGAAGGCTTGTGATGATGCTCTGGCAGCAGTGCGCGCAGCCCTTTCAAAGAACCCCGAGGCGTCTGTGACAGAAGAACGTGTCAATGCCGTCTTTGAGGCGGCGTTTATGCGCAGCTTCGAAGGCCCCGTTCCCAGCAAACTGTTCATCGAAAGAGAAGGTTGCTTGAGGCTCGCCTTCCAAGTCATGCTTGACTTCTTCAATCCCAACGGGACAAGGAAGCGGGGAAATCACAATTCAATCGGGATCCTTGCCATTGTCAACCTGAACCTGGACGAGAACATCCGTTATCGTCCAGAAAACATGTGGCTCAGTATTATACTCGGTCCCAATGAGCCCAATCATGATCAAATCGACAACTATATCCGCCCACTCATGGACGTGTTTGTTGTCGGTTGGGAGCAAGGATTCCGACTATCTCGCACTGCTCTGCACCCATCTGGCCGCGATTTGAACCTCGCACTCGTTATTGACGTCAACGACTTACCTGCGACGCGAAAGATGCAAGGCATGGCCGCCCCCACTTCAAATCACTATTGCTCAATCTGTGATTGCTATGGTGTTCATACCATGTACAATACAGAATATCATGCTTGGAATCGACGTGATATCACAGTCCTGCGTGCTCAGGCCTTTGCATGGCGAGATGCGCCAAGTCAGGCGGTTAGAGACGCCATCTTCTCTCAGTATGGTGTTCGTTGGTCTGAGTTTTGGCGTTTACCGTACTGGGACCCCACCCGCATGGCTGTCGTAGATTCAATGCATTGCATCTTTGAAGGACTTGTACATTATCACTGCCGTCGAGTGCTGCGAATTGATACCAAGTTGGCCAAGCGCAAGGAGACAATGGGCGCGGCTTTCGAGCATGCTTGGCTGGAGTATGACGCTGCGACATGCCATCCGGCTTGCTTATTGCGGACCGAAGTGAGAGAATTGCCCATGATCCGCGCCATACAACAAAAGCTCGTACAACCCTTGCTTGCCAATGAAGATGAAGTAGACGAGGATGTAGAGCCTGTCGATGACAACATCGAAATGGTCGACGCTTCCGATCCTCGTTTTGTGCCGGCGATCAGCATTGATGAGTTGCGCCAGCAGCTCATGAGGACCAATCTCCAGCCACTTCGCTGGGTCGTGTTCTCGCTTGGGCTCAATACGGACCCAAGTTGTATCATATCGAAGAAGGCCTGCTGTGATCAACTACTCTCTTGGGTGTGTATCTCTCTGTTTGTTCCATGAGCCGGTATTCACGTCTTTTTAGCGCCGCACAAAGCCGCTCACAAGCGATACATTCATCCCCCGGTCGATCAACCTTGCCAATATTCATTTCATCCAACGCGTCATCAAGCAGACTACTACTCCGGCTTGGGTGGATTCAGTGCCTTCGAATTATGGTGATAGTCATGCGGGGACAATCAAGGCAGCTGAATGGCGCATATTGGCAACGATATATCTCCCCATTGCTCTTGTCATCCTCTGGGGCGACCATGATCCCTCAGAGCAATCAACACGCATGCTCCAGATGCTGGATCATACAATGGCGCTGTTCTCGGCGGTCATTTTAGTCAGTCGATACACAATGACCCCTTTGCGGGCTTCCAAATATCGTTCTCTTCTGAAGCAATGGGTAGATGGTCTCCCAACCAATCATCCCCATACTCAGTCTCATGCCATGCGGCCAAACGTCCACATGGCTTTTCACATCTACGACTTTCTCATACTCTTTGGTCCCATTATCTCCTGGTGGACATTCCCTTTCGAACGCGTAATTGGATTCCTCCAGAAGATCAATACCAACGATCATATCGGCGGAGAACTTGAAGCCACTCTGTCCAAATCCTTTATGCGTGGAGCAAGCATTCGGCGATGGTTGCGACGACCCGACTGCCCCCCCGTTTTCATTGAGCTGAAAGTTCTGTTTGATAAAACCTTTCCATCTTACAATCTACCCGCTGATTCGCCACCACTTGCCAAGGCTGGAGAACGCGCACACTACAAACGAAGTGGTACCAACTTCTCTCGAGCCAGCACGCACTTGGGTAACAGTCTTGTCATGTATTACCCTCCCCATTCGCGCGAGATGATTGCCGGAAGTATTGAGAAGATCGTTGAGCACGGAGCAGATGTTGTATTTCACATCAGACGGCAGGCTCCGCTAGCCCAGGGGATGCGGGATCCGTTCTCTCGATACAGACCGTTCTTTCCAGCCCGTACATACTCATCCTCCATGTCCAATGTTGTTGACACTGTACCGATAGATGATGTAGTATCTCACTGTGCCCGATTCCATTTCTCTGATGATCGTTGTGTAATTCTAAACATGTCTGTAAGTTAGCTATTCTTGACAAAGTGTTATCTTGGAATGGATGAGCGGCGGACGAGCGGCAGATCATCCAGCGATACATATTTGCGACCGTGATATCTGTGATATAAGTGCGGCCCAAAAAGCCGCACTTATATCACAGATATGATTGTCACCATTAGCGAGATCTTTTTAGGTCATATTGCGGTCAAAAGTGTCCTTCCTCATATTGCTCCTTTTCTGCTCCAAATAAGTGTCCTTGATCTGTGGCAAAAAAGCTACATAAATGAGTAATCTAATTAGAGTCCTGATATGTCGTTTTTCTAAAGCTACATTTTACGCTCTGATAGGTGATTAAACGGGGTCTCTTTAGGTATGCATTATATTTTAACTATTGATTCGACTATTGTAGGACTTTTTTTGTACTACAATATCTCAACTATAAATGAAGCTTTATGGCTCCTGTTATTTGGCATCCGCCGGTGTGAATATGCGCGCACTTCTTTCTTGATAACCTGCCAGCCTAGCTCCGTTCCCGAAGGATGAGGACTCGATCGAGACGCCATATACTCCCCCAAGGAGTATGGGCTGGGACCACACAACCGAGTCTCAACCAAACGGCGGAAGGTGGCTCATGCTCCTCGAATTTTGGATTGTGCCTTCCGAGCAACTCACTCTGCTTTGAAGTCATCTCACACTACGTCATTGCCTCCTTGTCGCATAACATTTTTTCTCGTGCTAAACGATGTGATTCTGCCCAGGAGAGAGCCATCAGGGTCGGCATGTCTGGTTGTTGCCTGGCGTAGAAGGCATGCTGCATGTGGATGCAGAGATTCTCCAGACGAGTCGCTTGATGGCAGTGAACCAATCTGATGCCTCCACTGTCTTCTTCCACAAGCATATGCGAGCCATAATAGGTGGCTCAAATTCGCGGGCGTCATGTGCAATAGCTAGCGTAGAGAGTGCGATATTTGATGACTGAGGCAATTTTTTGACGGGATAAGTGCGCTGGAATGATCCTGAGAGGGTGACGATTCAGCTCCTTTGCGCGAGGAAGACAGGTTGAAGAGGCACCGAGTTTGGTCATGTTGAGGATTACCATTTTGGCAGTTCGAACGCTTTGCTTTGCTCTCCCAACGTGCACCGCTCCCCGGTGCCCTGCTGGGTGCTCAGTGCCTAATAAGCACGGAAATCGCTTCATCCGAATTGACCACCGTTTGATACCGACGTGCTTTTTGCTGCCGGCCGATTTTGTCTTGCATTTCCGGGGATTGAGTGTGACCTGCTCTTATCCATAAAGACGCCACTGCACCTCTTGTCTTGGGTATTCGTATCTCATTCGATTCACATAATTCAAAATGAAAAATAAAGTGATTGTAGCATATTTCAATTTTTAATCATCCACCTTCCTTCCGTTGTTACTCCACAACTTCACTCGAGAGCAACTCCCCGGACACATAAGCCAGGGGGCTACTAGATCGCTCAATGTGATTGGCAGTTTGCTTCGCTCTGGTCTTTGTCGCGCTATTCGTTGCACTCGTTGAGATTGGAGAAATGACACGGAGACTACAGGGGCTGCAAGGGTAAGAGTTGACGCTCGAATGGAATAGAAATCATCTCGGTTTCGACACAAAGGGCCTCAGAAATCAACCAGAGAGATAGACAAGGCTCAAGGTCATCGACACACAGATGTGAGTCGGGCCAAGACTAGACATGAGCATAAACTCAAGCGTGTGGGAAGGAGTCGGTTGTTTAAGTTCCGAATGTTGGATGCTCTTTGCTGCGGACTATTCCTGACATCCGCCATTCAAGACGTCCGACAAAGGGAGCCAAAGAACAATGAGCGCCCGATCGAGCCAAGCCTGTCGACCATGATTCTTTGTCATCAGCAGTTGGCATCATGATCGTATTGGATCCCTTCCCTTGTCACCGCTTTTCACCCATCTCCTCGACGACCACTCATTTCGTCGCCTCCCCCGGTCATCTCCATCTTCATCTTCATCCTCTCCACCTCTTTTTTTCTTCTATCCAATCTCTCAACGATGTCCAACCCATTCGCTGACGGCCCACATGCGATCCCGGGTGAACACCCCCCGATATATACCAACGTCAACATGCACCGCAGCGCGAGTGCCACGAGCTCAACGAGCAGTTTCGGCGGTCGGGGCGGGTACCCGAGCGTCTCTCGTGACGAGCTCATTACCTCGGAGAAACGGTCCTCGGCAGGTTCTGGGTCTGGTTCTGTTAGAGATGCCGAGAAGGTGTGTGTGCCTGTGTGGGTACGGACGATCGAGGCTGACGATATCAGTACAACATGTCTGCAGACCCTGCAGTATGGGGCGTCGACTTGACGCGCCCAGAAATTGACGACGCCCTGCACGAGCCCGAGGCCAAGTCCGCTGACGGCGCTAAGAGCGGGATCTTCACGGGGCGAGGGGTGCGCAACATAGGGTGTTTGGCGTTGATCGTCCTGCTCATTGTCGGTGTCTTGTGTGTAACGTATCTTTCTTCCGTCACTTCCCGCTAAATGCCAATTACTAGCGTGGCTTTCCCGGTGGTGACGCACTTCAGGAACCAGGCCAAGTCCAACGCAGCGGCTGCAGCTGCCAACGGCGGCGTCAATAATGCGCAGTTGCAGAACATCAGCAACGTCAGGCTCATCGACGTTCACACCCCCAAGGTGCGCGCGCGCATATGCGCGGCAGTTGGCTCGATTGTCAACTGACGCTGCCATGCAGGAAGCGTACACGATCAACGGTTACCACGACAGCACCCAGCCTATGAAACTTGTCTTTAGTGACGAATTCGAGGTCGAGGGGCGGAGTTTCTATCCCGGTGACGATCCATACTGGTGCGTTTGCCTCCCCGTCCTGGAATCTCGCGCTGACGTCATATCTATAGGGAAGCGGCGGATCTGTACTATTGGTCCACAAACGATCTGGAATGGTACGACCCGAAGCAGATCACGACCAAGAATGGCGCGCTTGAGATTACGCTCGACCAGGTCGCCGACCCGACTACCAATCATAACCTGAACTACACCAGTGGAATGATGACTACATGGAACAAGGTACCACGATTTGGTCCGGTCATCAACTTCGTCGTGCTTACCACAGCGTCGCTGCACAGTTCTGCTTCACCGGTGGTCTCATCCTCGCATCCGTTACCTTGCCTGGAACGAACGACATATCCGGTCTCTGGCCCGCCGTTTGGACCATGGGCAACCTCGGACGCGCTGGATACGGCGCCACGCTTGATGGAATGGTTCGTTGATCAACCTCCTCACTCTCTGATGCTGAGCGCTTCTATCTAGTGGCCATACAGCTACGACTCATGCGACGTCGGAACACTTCCCAACCAGACCGCGAATGGAGCACCGATCGCGGCAACAGACTCTGGCGCCAACAATGGTCCGTTGTCGTTCTTGCCTGGTCAGCGACTGTCGCGTTGTACCTGCAAAGGCGAGTCCCATCCGGGTCCCCTACACAGCGATGGCACTTTTGTTGGGCGTTCGGCTCCCGAAATCGATATCTTCGAAGCTCAGATTAGTGGCAGCAATGGCAACAACTTTGGTCAGGTCTCGCAATCGGCGCAATGGGCGGTGAGTTCCACTTGCAGCTTCTTGCTGCTCAGCTGAAACATCTTCGATAGCCGTTCGACTCGGGATACAGCTGGGACAACTCGACGACAAACTTGATCATCCCGAATCCTGCTATCTCGCAGCAGAACTCATTCAATGGCAATCTCTTCCAGGAGGCTTCGTCCGTTGTGTCAAACACCAATCAGAGCTGCTACGAGCTGCTCGACGGGTGCTTCGCGATCAACGGGTTCGAGTATGTCCCGGGGTACGACAACGCGGTGTGTGACGTGCAGTGCGCTTGGCGTCGGACGGGGACTGATTGCCCGTAGTACATCACCTGGATTAGCAACAACCAAGTTTCGTGGACCTTGAACGCCGGTGCTGTTGGTCCCAACGCCCAGACGCAAGTCTCCGCTCGCCCAATCACAGATGAGCCTTTGGTGACGTGTTTTGTGTTGATCAAACCGCACGCGTGCTGACGAGCGGTTCGTTGTGCAGTACATTCTCATGAACCTCGCGATCTCACACAACTTTGCGTTCATCGACCCGAAGCTGAAGTTCCCCGCCAAGATGCGGGTCGACTGGGTCCGTGTTTACCAGCACCCGGATAAAATCAATATCGGATGTGATCCAAAAGACCGGCCGACACAGTCGTATATCAACACGTGCGTGCACCTTGCCTTATGTCTGTCTGTAGCTGACTGGCGTGTGACGCAAGGTACATCGAGGCGTATACTAACCCGAATCTGACTACATGGGTAGACGATTTCAAGCAGGTCATCCCGAAGAACAATCTGACCAGCCAGTGTTGATATTTCTGAATATTTATGCATTTGTTATACACAGCAGTTGTACAGTGCACTTTGTGAGAGCACACTCATACCCATTGTAGTGCTTGGATCATTGGAGTGGTAAGCTAACGAGCCTGACCATCCATGTGCGCTGCTGCAGACTAAGGGTTGAAACATGCGAGAACACTGAATCGCTCTCCAAGTTCTCGACGGATCCTGTTTGGATGCCACCACTTATGTGCTGAATGTGTACCTCAAATCAACAACTGCGGAGAGGTGAAGAATAATTGTCTGAGACTATGTATATTTCCCCTCCCAGATGCGATCCCGTTGCAAACGTGGATCCCGAGCTCATTTCTCCACGAAATTTCGCAAAAATTATATCCACATGTAGCTTACGTTCCCCTGGACCCGGGATCCACATGGATCCATGGGTCTGAGGGGGTGGGGCTGCTCAGTAGCCCCGCCATGAAGGCCTCTTTTTTTGCACCCTAAAAAACTGGCCCGATGATCAGAGCATGGATCCCAACCGCAGTTTACTCAACACTCACAATTTTTTTCACGCATTCTTACATGGATATATAGAAGACTCCACATGCCAAAGATCATAATTATTCAACCAGCCGTTGTGGTGCAATATCAACATCTTCCTGCAGCGCAGTCAGAATCATTGATGCTCATTAAACAGTGGATCCCAGTGGCAAACCTCCTCAAATTTATTTGCTCATTTGAGAAAGTATGTACTAGAACACATGTAATATGCATCTGTCCACACGAAACAGCTGTCCCTGCGTTGAGGAGGAATGGGGAGCCAGTGCAAGGCGAGGAGATGAGAAATGATGGGAGCTGTCAATGAAGTCTGGGAGAACATGGCTGGATTCGTGGATCCCAGAGTCAAATCCTGTACAATGGAAAATCCAAGCCACTTAAATTGAAGGTCAGCATGAGAAGAACATTCTTGGCAACTCAAATTTGCCGGAAAGTGTGCCCAGAGGCCAGAATCCATGCACAAGAACAGCCCACAGAGGGTGTGACGCTGTCATCACACCCTTGCACATCCTTGTTTCCTACAATGCACAACACGTCCGCGGCGGGCTCAATGCACATGGAGCGATGATGGAACACGCGCAGAAGATGTTTTCAAATGATCTGGAGTCCTTAGGGGGCAGGAATGGGATGGGAAATGGCACGGGCATGACACCCAACATCAGCACATGTAGGCGGCACCTGTTTTCCACTTTGCTCTGACCATATTCTCTAGTTAGGGTCCTGCGCACTTCCTTTCGACCTCTATGTGCATTCTAGTAACGCGAATCCCTCGCTCAGAGCCACTGCTCCCGCCTCAGCACCACTTCCTTTTCGGGCGTGTGTCTCTCTTTCCTGACACTGTATGCAGGCGTCGTGACAATGTACCACCAGCTGCTTGTCTTCCGACTCTTCCTCGGGTTGCTTGAGGGCGGTGTTACGCTTTACTTGCTGGCCTACTTTACGCTGTTGATCATCCAGTCTCCCAGCTACACCGCTGCGCGCGCACAGCTCATGAGCGTGCCGCCGTTCTTGGTCACCTTCATGGTGTCCATGATTGGCGCGTACCTCGGCGACTGCTACCACTGCTGAGGGCTGGTGTCCCTGTTTGGGTCGCTCCTGTGCATCGCCGGATTTGTGGTGTTCCTCACGTCCGGGAACCACCACATCCAGTACGGCTCGCTCTTTCCCTCGATCCCAGGGACCTGCACTGTTGCGCCGACGCTGTCGACGTGAAGCGCAAACATCTCGGCGACCCACGTGCGCCGCGTGGCCGCGATCGGCTTCATCAAGACCAACTCGGGGGCCATCTTTGCGACGTGGCTACTCGGCGCGCTCTCCCTGTCACCGCGCTACTTCCTCGGGACGAAGCTGCTGCTCGCGTTCTCTGCGCTCGCGTTCTGCTCCATGTGCAACATCTGGTATCTCCGGGGTGAGAACCTGAAGGAGGCGGAGATCCTCAGGAGAACGCCCGCTTGGAGGAGGAGCCGGAGCGAAGCGACAAGTGCGCCTGGTTTATCTACAGTCTGTCAGCAAGTTGAGTGGGGGTCGATATCTCATGTAACTTGGTCGTCTGTGTTGCAAGAATTATTTCTTGTGGTATGTACACAGTAATTGTAGGTGTGCGTTACCAGATGCTTTTGCGTGCATGCGCTGTTTGACCTCGTAAATCAGACCCAGTTCATCAGCTAGTTACCAGGACTGACAATAGGGCGGGTTTGGACAGAAGTGCACTGGACCGCAGAGGTGCAGACTGCGCTGAGAGCGTACCCAGGGGTGGCAATGCACTCGTTGGCGCATCCCAATCTTCGTTGCTGGATGCCAATCTCTTTCTTCTCTGTCACCTGCACTCATCGTCAAGTGGTGATTTTGCGGTGCAGCAATAAGCTGCACAGCATGTCATCAAACCACTCATGTATTGTAGCTTCGGACGAGCTGTGCACTTATGATATGCTGCACAACCCTCCGCCCTCGCGTTCTTCCCTTCGACCACCAAGCGCCGTCGTTGCGTCTTCGCCGGGATCCACTCAGTCTTCACTTCCCACGAGAAAGTCTATCAGGGGGGTCCTACAGAGACAGATCTGAATGTGACTGCCGTGCATGGATCCAGCGGAAGCGCGACAAGCACGCGGGCAGGATTGAATCAGCTCCCGGGAAACTCAATGTTCCCCACCACTTGCTTGCGAGTGAACCTCACAGCCTCCCGTGTGGAGTTCGAGTCACAGTCACCAAGCCATTGGCAGCCCGTCAATAAGATTCCCATTCCCCCTTGCACTACGACCACATCCACTCGCACACACTCGATCCAAGTCTCTCGGCGCGAAGTGAGCTTACTTTCTGCGGGATTTTCGCTCAGGCACTGATGATGACTAGGGTATGGGACCCGGAAGGGAAGGAGTACATCGGCATGCTCTCGGCCTATTCGTGTGTTTCCCATTCTGCCCTCGATCTCAGCGCCTCATAACCGTATTTCGCAGGGCAGTCAATGAGGGTCACGGCCACCCCCGGATTGTTGCGACGCTGTGCAGGCCCAGAAAGTCACTCTCTCGTCGCGCGCGTTCTACAACAGCGTGCTCGGGCGCTTCGCGCAGGTGATCACGGATATGTTTGGCTACAAGATGGTGCTCCCGATGAACACCGGTGCTGAGGCTGTCGAGACCGCCATCAAGCTCGCGCGCAAGTGGGCATACCTGAAGAAGGGCGTCCCCGAGGGCAAGGCCGTCGTGCTCAGCGTCAAAGGGAACTTTCACGGTCGGACTGTCGGGGTCATCAGGTGCGCCGCGTCCTGTGTGAAATCGATGCCATCTTCACATCTCACGCAGCATGAGCACTGATCCCGAGAGCCGAGCCGGCTTCGGTCCCACGTTCACGGATGGCGAGGAACTGCGGACCATCCGATACAATCACTTCGCTGATCTCGAGCGTGCGCTCGAGCTGAGCGGCAGAAACGTGCCGCGTTCCTCGTCGAGCTGATCCAGGGCAAAGCGGGTATCGTCGTACCCGACGCCAGGTACCTCAACAAAGTGCAGGTGCTCTGCAGGAAGCACAACGTGCTCTTCATCTGCGACGAGATCCAGACGGGGCTGTGCCGCACCGGCAAGATGCTGGCGTGCAACTACGAGGATGTGCGTCTGGATATCATTCTGCTCGGCAAGGTGCTCTCGGATGGTGGTACGTCCCGGTCGTTTCACATGCAAGAGTCCCACGAACCCCTTTGTCAGTGTATCCTGTTTCTGCCGTGCTGGCAGGCAAGGATATCAAGACATCATGCTCTGCATCAAGCCCGGCGAGCACGGCACGTTTGTCCCTGGCATGTCCTTTCGCATCCGCGCTCACGAAGAAACCATTCTGCGCAGTTGCTGGACGAAGCAATTGCATGGAGCCTGGATGCGCATGTGATGGGTGGGTACGAGTTTCTCATGCAGAACTGTGAGTGTTTCCCTCTGCCAAAGCAATCTGCATCCCATGCCAATGCCTAACCCTAGCTGCACTCAAAGCCCATCCACTCACCTCGATTTCGGTGCAGAAAGATGGAGGTGATCTTCTACTCAAGGACGCGAAACCGCAATTGCTTCTGGAGGGATGGAACGAAGGTGGCGGAAACGAAGTCGTAGAAGATGCGACGGGCGTTCCCGCAAGAATGGGCTATGCTGCCCTCACCAAGCGCAATTTCCAACCCATCGAAAGCTCCAAGGCAGCTACTGGTGTGGTGGTAGGGGACGATTGGAGCTGCCGCACGGGCTGGACGCAGAGTCCCGCAGAGGACGACGGTCGTGTCCCCGGACGATGCGCCTGCGCCGACGACGTATCTGGGCTACAGCGGCACGAAGCCCGCGAATGTAATCCCTCCAGACCACCCGCACCGGACCCTGATCGTATGCTTCGACGGTGAGCGCGCACCGTCCCCGGGACAGCAGTCCCACTCCCGCGCACTTCACTTCTGACGCAGCTTCTTCATTTGTGCCTAGGCACGGGTGAGTCGTTCGGCTCCGACAACTCGAACGTGATCCAGTTCTTCTCGCTGCTGCCCAAGGCCGACCGCAGCAAGCAGATGGTATATTACCAGTGTGTTCCGAGCGTCAACGGGGAAGTTCGAGACTCTCGCGATAATGCCGCAGAACGGGGGTCGGCACATACGCTTCACCCCAGATCATGATGCCGCTTTGCGCCAAGTTCGCTCAGGCAGCATATGGCGGGTAAGCTCTACGAGATCGGCGCACGATGATTCATGCTGATGCGTCGAGTCTAGTTATGCGCTAGGATGCGCGGTGGCCATCACAGATCTGCAAGTGCTGGGTCCGTCAAAGCCGATGCCCTGGGTGAGACCTTCTACTCCGCCATCCGCGGGCTCAATTCTCCGCTCGTCCAGACCGTGCGCGGACGCGGCCTGCTGAACGCCGTCGTCATGGACGAGCAAAAGGGCAAGTGCGGGTGCACCGCCTAGCAGCTGTGTCTCTGCTGAAAAGCCGCGGTGTGCTGGCTAAGCCCACACTCTACGCAGCCATCACTTTCAGACGTCAGCTCAACATATGGGGACGCAGGGGTCTGCGGAATTTCGAAAACAGCCAAATGTTCATGAAGGGTCGTAGAATACGTTTCACTACCTTAAAACAATATATTTACCCCATTGTGGAGGGTACGAAACAACATGTATCGTCGATCATATCTCTTGTCACCTCTTGTGACCTCAGTCACATCACAGAGCACAGCCTTACTTAAGTCCAAGCAGCTTGCGACGTCATTTCACGTGACGTTCAGCATCAGTGCATTCTGCATCATCACTCTCTGCTTGCCCGGCATTTCTCGCAGGATGGGGTGGAGGAGACGGATATCGACGAGGTCTGGCTTGCCGGATGCCACTGCGGTGCGTCTTTGCCCCGAGTCACGTTGACCCAGCGCTCTAACCACACTGTTTTCTCGGTGCAAAGTCACGTCAGCAGCGGTTCGGTGGACAACGAGACGACGACGAATCTGGCGCTAATGCGTCAGGACAAACAGTGGGATCTCGTTCGACGCGGACGGGCTGCGCGACATCGGCTTGGATCCGAACAGCTTGTACCCCATTGTGCAGCCGTTCCCGGCGTCCCTCCCTCTCAACGACGCCAAGATCCAACCGATTCCGCGCTCCGTCTCGCACGCACACGCGCATGAGTGTGAGCACGAGCACGAGCAGGCAGCACGTGACGGCGAACCTGCGGCAGCGAAGTCGGAGGAGAAACTGGACCGCAAGGACGCACTGGCGCCGACCTACGACCAGCTGTTGCTCAAGTGGTTCTGGTGGCCGCTCGAGCTGCTGCTGCTCCGGCGGCACTACCAGCGCAACAACAACGCGGCGTGGGCGACGAGCTTTGGGATACATGGTTCGTCGTAGGGATTTTCGAACATGCGCAGACGGTTGCCTACGGCGGCAACAACGTCAAATTGATGGTCGTCAGCGGTCGATTGATGCAGGTGATCTGCAGGAGTCGAGGGTCTTCGTGCGGTTGTCGGTGAGTGCTCACCATGCCAGCTGACCCAGCCCCCAGATCTCGAGCCAACCGGACGCACATACACCTCACCCCCGCCGCCTCGCTCAACGCAAGCGTTCATGCCCGCGAGGGTGCTCCTAGCGTACATGTAAACATTATAGCGCTCAAATACAAGTCTTGTACTGCCTCCTGCTATCGCGCTCGGCGCTGTCTCACCCTCCCCGGTCATCTTGGTCAGCAACCCGGGACACTTTCCCACCGGAAGGTCTCAACGATGTGCTCTGAAGTCACCAAAAATTGTAACCGCAGCGGTCTTGGTTTTTGTGGCATCGCACAGACCTGTCAGTCGTCAGAGCACCTCTCAATCGAATGCACTGATCGTGCACCCTGGACAAGCTACGCGTAACGATCTAATTCTGGCAACCGACGAAGAGAGCTGAAGATCTGGAACCTTGACGCACGATAGCAGAGGAGTCGGGTGTACGAATGGGCAGAGCGCAGGGAGAGGGCTTGGGGACCTGCTCCGTAGGTGCGTTTCTTTTTTGCACCTATATCCGCTTGACCTCCTCCTGTTCCGTTAATGGTCCTCAATGTTTTGCGCCACGTTAGGCGTTCACCACGCACCTTGGAACCGGACGCGGGCTCACCGCAAGTCGCGCAGAGCCTTTTGCGGTATCATCCGTACCGCAGTCTACTCTCACTTGCGCCGATCACACATCCTCAAGCAGGCAGCCCTCGACAATCAACTTTTGGCGATCAGACCGGTGAACGAAACGGGGAGCACGGGGCAGGGGAGTCGGAAGGGCGAGTGGACGCAGCAACCTGCGCCCTAACCTGGGCGTTCTGCGTCACTTTACGCAGCGGATCGCGGTTTTTGCGGTAGCGCAAACCCTTGCTGCACGCTGAAATCAGACGCAACGCATCGTCATTTTGACATCATGCACCAATCCGCTCGCATCTCTCGACGCAACCTTCACCGCACCTGCACATCCTTGTCGGCCAACACAACAACGCACACTGGGTTCTTTCGGAAGTCAATGGGAAGTGCAGGAAAGAGACGGAAAGTCTTGGGGCCAATTTCGGGAGCACAGATGGCACCACGAGTTTGCTCGACGACTGTGCAGCACGGGGCAGTCTGCCTACCGCCTTCCTTTGACACTAACTAGGATGGGTCTCGTGCGCCCCAAAATCGGACGCTCTGCCTCACCTCACACAACACATCGCGGGCTCCGTGGCATCACAAACGGCGCAGGTGTCTGCTCTTTCATTAGACACCCATCGCACATCTTGAACAGCAACACGCGGGCGCTCAACAAACGCAATGGGAGGATGAATTAGGGGATCGGAGGGTAGAGAACACGGATGAAGGGCTAGAGCTCTGAGACTGAGGATGGAGGAGCAACCCGCAGGTGAGCTCGTTTCCCAAGCTATCTTTTACTGTCTGCCGATTCACTTACCCTCTCTCTGGATGGGACCACTGCAAAAAAAGATCGCCACGTGTTTGATCAGGCTCAGGTCTCAGCCAAGTTCCTGGACAACGCGCCGGCCTTTATTTTTAATCGCGACGACTACATAGGGCGTTTTCTCGTGCACTCGCTGTGCGCTCACGCACCCTAATGTGCAAGCCTTTGGAATCAGTCTGGCAGATACACCGCTGTCCTACATCTCACACTTCACAGAACCATGTGCGTCGTCCAGGCAGATGCCCAGCGCATATCAGCGACAATCAGTCAATCCCTGGCGCGACCGCTTCGCCTTCTGCGCCTATCGGCACAACCGAGCACACGAAGGAAGCGTCTGCCGCTCCTCCGTTGCCATCGCCACTTTCTCAAACATTTGGGGAGGTCTCACGTGATTACACCGCCTCTTACAAGCGAGGATCCGTTTACCGATCCGCCGGGTCAGTGGGCCAGAAAACAGTGGCGGTCCGCATGCCGTTGCACCCTGGCCGCGCGCTCATTGCCCTCACCAATGCGCCCCTTGCAGCGCCGTGCCGGGCTGGAGACAGATCTAGGATCACACCCTGTACTATCCTATCAGTTCCCACTAGAAAACCCTACGCAGTTTCACAACAGACAAATCAAGTCAGGTTAGATAACATAATTACAAACTCAATCTATAAACCGAACGCTGGCCCGGTTCTAGTCAGAGCGCCGTTGGTTGTTGCACCGGCCAGCTTCAAGTGACGGTCATGTGGTGATTTTGCGGTGCAGCAATAAGCTGCACAGCATGTCATCAAACTCCGTTTGCGTTTCTTGCCAGCCAGTGGACTGGTTCTCAGACGCCGACCCAACGTGATGCCTCCAGCAGAGGCGCATACAAATCACTCATGCCCCATTTGGAAGCGAGCGTTCATGCCTGTAAGGGCGCTCCTAGAGGCCAGCTGAGAGTGGTTGTAGAAAATTGAAATCATCGCACCAGATGTGTAGAAACTGGGTTAGGGTAATATTATCAAGGCACAGCTCGGTCCATGCAGCTTGCGACGTCATTCCACGTGACGCCCAGCATCTTTCTATGCATCCTTTTCTTCTCTCAAGATGCCTACTTGCCACCGGCAGCTGCACCTAACCCGTGTCGTCACACCTGTTGCTGTCATGTGTCCCAAGCTCTCAACAGACCGCCAGGCCAGCACCCCTCAGCTGAACAGCACGCGCCAAAGAGGCGGGAAAAGAGGGATAGAGGTGGAAGGACGGCTCGAAGTGGCGCAGGTATGCCTCTTCCATTCCCTTTTTCTTCATTTGCGGGTGGGTGAGCAATAAGACTCGACCCTGGGACTCCTGCGCAAGCCCACCCGCCCATTCTCCCAGACCATTTGATTTTTTGTTACTTATATCCTGCTAATATCGTTTTAGAATGGCTTCTGCCTCGTACAACACGAACCTCTGCCTTGTACAACATGAACCGGACGGGAATTCGGCGCGTTTGACCTGACGGTCGACCTCCCAGTCATCACCGCACCCCTCCACATCACTGTGGAGGATCTGTTAACTGCCTTGCTCGCTTCACACACCCGACCAGGCAACCGCGGCCGCCAACCAACGGGTGTGGGGCTAGGGCTAGGGCTTGGGCTTGGGCTTGGGCAGCAGAGGATCTAGGGCGAGTAGAGGGAGGGGTTCACGCAAAGAGGGGGGGGACTACAGGTGCGTTTATACCATCCCAGCCCACCCGGTCCCCAGACATCAAGTATCAACACGACTCCCCCAGCGGACATGCATACGCCTCACCCACACCCCATTCGTTTGACGCGCGTGTTCACAAGGACACTCTGTTCATAGGTTACTTGTCCTCGTAATAGCTCTTGAATCTATGGCTTCCATACCCGTCTTCTATCAAGGTCCGCAGCGCCGCCGTCCATGCAGCCCTGGCCACGGTGTATGCCGAAATCTGATTTACTCCCTGACAATGGCTGACACGTTATTCAGCTCGGAAGACGCGACTGCCATCTACATCGACCATGTCACGGGAATCCAGATTCTGGACAGCATGGCCCATCTCCCTCAGGCCGAGAAGGAACACTCGGGCGCATTCTTGGTGAGCCCGTCATCCCCAGTTGGATCTTCAAATGGTAACTCATACTACCCCCCAGCGCGACGAACGCGTTCTCATCATCTGGTCGGATGTCATCGACAGCATCGTCCCTCATTGCGCCAACTTTGAGGAGAAACTGATGAAGCTCGTCTGGCATTTCCGGACACAGAATGGGAGTGCGTCGGTCCTCACCTCAGGCTCCGTCGGGGCCCCACCGACCACTGCTTCGGAGGTCAATTTGACGGAGAAGCCCGCTCTTGAGCCGATGACGGAAGGCTGGCTTGATATTGATGTCGTTGCGGCTGCGCATGCGGAGAATGATTGCTACAATGCCGTTCCTTGTCCGTGTTGCCCTGGTGAGCTCTTGCGGGTTTGATGTCATTCATAACTAACTTTTTCACTTCTTTGCGCTCCCGGTAATCGCCGCCATCTCATACCTGTGCGTTTGAACTTTCACATCCTAGGCCTTACTTGACCCTTGCCACCAGAGTCGGTCCCATCGCACAGTATCACGAGAACTCGCGATACTACTCTGCCATCCGCCCTGAGCTGAATCCGGAAGTTGACGCTCAGCTTCCCCACGTCACGGTCGAGCTTCCCGTGTACAAGGAGAGTCTCGAAGAAACGATGTGCGTCTGTTCTATCCGCTGGATCCTGTCCCTCACTCGGACATTTCCAGTGCACCATCGGTCTATTCGCTCAAGAAGGCCATGCAAACGTATGCTCGACAGGGTGGTACCTCTGCCATCTTTGTTCACGACGACGGGCTTCAGCTTCTGAGCAAAGCCGAACGTGAGAAACAATCGCGTTCTACGCTGACCACAGCATTGGCTGCGGATTGTATTGCAAGCTGGTGTGTATTCAGCGCTACTTTTGGCTTACATGGTGCTAATTGTAGACAGAGCACAAGCGACCTCGACTAAAGACGATGCGCAACATGGGAGTAGGCAGAGGCTAGTCAACCCGAGCCGAAGTTCTGGACGTCATGGGTGGGTTGGTTGTTATACCCCTTGATCTTTTCTGAGTAGTGCCTTCTAGCGCAATGCTTCAACTACCACACAACGACGACCCCGCTCTGGCGCAAAGACGACGAAGGCCGGACTTTCTGCAACGCCTGCGGCCTGTTTTACAAGTTGCACGGCACGCCGCGTCCGATCTCGATGAAGAGCGTCGTCATCCGCAAACGCTCTCGCCACGAAGTGCAAGTCAGGGCGCAAGCACAAGCCCATATGGATGCGTCCACAGCCAGTCCCACAGCCAGCCGCCAGGGCTTGCCCGTCCCGGAATCGTTATCGCATTCGAGCTCGGGTTTGCCGATGCTCGCACCGGACAGCAGCACTTCCGAGCTGACCACTGCGCTCTGCCTGCTGCCGAAGTCCGCGGCTGGAGCGTACCGATTCCCGTATCACAAGACGTACGCGGACGTGCTTCCATTTGGAGGCGTGGATTTCAGCGGTGGAGTGGACGGCAATGTGCAGGTCAACAAGCGCCGGCGGATGAGCATCGACTTGACCTTGGAGCCGCCGACAGCGCCGTGAGCTACGGGTCGTCATACAACGACTACACGGACGGGTATTTGAGCGCGACGTTGTTTTCGATGGAGTTTCTGTTCAGCAAGCGGCACCAGCCGCAGCAGCAGCAAGGCTTGTCTTGGCATCCACCCATGGCGCTGAGGCAAGATTCGCCCAAGGCCCGAGTCCACCCCATCCCCCCCCCCCCAATGCTCCCGTCCTCCGACGACTTCCTCCACCCGCCGAAGATGCTGCCGTCCTACCTGTACCAGGACGAATCATTCAACTCGTTCGTCCACCCGCCCTAGCTGCTGCCAACTCTGAACGAGGAGCCATGCTCTTTACTTCTGGTTCCCATCCCCCGATGATGTCCTATGACGATCTCTACGCGCACGAGGGCAGCGGCATGCACTACTATAAGTACGCAGTCCCTGTCCTCGCTCAATTTGCAGAATGCGCTGATCGTTGTTCCAGCTCGTTGACAGAAATATTGAGCCAAGGGATCCCGCTCATCTTTTGGCCGATCGTTGGAGAGCAAGCCACCAATGCTGTGGTATTCTCGATCGGCCCCAATGCAATCGGTATCGAGCTCTTTCAGGTACTTTTTTGTCTCTGTCATCCCTGCTTTCCGAAACGAAGCCAACCCCCCACACAGGGCAGCCCAAAGGCGTCAAGATCACCCGCAGCAACCTCTCAAACTGGATCACCTCTGCCCACAGATCTGGATATTTCCCCATGCGTCCCTTTTCCCGTGTACTACAGCTCGCCACGTTCGCTTTCGACGCAGCTGTGCTCGAATGGTCCCTGGCGCTTTCCCTTGGATCCAACCTCTACTTTGCCAATATCCCACAGGCTCTGATCAGCGACTACCTCGCAGATGTCATCGACAAGAATGTTGTGACTCACATGCACCTCACCCCCGGTGTGCTGGGCACTCTGCCGGCGTCGAGAAGATTGCAGAGTCTCGAGTGCATCAGTGTGGGTGGAGAGTTGGTACCGGATAACCTGATCGAACGGTGGAGGACGAGAGTGACCCTGCAGAATGCGTATGGGCCAACTGAAGCGTATGTGAGTCCCCGTTGTCTCAGCTACTCAATCGCATCCTGAATGCGTCCTACAGAACGTTCGTCGTGGCTCATCAACTTCAGCCCAGTTCACCGGGCAAGGTTGCGCACTCCGCTGCAAACATCGGGAAACCGCATTCGCCCACGGAGGTGTTCGTGAGCAACCCTTCGTTCGACCGACTGCTGGCTGTCAACGAGATTGGAGAGGTCTGTCTGGCCGGCCCGCAACTGGCCCGAGGGTGTGCATACACTTGAGGTGTCTCCGAACATTCAGACTGAATCTTTCCTGTCCAGTCACCGCAATTGGCCCGATCTTACGAGCCAACGATTCGCAGTCCATCCTCAGAATGGCAAGCGGATGTACAAAACGGGGGACCGAGGGACACTAATGGCCGATGGCACCGTGTTCTTGATGGGCAGAATGGATCGCGAGCTGAAAGTCCGAGGGTACAGGTGCGTTGATTGGACTGGTGCATGGTTTTTTGCACTCACGCCGACGTCGAGGATTGACCTGGACAATCTGGGACGCACTATTGTGGCTGTGATGCCGTCCATCATTAGCGTCTCGGTCCAGTCGTCTCCGTCGGGCACCGACCTGTGTGTCTTTGTCTCGCCACAGAATATCCATGGGACCGAGCTGAAGCGGCTCCTTGGGCATCGGGTGCCGAGTTACATGGTTCCGAGGAACGTGTACTGTCTGCAGCGGCTGCCCTTGAACACGAGCAACAAGACGGACCACCAGGTGATCAAGCTGCGCATGGAGGAGTTGATCAGGGACGTCAAGCTCCTCTCTGGAGGCACAACACCCAGCAGCATGAGCTCGGACGAAGACGACCTGAGTTCGGTCGAAGATTTCAGCCGCACCTCGACCTTGGCAGATTCGACCTTGCTCCAAGCCGATGAGTCGATATCGCATCAGGAACTAACTAAAATTTGGGTCAATCTCCTTGACCTGAAGTCTGCGCCCTCGGGAAAGAGTAGCTTCTTCGACCTCGGTGGTAACAGGTTACTCTCATTGGTTTTCGTCTGACTGAATGGCTGACATCTCTCAGCTTACTGGCGCAGACGCTCATCAAGAGGGTCAAGGGACAACTCCATCAGGGTCCTTGACGGTTTCTGTCTTGGAACTTTTCACCTACCCGTCGTTGGATGACTTCATTCCATTCATACGCAGTCGTGCTCCGCCCAAACCGGCAGCACCTATGGTTACTTGGATGTCTAGACAGTCCTCCAAGTCACTCACACTAGTCAACGATGTTGACATCGTCTCAAGTCTGACAAATATCTAGAAGTTAGTCTTGCAATTGGATCAAGTGGAGGCGAATACGAGCTTCTTTGATGCGGGCGGAAACAGGTATACATGTTACTTGGTCCTTCTGCGTCCTTTTGACTGATTCTCGTGCAGTTTGCTGATGGCGGCTTTGCACAAGTCTATCCTCCGCTCCTGGACAAGTTGCGGGGTGCATCACTTCCTTCTTACGTCTCGTTCTTCCAACAAGCTCCAACGGGAACGACGTACGTTCTCATCGCACCAGGATGACGCGGCTGCCTGTCGTATGCTGCGCTGGCGCGTCATTTGCCGGCAGACTTGACCATCATCGCGCTCGATGACCCCGCATTCCACGGCATCGACTCGGATTATGGAATCAACGACCTCGCGAGGAGATACGTGAGGGACATACCGCTGACTTGTCGAGATGTCGTGCTCGTGGGTGCCTCGTTCGGTGGACTAGTCGCCACTGCGATGCTGGGCCCAATGCAAGAGGCTGGAATCAAAGTGCAAGCGGTGGCTCTCATCGATAGTCCGTTCCCAGGATCTACCCCGCAGACGTCTTGCTGACTGCGGGTGTGTTTTTGCGCAACGTATTTGCGCCAGAGACGAGACCTACTCTGTCCGCCGAGGAGGACACTCACAACCTTGTGACGTTCGCAGCTCGCCACAGGATTGATCTTTGTGCGCTGGCTGCTACCTACGACATGCACGTGAAGGCAATGGCCGCCTTAGACTCAGGTCTCACCGGTCTGACGACTCTGCACGAGTCTTCCTTGCAACTGGTTCTGTATACCGACTATGCAACTGCCGCGACGTTCTAGGCCCCGGCGCTCTTGACCAGCAGCGAGTTTGGCAATTTCTGGGCGATTGGGACAAACGACACTCTGCTCATGGGCGGCCCGTACCTTGTGCGCACTGCCACCATCTCCGGCTCTACCCTGGCCCTTGTCGGCAATCTCAATGCGACCGTCCCACTCACCGTCTTTGACCCGCCGGGAGTAAAGCATGTCGCCTGGAGCGGTGCTACTGTGCACACTACATCGGCGTCCGCTGCGTCATTCGTCGGAAGGCTGGCTCCGCGATCTGCGGTCACAAAGATCAAGATGCCGAAGATGGCAGGTGGAAGTACGTTGATTCGCTACCTGAGATCCAGTCCGTGTTCGATGATGCGAGGCTGGGTTGTGGCCAACCAAACCACCTCAAACATCCCAAACCCGACGAAGTATGGAGGTGGACAGATCTTGTACGGTTGCAGTTATGGATTGTGAGTCTTGACTTTGGATGTGGTTCTGAGGCTGACTGACTGTTCTATTCCCGCCAGCCCATTGACAAAATACAGAGCTGTCTTATCTAATCACCCCGGCGCTCACGTACACTGCCCACTCACACTCTGATCTTGGGTCTCATTCTTGGACGTTTGTACGAGTGTATATAGGCTGTTGTCGATGCATCTACTCGTTTATACTTAACAGCCACCGTCGCGAAATAGAGACATTCGCTCAGTCTTGATGCTACGGCACATTCGATCTGCCACGACCTGCTTCATTTGCAAATGCTGGCTGGTTATAAGTCATATCTCCAACAAATGACTACCACTCGATCGAATTCGCACAACTATTCAGGACGAGCAGGGCTCATCTGAGCCATCTTTCCGTTTTTGTGGCCAGATGATATGAGGGGCTCCAACACTCACGACAAAGATTGACTTGGATATCATTGTATGTCCTAGTATCTATCGGCACCTCAATTTACAAGCTTAACACATTGGGGGACGCCGGCCTCAGGACCGCGCCGAAAAATCGGAAAAAATGCGCAAACCGTTGCTAGGGGTCCCAGGTACGATACCGCACACCGGCGTCCCCCTTCCGCGCAATGGTGCATGTCCCATATCGAATTCCGCGGAGGGTCTCAAAACGATCACTTCCCATCAGAGCTTTTGATGGGACGGGGACGCAGAGGGCTGTTGACACAACATTCGTGTTTTTATTACATGGATCGCTAGATACATGCTAGAGGATGTAGGATCCCGAATTTTACATTTTTATCTTCAGCGGTTCTTGTGGAATATCATCATCTCTCCGCGCAACCATCACTTGCAGCCATCAGTTCAACATATGGGGACGCAGGGGGTCTGTGGTATATAGAAAACAGCCGGAAGTTCCGGAAGCATTGTATAATACATATAGCACACTCAAAACAATATATCTACTGCGTTGTGGAGGGTGCGAGACGAGACAATCTCGTCGAACATCTTTCGAGTCACGCCTTGTGACTAGCGTCACATCAGCGTGCACGATCATCGCTGCCTCTGCTCATACATCCGACCAGGCAACCGCGGCCAGTAACGAACAGGTGTGGCGTGGATGGGCTGGAGAGCTAGGGCTCGGGCTACTGCAGCAGAGGATATAGGGCGAGTAGAGGGAGGGTTTCATGGAAAGGAGAGCGGGGTCGACAGGTGAGTGCCCACCATGCAATCTGACCCAGCCCTCAGATCCTGAACCAACGCGACGCCCCTAGCGGACGCGTATACACCTCAACCCCGCCTCATTCGATCGACGCGAGCGCTCATTTCCACGAGGGCGCTCCTAGCGCACATGTCAACATAATAGCTCACACAATCTCTGACCGTTCGCGTGCACGCTGTTTCTGGGGCACAGAACACATCTTCTGCAAACACTATCCCTTTGAGCCTGCGCCCGGGAAAGGCATCCTCTCGACGACTAGGGTACACAGGGGGAAACGACCACTTCTCGAACCCCCACTGCCGACTGGTCCGCATGGGCGTGATGGATCACGCTGAGGCAGCGAAGCTGGAGTACGACACGGACGTGGTCTCGTATGCGGAGCCGGACGATTTCTTCTACCGCACGCACGATCCTCCTACGATCGATCGGCAGGGCGGGGATATGGGCACGCGTGAGTGGGCGCTCTGCTTTTTTTCAGGTTTGCTGCGGTGGGGCTGATACGTGCGCGCACTTGTTTGGTTTGACTGTGTCTAGAGTACCGATCTGCGATCTTCACGACGACACCGGACCAGCAGACGGATGCGCAGCGCGTCATGGAGGAGGTGCAAGCGAAGCATTTCACGCGCAAGGTGTGTTGTCCTCGGATCAATGCTTCTCAGCTCAGTCATGTTCTCCGTAGGGCTTGAAGATAGTCATGCAGATCTTACCAGCCGGTCCGTGGTGGGACGCCGAGGACTACCACCAGCTGTATCTGTTCAAGAACCCGGGCGGATACCAATGTCCGACCCACCGCGTGCATTGGTAGACCCCGGACCAAGCGCGGACACTGCGCCGATTCCGGTAACCGCGCCAAGGGAGAACGTGTGGGCAAACTTCGACCGGGAGGACTAATGACTCAGAATATACCTGGTTTGATTGCGTTCCTTGTCAGTTCTCTCGATCATTGCCAGGGATCCAAATTCATTCAGTTACAGGGGTTACTCTACTCTCATTCGATCAGGTCTCGTCGTTTATCTTTGGCGACGCGTTCGGCATGGTTAGTTCGTCGTCGGACAACGTGAAGGTCTCCACCGACTCGCGTGCCTCGCTGTACAACTCCCAGACTGCCGCGAGCAAAGAGTCGGAGGCCGAAGACGCGTCCCTGACGGATCTCGTGACCGATTGCGAGGCGTACAACTACCTCGCGGGCCTCAACCCTTCACCCAGGCGCTCAAGCACCCGTGGTTCCTGCGCATCCTGTTTGCAAAGCACAAGGTCCTGAAGAACTTCGAGGGCTACGTCGACCGCATGGCGGACGACATCCTGAACGGCTACGAGAAGCAAGACACCTGCATGATGAGCTCGCTGAGTGAGCGAAATGTATGTCGGATCGTGTCCTGGGCTCACGGCAGTCAGTCAGCTCGCTCGCTAGGCATCCTGCGGGGGAGTTCCGGTCGTCGAACGCGGAGGTTTTGTCTCAGGGGCGCGTTGAGATGTGATTTCACATGATCCCTCTGAGCTTGCGTTCAGATCGTGAGTGCCTTCTTTCTTAGGGACGATGCGATTCTAGGCAAGATCAGAGGACAATCCTCTTTTCTGGTGTGCCCAACCGATCCACATCTCCGCTCACTACTGAACCCTGATAGGCTTGGAAACAACATCAAGCGAGGATTTCGAATCCGCGCGAGACTTGGCCGAACTGACCGTCGAATCCACACGCAGTGACGCTGAGTGCAAGTCATTTCCGGCGCTATCCAGCTTAGACTGATCAATGGCAGTGGCTCCTTGTCGAACTGGCGCAGAATACGGCAGTGCAGAACAGACTGCGCTCTGAACTGGGGACGCTTCGTGGAAACTGGACCCGGACACGCTATCGAGCCTGCTCTACCTCCAATCGGTGGTGAGCTAGGGCCTGCGCTTCCACCCTCCCATAACCGAAACAATCCGCGCGGTAATACTCGAATTCTCCCCATCCGCTGGTCGCGGGCACTGACTCCCGCCTAGGCCGCCGAGAACGACGTGATCCCGCTCAGCGGCCCATCGTGACGAAGAGCGGCGAGTGCGTGACCAGCTAGGGTTAGGGTTAGGGTTAGGTTAGGGTTAGGGTT